GAAAAACTGTAATAGCAACTGTCGTAACTAATTTGTTTAAAGCAACAAAAATGTGGCCACCTTACTATCTTAGGTTGGTAAATCGGAATGAATCACAAACATTATTCACGCACTTAAAACATTGCATCCTTCACACAATATCGCCCTAACTACTATATAGCTAATCGCATTTGCGAGTAATCACAATTTCTTGTAAGTTTATCACAAGTTCTTGGCTTCTTGCATTTATATATCGAAATGGTCACGTGCATATTCAAAACGTTTGGATTTTCAGATTTATGATAGTGTTACAATGTCTTCTGTATAACAATATTTAGCAATGTGTGTCAATATTTCTATGAGGTCTCAGTTTTATTCATCGGTTCCAATTTCCAACGGTGTCGGCCAAATAATTCTTATTGGACCAACAATGAATTAATTATGTGATATATTACGTGGCATGTCGTTGGTAGATATTGAGATGGCGCAGCCTTAAGCCATTAAGTCATTTCTAGTTAAAGTAATTGTTAGTATTATTATATTAGTCAATCTCTAACCGAAAGCGTTCTATGTGGCATCAAACATATATTATCATTTTTAAATATTATCATATATCCCCTAACGATAATCGCGATTACAATAAATTAATCTTAAAGTATTTATAAGTAGATAAACACTCACTTTTCGAATTTTTTTACTCCACGAAATGAAAAAAGAACGTTTTGATGATTCAACGATTTACTTTCTTTAGCTAAAAAGAATGTATGATGTATCTAAACACATCACCAACGAAAAGTTACACACTTAGTTGACTACTCCGGGAAGATTATGATGTGGAAATCTTAATGAGGATATATAAAGAACCATAATTGTTAAACTGATAAGGCGATAACCGCTTGACATCATCGAAAGTTTGGTTGGTGGAATAATAAAAGATTGAATGTTCATCATCGAACTTTCACGTTATCTATTACATTGTCAATTTGTCACCCAGTACTGTATTTTCATTTTCTTCTAAACGATAGTTTATTATAAGATTGTGTATTTTTAATTAAAAGGATCTACATATTTATAGATTTGTTTCCAACACGCAGAATTGTAATATATGTCGTGAGCCACAAGATATTATTACCACAATTTATATTAATTGGATCCATCTTCCATCACAATAATATTTTTGTTAGCTCTTCTGGTGAATAATCAATTTCGTTTTGAAAAACGATATATGCAACGTGCTGTCTAGCTAGTATATATTTACACAATTAGTTAGTGCTATGCAAATCTGAAATTTTCAACTTAAACAATGATATATATATATATATATCTCCATGACTTTTAGTGGGTATAAAGACAATACTCATTATCAAAAAACAGTAAATTATTAGTATTAAAAAGCATGTTTTTCTCGAGGCTCTCCATCTTTTACTATTACTAAGTTACTAACTAAACCAGGACGCTTGTTTCTGGAGTAGCAGGAATATTGAATACCCAATCCATCATACCAAAGCCAAAAAAAGAAGGGAAAAAAAAGTTAGGACAGCACAAGAAATGGAATTGCTGAGTTGGAGACAGATAGGAATCTGAATATATGAACAAGATGGAATTTATTTATATCTTTACAAATTATAATAGTAAACTGAATTATTACTCATCCAGCTAAAGAAAAATGAAAAAAGAAATTACTCTCAGTTAGGATATAGCGTTATCATTTTATTTTTAGTGTTTTAAGAGTATATCAAATGCAAATTTCAATTGGCCTAATAGATTTATACATAAAAAAACTGGCCTAATAGTTTGCAACGTAAATATTACATGTAATTCATAAAAGTTAATTTTTGCCCAAAACAAACAAGAGTAAAATTTAAGTAACGTGAAATAGTAACTTGGATTTTACTATAGAAAGTTTCCATAACTACTACTAGTAAATTCGAGTTCATCAAAAGTTACTTCAACATATACGTATTCGATGTGAAAGCTAGGGTTAAAAGTTAGGAAGTTCAGAATATCCATGTTCGATGAAGCAATTATAATTATACAAGTCTTTTTAAAAAAATTATAATTATACAAGTAAGACGGCTCAAGCTTTAAATTGACGAATCCGATATTTTCCAAGAGCATATTATTTTTCATTTCAATCAAATTATCGTATGTTTAAAACTTGAGAAAATATGACTGATGGAAAATTATTTAACGACAAAAGAATATAGGGTTAACAAATTGACAAGCTAATGAAAAAGGACCAAGTTGCGGAAATATGGGGTCCACCTTGAACCAATAACAGCTCGTCCGTACAAATAATATCTATTTATACCTATGTTTGGTGTTTCATTTTTTTTTGTTTATTTTAGCATCATAAATCATATATATACTTTACCTTTTACTCTTTTAGCACTGTTATCTGTTTGTTTCGCTAATTATTAAGATGTCCAAAGTTTTCTACATTCTCACTCTTTTTTCATATAACGAAACAAGTTATAGTATCTTCCTAATATCTAAACCTATGCAATCATATAAAATTACAGAACATTTAGAAAAACTATCTTTGCCATGAAACAATAAACTAGAAAAATATATGCTAACAATGAAATCGTTCTAGTGAAAATCTACCTCCTCGATAACTAGCACGGAGTTGTAATTTTTTAATAAATCATCTAATCACTCTTAAAATCAATTTGGATTTCAAATACTTAGAATCATAAGTTCATAACAAGAAATATAGATGGACCAATCTCGCTAACGGAGACAAATTCTATGAGAAAAGAAAGGTAAGTGAGCAACAAGTGCCACGTGACACGGTGACAGCATACTCAAAATTGTTGATAGAAAATTCAACCATCTCATATATTTTTCCTTTGATTATTTTGGTCGCATACCCATTTAGGAACATTATTGTTTATAGTAGACATAGATATTGGGTCGTATTTGGAAAATAGGTTGATTGTGATTTTCCAAAGTCTTGTATTGGTCTATACGGCCAAGAGTATCTCGACGCTCTGATTTTTACTATATCGGTTAAAAAATCAGTTGGCAAAAAAATGATAGCCTAGACAGAATTAATTGCCGGCTTTATATACTAATTAATTTTCTTTTTTCAAATAAAAATATAAACAAATATTAACCAGTAGTGTTTTGATGGTATCCAAAAAGTTTGGTAAGCAAAATTTGATACCAACAACAAGCCATCGGAATACGAAACTGCGGTTGGACGGTCCTATTATGTTGGTGTTGCACCATCAACTTAATTTTGAGAAATATCTCTTTAAATGTTCAAGAACAACGTCAAAAAAAAAAAAAAAATGTTCAAGAACTAAAAAAACACAAAAACTTAAAAAGGGAAAGAAAAAAAAAACAAAAGTAATTGTCCTGCTGTCAAGAAACGCCCATATTATTATTCATCCACACAAAACACGTACGACCATACCTCTTAGTGATTTGTCATTGGCCCACTTCCCATCCTAGTGGATCAAATTGAATATAGTATTATGATAACATAAAAAAAAATCAAACAGAAACAGGCAAATCAATAAATAGGTAAAAAGAATATGTCAACAAATTTTTCTATTGGAGAAGGGAGAACCAATAAAAATTTGGATCTCACGATATTTCGCAGTGCTCTAATTGGTTCTTTGCATAAAAACGAAACCTAACTAATGGTAGAATAATACTTTGGTAAAGCAACAAATATATCAGATAAGATCGTAAGCTATCCACATCACTTGTTATTTATTTCCAAATACGTATTTACACCGATAAACCACACAAGTATCTATTTTCCATAATAAGAGTAAAAAACACATCGAAAGCAACAAATTTAATTGGATTTATTTTTACCAGTATATATTTATTTGTGATGTTGTCGGTCGTTGGGTTGATTAATACAGATATATAAATTTGCAACTAAAATCGTCTTCCATACACTTATTTTATAAAAACACAATATTATGAAATGGGATAATTATGAAAACAAGAACAGAGAACAAAACTCGATAGTTTTTCTGATTTTGGAATTTATTGAGCGCATATACAGACGATAATCACGATAGCAATACACATTTTTTTCTATAAAAAGAAACCTAGGATAAGACTGAAGAAAAAAAGCCATACAAGAATAAAAACATCTAAAAATGTAAGAAGATATATTTATCCGTTATTTATACTTACTAATTAGCTATTTGTATTTTCTAAAAAACGATTACTGAAGATTGAAGAATAAAAAATCAGATTTGGAGCATCAACAGAATCTCAACATGTTTATCAATTCTAAAAATTTCTTATTTCTTCTTCTAGTTATTATCGTTATTTTTTTTTAATATAAGCATCAAAACTCAGGGGGGATGAATTTCGAGTAAAATGATGTCAATGTCTCACGTGGACCCTTTATCCAATCCTGGTCCACACGTGGGACCCACTTCCCCATGCACACAGCCCACAACATATTCATTTCTATATTTGTTCATATACTCATAATATTTTTTTGTTATACAACAAATAAAAAAGATAACGTATTAGGATTTTTGGTCATGTGTTTTTTATATCTAACAATGCATGAGCTACGAATTGACCCAATATAGTAAGCAAATTAAATGCGGATTTCAGATTTATTTTCAGAATTAGCTATTTTCAATATGTTTCCAGGAAGCTTCCCTTTGGGTTTTTGAGTTGACCCATAAACACATCATACACACAGCCATACACACACACCCATATTACTTCCCATACACCTGCCCATATACTATAATTACTCCCCTGAAACACGCATTCTACAAATATAATTTTTATTTTTTTTATGTGTTACCCAAATAAAAAGTGAATAAAATAATAATATCATAAGTAACACTTGCTGTTTCTTATTTCCCCCCCTTCACTCACTCCTTCTTTCTCTCTATATATATATACACACGCATACATATACACACACAACACCAACAGACTCTCTCTGGAAATACATTTCTGATTTCTCCGTTGCTTCATAATTCAAAACAAAGAAAATTCTTAAAGATAAAAAAAATAAATTCAAATCGATGGAAGTGAGTAGCGTAGACGAGAGTACGACGAGTACAGGTTCGGTTTGTGAAGCTCCGGCGATAACTCCGGCGATAACGTCGGGAAAGCCGTCGGCAAATTTGTACAGGATGGGAAGCGGATCTAGCGTGGTGCTGGATTCGGAGAACGGCGTGGAGGCGGAATCGAGGAAGTTACCGTCGTCCAAGTACAAAGGCGTCGTTCCTCAGCCTAACGGGCGGTGGGGAGCTCAGATTTACGAGAAGCACCAGCGCGTGTGGCTCGGGACTTTCAACGAGGAAGACGAGGCGGCGCGTGCGTACGACGTGGCCGTTCACAGATTCCGCGGCCGAGACGCCGTCACGAATTTCAAAGACGCGAGGCTCGACGACGGAGAGATCGATTTTTTGAATTCGCATTCGAAATCTGAGATCGTCGATATGCTGAGGAAGCACACGTACAACGAGGAGCTCGAGCAGAGCAAACGGCGTCGTAGCGGTAACGGAAATACGGTTAGGACGATGACGGCGTTGAATAGCGACGGTGTTTCGACGACGGAGTTCAGATCGGCGGAGCCTCTGTTTGAGAAAGCGGTTACGCCAAGCGACGTTGGGAAGCTGAACCGGCTCGTGATACCGAAACACCACGCGGAGAAACATTTCCCGTTACCGTCGAGTAACGTTTCCGTCAAGGGAGTGCTGTTGAACTTCGAGGACGTGTCGGGGAAAGTGTGGAGGTTCCGTTACTCGTATTGGAACAGTAGTCAAAGCTATGTGTTGACCAAAGGTTGGAGCCGGTTCGTTAAGGAAAAGAATCTACGTGCTGGTGACGTGGTTAGTTTCAGCAGATCCGACGGTCAGGATCAACAGTTATACATTGGGTGGAAATCTAGATCCGGATCGGATTCAGAAACGGGTCGGGTTTTGAGATTGTTCGGAGTCAACATTTCACCGGAGAATTCGAGAAACGACGCCGTGGGGAACAAGAGAGTGAACGATACTGAGATGTTATCGTTGGTGTGTAGTAAGAAGCAACGCATCTTTCACGCCTCGTAACAACTCTTCTTCTTTCTTTTTCCCTTTAATAATTTTTCTTTCTTATTATTTCACTTCTGATTCCTATTTCAGTTGCATCAGTTTCTTCTTATTACCAAAGGTTCATGAGTTGTTTTTTGTTGTATTGATGAACTGTATATTTTATTTATAGGATAAAAAAGGTTATTTAGATGTCTCAAGAGTTTTGATAGCTAGCATGAGAACGTTTTTACCAAATTTAACCTTGTTTCTTTTCATTTCATGTGTATGTATAGAAGTTATCATTACATGTATGGATTAGCTACTGCTTATGGTATTTGGTGATATCGTACGAAGGATACTCTCAATAATAACATATCCCACGGTTCTAACAAGTGTTAAGTAGTAATTAAGAAAATATTGTCTTATTGATATATATGCCAAGATTTGAAGCGTTGTTAGAACATAAGTTTCCAACAAATAAACTTTTGTTCAAAAAAAAAAAAAGTTTCCAACAAACGATTTTTAATATTTTTTTATAACTGCAACATATCACCGTCAATAAAGTCTTCCCGTTGATTATAACCGAAAAAACCAAATTATACCGAACCGAAAAAATGATATGGTTTGGTTATAGTTAAACCTAAAAATCTATTTGGTTATCATTTTTTTTATAATTTTGGTTTAGGTTTGGTTTGGTTAAAACCGTCAAACCAAAAGGTTTTTTCAGTTTTTAAACTAAATTTTAAATAATTTTTATTTTCCTAATTTCTTAATTTAGTTTAGGTGCATATTTTATTATTGAACTTAGTTATCTTTATAATTTACTAATTTAACTCATAAATTTAAAATATAATATTTATAAAAAATATCTACATATAAATAATAAAGTAAGCTTTAATTTCTCAATAAAAAAATATGACTCCTTTTTCTTCACATTCAAGTCTTCTAGTTCTAGTTTCAAGATTATAAGTATTAAATTTTAATTTAGATTTGTTTATTGTTTTATAATTATTGATTATGAAAGATTTGAAAATTAGTTTGTTTCTCTGTTTTGAAATCTGTCCTTATTGATGAATTTTTAATGATTTAGATTTTATTTTTTGAATTTATTGTTTTATTTCACTCATATTTATTATTATTATTATTTCTATTAGTTTGAATTAAAAAATTTCGTAATAGTATAATTCCAGAAAAACCGAAACCAAATCATATCAAACCGAACTGTAAAAAACCAAACCATACTGAACCGAAATATATATGACTTTTATATGATTTGAATTTTTGTAAAACCGATAAACCGTAAAACCGAAGAAATCAAACCGAAACCAAACCAAAAACCGAAGTGCCCACCCCTAAATTATTGTTGATGTTGATTAATATTTTTTTGTTAGGAGGGTATTGAATAATGTTTTTTATTTATTTATTCGTCTATCTATTCATATATCTCTACTTATCAATCTATCCTTTTTTGGCATTTCTTATATATCTTCTTGTTTCTGAAAATCTTTTAGTTTGTTTCCCTAAGTTGCGATTACATAACTACGAACCTAATAGCTAATTTTGAACAAAAATGAATGCTAAAAGGTTAAACATTTCAAAATCTTGAATAATGTTCCTTACAAAATGTTTTAGAGTATGAGTTGCAGATCTTTTGTTAGTGTGTATGATAATCAAAATAGAATGTAGGTAGTAGAGATCGGATGAGCATTTTAACGGAATCACAAGGGTTCATTCAAACATTAGACATGACTGATAATGAGAAACCTTGTGCTGCGTACAGAGGATCAATTCATACATAACATTCTCATCCAGGTCCAGCTCATCTTCATGCAATGCATTGGGGCATATATATGGTCTCTTTATACGAAACTATTATTTTTTACAAAACAACGTACAGTACATGCCAAGCATAAATAAAACACATATTACCCAGAAAAGCTTATATAATGTTAAAACACTCAAAACAACAACTGAATCAAATAGATAAGAAGATGTCTTTTCGACTTTTCCACTTGAATGATAGGGAAGTTAATTTGACCATAGCCTGACTTGTGATATGTTTCAGCATCGTCTTCGATCGTTAATGAGCCACAATAGAACCCGAAGACACATCGGCCTAAAGCCTGGAATAGCTGGGCCATCTTAAGGTGCAAGAAGATCAGTCGTGAAATCACCGATCATATGATATAGAATATGTTCGCCAATCGCCATTACTCATTAGCTTTAATCTAAACTTTCAGTAGAAAGGGACTGATATCTCTTCATAAACTATATATGATTAATTATAAGATTTTGGCTATTAAAGAGTGAAAATTAATCTTGTAAAAGATGAAAAAGTGACTAATTAATATTAACAGAGGTTATATAAACCCCCAAGGGCCTAAGTAGCCCATATGGGATCGATCATGGGCTTGATGGGCCTAGTCCAAATAGAAAGTTACACCGATTGATAAAATCAAAAGTTTTTATATATTTTCCAACAAAAATTAAAAATTTATCGATCCGTTTGCAATTTTTGTTTTTCGGGGGTTTTAGCAGTGAAGTTGCGAAAATGGCGTCTATGGTTTTTTTATCCAGTTTCTCGTCTTCGTCGTCTTTGCAACTATGTTCTTCCTTTAACGGCGAATATTATGCGTCGTCGAGGTGCTTTGGAACTCCGGTCACTTCTTCTTCGTCTTTATCGCTCTCCGGTTTGTCACTTGCTTTGTCACTGTTTATTGGTTTCACTCTGTTGGTTTCTCGTCATAGCTTTCGTGTTAAGCTCCGAGGAATTTGGAGATAAAAGAAATTGTTGGGCTATCTGATTAGAATTTTTTAAGTTTTCCCTTTAAAACGATGAAACTTGTTCCAATTTCAATGTTGATAATCGAAGAGATTCGGTATATGAAGCTTATCTTCTACCTCTCATCTGCAGGTAAGAAGAACTCATGTCCTCCGAGAAAATTCCACGTTTCCGCCAAGAAAGTTTCTGGCTTGGAGGAAGCCATTAGAATCAGAAGGTATTATTAGAGGAAAAATGCGAATCTTGATTGATTTGCTAACGTTTTTTTATTTGGAATTCAAGATTCATTCGAAGGTGGCACTCATCTCTCTGTTTTGGTATCAACACATTTTTCTAGGATGAGAGAACTTGAAGCTACTTCAAAAGTTAAGAGAAACCCACCATTGAGACGTGGAAGAGTATCACCTCGTCTTCTCGTTCCCGATCACATAGCAAGGCCTCCTTATGTAGAGTCTGGACTATTACCGGATATATCGAGTGAATTCCAGATTCCTGGCCCTGAGGGCATCCCCAAAATGAAAGCTGCTTGCGAGCTCGCTGCTCGGGTTCTAAACTTTGCAGGAACTTTGGTGAAAGTATGTTACTTTATAGGCTCTCCATGAGGATCTCTTGTTTCTATGCTTATATGTACTGAGTAGTTTGTTGTTGTTGTGCAGCCTTCTGTAACGACTAATGAAATCGATAAGGCGGTGCACGATATGATTATCGAAGCTGGTGCTTATCCTTCGCCTCTTGGGTATGGTGGGTTTCCTAAAAGCGTGTGTACATCGGTTAACGAGTGTATGTGTCACGGAATACCAGATTCTCGCCAGCTACAGGTACTTGAATTTGTGCTTTTTGCACTGGTTTATAACCCCAAGAGGAGGTTCTGAATGTTATTATCACTAACTATATTACCTCTTATTTGTAGAATGGGGATATAATAAACATCGATGTCACGGTTTACTTGGATGTAAGTCTTTGCAGACATTTTTACTTCCAACTATGTTTGATTGTAAAACGTTAAGAGTCATATGAACACCTTTTGTGGGGGGTTTGAAAACTTCAACAGGGTTACCATGGAGATACATCGAAAACTTTCTTCTGTGGAGATGTCGACGAAGGTTTTAAACGACTTGTGAAGGTAATTTCATTCTCTTTTTGTTTCACTGTGTGTGTGTGTGTCTCTGCAAATTCACAATATGTGCTTATCGTTGCTTTGGTTTATTGTTCTGTTAAGGTTACGGAAGAATGTTTGGAGAAAGGTATAGCCGTATGTAAAGATGGAGCAAGCTTCAAGAAAATCGGCAAGAGAATCAGGTAAGTAACACCATTCTTGATGCAAATATAGGTGTGTGCAGAGAGGTATTTAGTTAGAGTAATGTTATTAAACAATGCTGCTGAAACTTTTTAAAACAGCGAGCATGCCGAGAAGTACGGCTACAACGTGGTGGAGAGATTTGTTGGGCATGGTGTTGGACCTGTCTTTCACTCCGAACCCCTTATTTACCATTACAGTAAGTAATATCTTTCTTGCTCGTTTGCTTCAGTAAAAACGCTTTAGCTTTGTCCTCTGTAACGTAGTAACATGTAACCTTGAAGCATCAACGAATTCGTCTTTTGGTGTCTCGTTCATTTTTTCTATCAAACTTGCAGGAAATGATGAGCCTGGGCATATGGTTGAGGGACAAACCTTCACAATCGGTTAGCCATTTCTGTCTTTGCCATGTGTCCATATGGTTTTTCATTTGCTTATTATGAGGGATACTGTTATATAAGATTATAACAATTGATTTCGTTGGCAGAACCGATTCTGACGATTGGAACCACGGAATGTGTGACGTGGCCAGACAACTGGACTACTCTAACAGCTGATGGTGGCGTAGCCGCACAGTTTGAGCATACTATTCTGATTACTAGAACTGGTTCTGAGATTCTTACCCAATGCTGATGATATTATTCACTGTAATGTTGATTCTTGAATCTCAGTTTTTATATGATTTTTCTCTTCAACTTTACCCTTGAAGAAGAAATAGTTGTAACACCTTAAAGGCTTTAGTTTTGAGCAAGATTCTTAGTGGATTTCCGAAAATCATCAATAACTTTTTTTTTTCAATCATCAAAACATATCTAAAACACAATACTTGAAGAGTGTATCTGTTGCTCTTGTGTGTGTTTTTGTTGTAACGATCTTGGTGGATCTGCTTCGTTGTGATACATTTAGTGGGCTTAAGTGTTGGGTTTTTTTTCCTAATGGGTATTTATTTTATAGAGCCCAATGTGACTAAGCTGGATCGCGCGTGTACTCCACCCTCCGTAATTATTTTAATAGTATATCATAACACCATGGAAACTTTCTGTATTTAGAAAGTTTGGCTCGTCAGGCGCGTGGCCATTTTCGAGCTCAAACTCTTAAAGTGAAATACTTTTGTTAATTTCTTTCACTGAATGCTAGTATATTTTTATTTTTTGCTTTATTTTTAATTTTATTTTTCACGATCTGGCCTGGATTGGTTATAAACATAGCATAACATATCTGATATACACCCATTTTTTTCAGAAGAAATAGTTTTTGTATGCTATAATGAAATATATTTTGCAACATTTTAAGGAATTGGTCTTTTTCTTTCTACGTTGTTTGTCACTTTGTCCTTCTGTAGTTTTTAAAAATAATTATATACTCCTGTGTATACGTATCGACACAGTAGTCATAAACTTACACACTTATGAAGACATTAAATTGGGAGTATCAGGTCCAATACTCCTTCAGTATCTATCAGTTTACAATTTCCAAAACGACATTTAATATTCCGTACCTTTGAGGACCAATTTATTCAAAGTTTGAAACCAAAACAAATTCTCAATTTTTTTATATTTATATTCGAGATATATATGACAAGTAGTCTGACAATTTAACTAGCTCACGTAGATTTTTTGTTATAACAGTGTTTGAAAAATATAATCGCTTGTAATTTGATTCGATAGATAAAAAGATGAGATAAAATAAAATAAAAATGAGAAAGACAGAGAAACTGAAGTAACCTCAGAGTCGTGAAATTTCTCTCTCCAAGTGTGACATAGACAAATGTGTGTAACGTTAGACATCACTACATAAAGCGACAACAGACAGTTTCTGTGTTTGGATAAATCGAACTGCCACTTTCGACGATTTAATTATCATTATATTTTACCACCATTATTTATCACCAGAGAGACGCTCTTTAATACTTTTTCAAAGAAATCGCTATGTAATAATATATCCACTACAACATTTCTCGTCCGAGAACACTTTTTTTTTTTTGGTGTCATCGAACGTTAACTACTTCTGCAATAGGAATTCCAATTTAGGACAACGCCCTCAACAAATACACATACTGAAATTCTAGTGCTCTCTAAATTCACAACAGCTGTAGTTTCAGAGGATTACAGTCGGACATGTTGATCTGAGATATCTCTCGGTTAAAAAAAAGAGAAAATGCAAACCCGTTAAACTATTTACAAGTATAACCAAATGTTTTTTTTTTTTTTTTTTTTGGTAAGAGTTATAATAACTAAAAAGGTAGAAATTGTTTGGAGTTATGATAAGGTTACAAGCACTTGCATAATCCAGAGCCACTACATTTATTTTCGGAACTCGTAATAAAAAGGTACTTTTAAATTCACTAATGAAGAGTTTAATAATATCAAGCTTACCTCACTTAAATAAACCCTAATAACGCCCATCGTTCATAAAAATGAAAAATTAATTAGTGTTTGCCTTAGAAAATTTGACCATAACGACGAAAATGATCATATCTAAGCCCATAGTTATTCTCTCCACGACCAATTTCTCCATTACCATCTTTTTCTTCTTCGCCATCATCTCGCTCATCTTCTTCATCTTCTTCCTCCACATCATCATCATCGTCATCATCTTCCTCTCCGTCTCCAATAGCTACAACGCGATCACCTACAGTGTGAGCCGCATGACCTTCACCAAAGGCCCTCACGTGGTCTTTAAGAGACCTCTTATGCTTAAAATCTGACCCACAAACGCAAAACCACAACTTCCCACAATTCTTCTCGTGCGTCCTCCAATCGCCTCTCACGGCAAACGTTTTCTCGCACTTTTTTCGGCAACGGAAAGGTTTGGCTCCGTGCTTCCGCTTGTAATGCGTTTGAAGCGTTCTAAAGTCTTTGAGAGGTTTTGATCTTGGATGGTCTATGTTGTTCTTACAACCTTCGGCGCAACAGTAACATGGCAGCCTTAGTATCGAAGATGATGATTTCGTCCCTCGCAGCGACTCTGGACCCTTTCGGTATTGCGAGCCATGACCCCACATATGCATCTACAAACGAATAAAAAGAACAATATACGAAAGATGTAATTAAATAGAACAGTAATTTGGTTCTCTTATGTTTCACGTTAAATTCATCTATGATGAGCAATTTACTTTGCTTACTGTATATATATATTATCATAGTATTTATGAAGATAAATAAGATTCTTTTACTCCGATCGATCGATACTCATGAAACGCAGAGGAATATAGATTTAATTAAAGGTATATTATAACAAATTTTTTTTTTTAACGTAATTTAGTTCAAAATACTTGTTGTAATGATATTAAACCACCTTGCAACATAACTATTTTCATAGTATTCGTGTAGATGATAATCAATGTGGAAGTTAGGGGGAATTAGGAATATAGTTTGAGAGTTGGATCAAGAAAACTTCCTTTAATGATAGCTAAATTAATCAGTTTTGTAATAATGATATATGAAACCTGCATGTTGTTGAAGCGGTTGAAAGTTTTGTTACAAACGGAACAAGAAAACTGAGTGGGACCGACAAGGATCTGAGAAAGTGAAGGGATCCAATACTGTCCCTGCCTCGCCGTCAAACCCTCTTGGTTGTTCCCGCCGGTAGTGGTTTCTTTGTCGGAAACCGGAGGTCCGATATGAAGAGCAACTGTGACGTCATTAGGGTTTGTCAATGGGAGATTATGAAACTCGTGATGATCGATTTGATGCTTTGGAGAAGGTTTAGTGCTGGTGGGTTTGTGAAGGTTAGGGTGTTGGCCAGGAGGTCCAAGGCGGAGGACGACGGAGTCTTCGTCGCCGGAGATGCAATATTGGCTATTATTATACATTGAGGAGAGAGAAAGAGAGATGAGAGAGATAAAAGAGAGAGAGAGAGAGAGAGAGAGAGAGATGGGGTTTGAGGAAATGGTGGTGAAAGACAATGGAGACTGGACGGATTGGTAACTAATAAATGATTCTCTTATTTTTGTACTTTGCTTTCGCTTTTTTCTCCTCGTAAATTTACGTGTTACGATTTACAAACCCATGTTTGGTTCCATTTTCCAAAATATATATATCTATTCACTTTTGAAACAAATTATAATCATACATTGCGTTTAATTGCAGTGTTTGAATGCGCTACTTTAACTTCTACATTTTTAACTTTGGATATGAAATATGGAGCAGACATTAATATTATATTAGTACATCTTTATCAATGTTTCTTTAGCAAACAAGTATATATTTTTATTTGTTATTAAGAAAAAAAAATTGTTGATCAAAATTTGTTATTACAATATAATATTCTAATTCAAATATTTTTCTTCCCTAGTTATTTCAATATATATATATATATAATTATATATGTTAATAATGAACTTATAATTTTTAAAAATATATATTTCTGATGTCTAGAGAAGTTATGAGTCGAAATCCAAAATCATTCTGGAATGTCATTTTATAAAGAAAAAAAATTCCTTGTCATAGATATAACTAAATATCTTTGCTGAAATAAAACGTTAAAGAAGACTCGGACAGTATGGCCACATATTTAACTTGCGAGAAAAAAAAACTGTATATATTGAAAATTTTATGTGGGTATCTGTCATTATTAGCAAAGAATGTACTATTCACTTGGAACTCGCTCTCCTTTCTAGGATCCCAAAACCATTCTTCGTTTCACGACTTCTCTCTTTCAATTTCTTCAAATATATTTATAATATAAGTTTGTTTTATTTGAGTGATCATTTACTCTCCTCACAATTCACAAACCAAAAGGTGAGAGTACACTCTGATACAAAGAAAAGCAATAGACATGTAGAAACGTGGCGTTAACTGTAGATGCGAAAGCTTCTCTCTCTCTCCACTTTCATCATCTGAGTTCTGAACCAACTTACTGAGATAGTGATAGTCTCAGTGATGATGATATTATTAAAGTTCTCATTTTTTAAATAAATCTTTACTGCCAAAAGTTATCCCTAATCTATTCTCAGACTTTTTGCTTTAGTCTAAAATTTAAGGAAAGTGGAATTTTTTTTTCTTCTTTGCTTGTTAATGGGATTGGAATGTAAAGTTGGACGAGAAAAGTGAACATTTTGCTTTGCTTCAATGCTACAGTTAATGCTAAAGACATATGGTATTAGGTTTTTCTCTTTGAAAGAGGTTTCCGGTTTTTGAATCTAAATGTAAATAAGGAAACTTAAAAGAATATAGTGTTTTCGAAATTTTTTTTAATTTTTTTCTTTCCATTTATGTTAGCTAGGTTTTTTAATTTTGAATAGTGACGAAAACATGGAACGAAAACTACCAGATGTTATACCGTCGTTTAGACCCCCAAAAAACTTGTTTTAAAGGTTTATGCTTAATCATACAATGTTGTTTGCTTTTCCCACATGAATCAGTACTATAATAAGATTAATATGACTTTTGGTAACTGTTCAAACAGAATCTTCAAGCCTTGGGTATTGCTTTATAAATAGTCCACGAGGCTTCGAACCGAGGTACTTTCTATGTTGATTAGACATGTCGAAAAAACCTTAAAACAATGTCGTAGAGAGAGAAAAAGAAGCTAGCGAAGAACCACACAAACATATATTATATGAAATCTTGGTCCGATCATAGTTATTTCATAGTTTTGGTTGATTGAAGCAGTTAGATTCGGAAACTTCAAAGAATCCGAAGAAGAAAAGCACAAAATAGTACGAACTGAAACAAAACTGTAGCTCCCTCATCTCCTATGCTCTCTCTCTCTCTGCTCTGTCACATTATGTTTATTATTAATTGTTATTTTTTAGTATATGTTTTTTTTTTTGTATTTAATGCAAAGTTGTGAAATTGAGAGCACATGAAAGTTATTTGTCAATATTTCCTTTTCCTTCGTCTTGTTGTAAGACTAAGTTGTAACTTACAAGTCCTCTTTCCATAATCCCAACATTTTATAACTCCTTTCACTTTATTTTGTCACAAAAAAATGAGTGTATATAATGTAATTTTATTTGATACTCGAATGTTAAAATAAATTGCAAATTCGGTGACGTCTCTGCCAATATTGACGACAATCTGTTGGATTTTGTGGGTGTGTGATTTTGTCACATGTCCTGAAACTTAAAGAATTTAGTGTGTATGTACTTGACCAAAAAAGGCTTATCAACTGGTGGGTCTAGTTGACAAGAAAAAACTTATGGGCCCATTAGGCTTGAAAATGATAAGTAGTCCCAAGATGGTGTGGAGACGTTGTCGTTTACAGTGCGCTCGCCTGTTTGATATGACTGTGAATATGACCTCTTCAGTCTACGAAGGGACAATTAAGAGCGAATTAGAAGCCAATTAGGAACAATTAGAAGCCAATTAGCGGTACGAACATATATGATGTGCCAACTCATTTCATAACTTCCAATCTAATCAAAAACAAATTGACTCAATAATCACCGAATTCGAGCTTATCAACACGATAGTTATATACTTATATCATTTAAAGGGCACAGCTAGGTCATCCTCATTTTTTTTTAAAATTTTTTATAAGTCTTGTAAACAGTAAAAATGAAATTTAAACTATGTTCGAACTAACGGGGATAAGAAATGACAGTTAGTTTCTTTTCAAGTCATATTATACATTGGTATTTGATATGTACAACATTATTGGTGATAGTAATCAATTTCTTACAACCATTAGTTAATAACCAAATATTAATTGTCATTATATATTGGACTTATTAGTTATTACCAAAACATACACAGATTACTAATTAGACCTTAATTTGCTATATAGTACGAAGTCATTGCTCGTATAATTGTGCATTCCATGCATCAAGGTTAAACCACAGAGTATTAGAGTTTCCGTACATTTTCATGTTAACGATGCTAAAGATCACATTTATTAGGAGTGTAATTTAAATGAATTAGTGTCCGAAATAGTTATATAGGAGTATTAGGTTAGTTTTAAAAGTATTTATTGATTGTGAAAGGCATTGGCATACCATTATCTTGGAAAGTTGGAATGAAGCATGAGGATCTTTGATAATACAGTCCAACACGTTATGTTTTTTCTTTCATGTTTTACTTGGCATAACATAAGAATACAACTAATTAGTATTACCGGTCAAAATTCAAAGATATTGACACATATAAGATATATACAATTATACACACTAACTACATATTAAATACGGATAATTAGATAACGAATTCAACAAAGTCAAGATTCGGTGACACTCCAAATTTCATAGAAAAATTAAATCCTAATGGATAAAGGGGAATTTTTTTTTTTTGAGAGAATAGAAATATTTTAAAAAAAAAACTTAAATGAGGTTATCTACTTCTAGAGCCTTTTTTTCTTCTCCCGTGTTTTGGCTTCTTCGTTAAGAGACATTTGGCTTTTGAGTTTAAAGTCACTTGTTAGTCATTACAGGTTTTTTTCCTTAGACAAATTTCACATCTCAGGACATTTTTTTTAATAAGGGCAAAATACATAGTACTATTAAGTATCAACTATATAGCTTATGCATACCACTTTTCTTCCCGAGCTCTAAATAATTTGGACTTAACTTACCACAAATCCAAGCCAGAATTTTCTTTTTAAAATTACTAGTAGCAAAGAAATTGTGATGAATTATAGATTTCATGTGATTATTGCCAAAAAAAATGAAAAATATCATAACGTGGAAACTTGACGACATAGACACTCCAATAATTATATCCATAACAAAATTAAGATAAATCGATTTTTATTATATTTGTTGCATTCAAATTTTGTTTACTAATCCCTCGAATTTTAAATTATCAAATAATATACCGTAACTTTTCTGCTACACCGATTTAAATGTTGATTTTCATCAGACTCATATAGAAATACTCCATATTTTAACTTATCATTAGTGACTTTCACTGAAATCAATTATAGTGTTGCATTTCTTCTAAGAAGCTTATTTAATTGTCATAGTGTAACATTAAGAAGTTCGTAACTTATCACCCCCATATTATATGGCTTAGATTCTCGATCAATATTTGACTACATAAAACAAATAAGTATCCATCTCGAACTTTTTTTGTTTGTTTGTCGTCTAATTAATAAGCATCCTCTTGTTATGTGCATTCTTGACAAAATTAATAAATTACCTAACAAAAAACTTGGAATCACATTGCCGAATATTCACCACTCTCTATCTACTACGAGCACAACAAGACATATAATCAAATTGGTTACGTTTCTTTTATAAACAAATAAAAATACGAAACGCAAGATTCGTTGTAACGCGACGGGCCGACTTTTTATTTTTTTTCACCTCTCAAGATAGTGATCCTTGAGAGGCTTTATAGAGCCGTATATATATACATGTATTGATCCTTTTCTCCATACAAATACCCAAATCTCAATTAAAAGGTGGATCATTGATTAGTCCATAAAGCATCATGATTAAGAAGCTAAGCAATATGGATTACAACCAGAAACGGGAGAGATGTGGGCAATACATAGAAGCCCTCGAAGAAGAACGTCGCAAGATTCATGTCTTCCAACGTGAACTTCCTCTTTGCTTAGACCTTGTAACTCAAGGTACGTTAAAATAATGTACATAGACGATGAAGTATATCTATCTATACATATGCTTACTTCAATGAAATGCAAGATTTGTGATCTACATATACTTTTGAATAGAATGGAAAAAGAAAAAAAAAATGTGAAAATTGTAGCAGCTATACAAAAAAACTAAACTCTTTTTTTTCTTCAGCGATCGAGGCATGTAAAAGAGAGATACCAGAGACCACCATAGAGAATGTGTACGGACAACCCGAGTGCTCGGAGCAGACAACCGGAGAATGTGGGCCCGTTTTGGAGCAGTTTCTAATCATTAAAGACTCATCCACCTCCAACGAAGAAGAAGAAGATGAAGAGTTCGACGATGAGCACGGAAACCACGATCCCGACAAAGAATCCGAGGACAAGAACATGAAATCTGATTGGCTTAAGTCTGTTCAACTCTGGAACCAACCCGATCCTCTTCTTCCAAAAGAGGTAATTATACAGTAATTATATTAAAGAATCCAATTATCAAAAAAATATAAAATATCAAAGAATCCAGATCGTTAGCTCAACTATATTTAAATCTTACGAAAACGCTCTAAAATTTGCGTTTTGCGTTTTAGGAATGCTTGCAACAGGAGATGACGGAGGCAGTGGTGAAGAGAGATGAGAGTGTGAGAAAAGATCCGATGGAAGACGGTGGCGAAAGAAGGAAGAGAGAGGCGGAGATAGACGGAGGAGGAAGAAAGCAAAGAAGGTGTTGGTCGTCGCAGTTGCATAGACGCTTCTTGAACGCTCTTCAACACTTAGGTGGACCTCATGGTGCGTTTTAATATTAATTTTCTGACGGTTTAAATTAATATGTTTTATCTAGGGTTCATGAGATTTTAATTAGTATATTGATTTTTGTGAATGGATTTTGCAGTAGCTACGCCAAAGCAAATCAGGGAGTTGATGAAGGTTGATGGATTAACCAATGATGAAGTTAAAAGTCATTTACAGGTAATCCTATCAAACACATGCAATCAGCAATTCTTTTTCTTTCTATAAATTGATCGATGTATATATATATATTTCGGAAAATAGAAAACCTCTATAATTTGATATATTAATTTTATTTGAAAACCTCTATGATACATAAAACTGATATTAATTTATTTCTTTTTTGGGATATATAACAATAGAAATATAGACTTCATACAAGAAGGCCAAGCCAAACAGTCCCTAACAACGGAAACTCTCAAACGCAACATTTCGTAGTCGTCGGAGGTTTATGGGTCCCACAATCTGACTACTCTACGGGCAAGACCACCGGAGGAGCCACCACCAGCGGCACTACCACGACAACCACCACGACCGGGATCTATGGAGCCATGGCCGCACCACCGCCGCCACAGTGGTCGAGCCATCCCAATTTTAGGCCGTCAATTATTGTGGAAGAAGGATCAGGAAGTCATAGTGAAGAGATGGTGGTCAGGTGTAGCTCGCCAGCGATGTCTTCTTCTACTCGTAATCATTATGTCAAGAAAAATTAACTTGTTTTTACTCGATCTCTCTAATGTTTTTTGGTTCATTTTATTATACTATTATTTTGTTTTTGTTGTCTACAAGTAACTAGAATTTGATACTGTGATAAAAAAAAAAAGAGTGTATATATAGAGTTTTGCACCGAACCCAATACTATATATTTACTCAGTAAAAATGCCATTTATAATTTACATCTTATTGCTGTTTAATTTTCAATTTTTGATGACATATATGAATTGATTTTCATCAACGCGTACGCATGTGTGATAAAAAGTAAGTAAAACAAGTTGTGGGGAATTACTGCTTGTATTCCAATATCACTCATATTGTGTTCAGTTTAGAACAACATTTTGTTTTTACGCAAAATCATTTACATGAATCAGAAGAATATAGACTGATAGTAGATCGCATTTGATATGTGTATAATAATGTATGTTTACAGCTCGTATGAACATGGCGGCAGAGTCGAGAGCAGAAGGATCTTCTTAGTAGTACTATATACTAAATATTTATCGACCATATTATATAAATTAAGTGCACACAGCCACATGACAACAAAATTGATCTTATTAAACAAAAAGACCCGGAAGAGGACTTATTGAATTGGTTCCATTCATGGGACGAATATGCTCGAATCCGAAAAGCATAACTTACTATAATTATAATTCTATAGTATTGTCAACATTTGTTTTTCTTTCAAAATTTAAATTTGATTCTTCTGTTGCTTGGATATTATTACAAATATGCACGTTAGCTACAATGTCATTGTCATATAGTATATTCTCTGCCTCTGGTTTAGAGAAGACTTTTATTCATTAAATAGATATGGTTAGGTCACTTAATATATTTGCTATTTGGACAGTATCTCTCAGAATCTTGAATTCATCTACAGATTCTTTTAGTTAATTGTTTATCAGCCGTACTGGTCCCATAATTAGGTTTGCCTTTCCAGGTGGCTTTAGGTGCCATGTGGCATTTAAAAAACTTATGTCTATACCAAAATTTTAATTGGTGTGAAAATTATTAAAAAGTAAAACCTTATAAGATTTAGTCCCAAAAAATAAGAAACCTTTTAAAATATATAGGTCCTAAAACAAAACAAAGATGGTTTAACGAAAGCCTTTGTAATTTGATTTATTTCAAATTAAATACAATACCTGATCAATTCTCTATTGGGAATTGATGATTTGGTTTTGAAATCTTATATTGTAATAATTTATCCGTTCCTTTAGATATTTCTTTTCTAAAATATATAAATTTACACATATTAAGTTTTGATTAATTTGTTTGATATGTTCATTACTAATTTTAAAACACTAAACATTGATATAATAAGTGTTCTTTTCATTTTAAGACAGAGTTTTAATACATGCATATAATAGGTTCGTTTTCAAGATCGGATCAAGCAGGCTAGAAATTCCATGTGCAGAATAAACAAACAAAGTAGATAAGTATTTTCCCTTAAAAAATATAAATTAAAGTTATGTATACAGACGTAGTGTCTTGACGACAGATCCAAATGATCAGGAATCGGATTAAGATCCAAAGGTATAAGTTTAAAAACAATTAGGGATGGCTAAGCTTTAAGCATGAGTTAGCGTGACCTTTCACACAAGTTAAAGGACAAAATGGCTCTTGATACTTATTTAAAGAACATTAACTATGATTAGAACAAGGGGAAAATACAAATATTTAATTCATCAACAAACTTCAATGCTTTTATTGGTCTATATCCAACATTAAAAAATGATAGACATGGAATATTCGAATTGACCTAATTAAGTCGTTATATTAAACTTGTAAGAAGAGTACAATTTCGATATACGACCTCAACTCTATCATCATATGTATATACTATACATGTCTCAAGTACGTGCTAATCTTGTTTTAATCCTTAGCAAAATGTTTGACATTGTGAATATTTTTGTTTTAATCCTCAGCAAAATGGTTGACATTGTGAAATTAATCTTGTTTCAATCCTACAGCAAAACGGTTGACATTGTATTAATTTTGAATATGTAATATGAAGCCTTTCGAAGATTCTTCGTTAAACACCGAACTTTTTCTTTTAATGTTTAAAATAACGAGATAGTTATATAAATTAAACGATATGCATTGTCATCACATTTATAAGTAAAAGTTACTTATAGATTTATAGTTTCATTCAAACTGTATATTATTTGGAGGTCATACTCATCATCTTAAGATATCAAAAACATGCCCTCAAAAAATAAAATCAAAAACGTTATTTATCTTGGTTGGACTTTGAGTTCTGAAAAAGTATTACATTTTGGAAAAATCAGGCAATCCAAATTTTGGACTTAATGGGCTCAGCCAATCTTTTAGTTCCAGTGTAGATACCCAATTACTCTGAAGTTTCACATTCATACATTACATATTTTTTCAAGTATAAATTTGAAAAGATCCGGCATTTTTTTCTTTCTCGAAGATGAAAGTACCTCAACTAAAAGAGATTTAAAACCTATTTTGTTCATCATCTCCTCCTAAGTATTAATTAAATCTGCATAAGGTAAAACGAAATAGTTGCAAGTGTATATTATTGCACATTCGGGCTTACTTTTACCCGATGGCAAAGAATTGTACCATAGTATATATCAACACACCTTAAATTGTTCTTCTTCATACCTTAAAAGACCAAAAGAAAAAGAAAAAAAAGTAAAATACTAACTACACACAATTAGAATCTTCTACTTGAATCGAAGCTCTCGTTCCCATCTTGTGGGAGTGTAAGCAATAAGATTAACAATCTTTTCACCTTTTGGAACAGGCAAATCTGTTTCTACCGGAATCTTCTGTAACATCATGGAATCGTTTAGCTTCTCATACTTGGCCAAAATTTTGCTTACTTCCTCTCTCTCGTTCTTGAATATCGATAGCCACGTGTCTTCCTTCGACGGCACACTCTTCCTCGCCGCTGCTAATGCTCGCCGGAGAATCCCAACCGCTTCGCCTACTCGTTCTTCGGATTCAAGCAACTCTGCCAAGTGTTTCTGGCTCTTTAGCTCGTGTAAAGCTCTCATTGTCGATACATATTCCTACAATCATCAAGTTAGGGGAATCCATATGTAAACCAAGAACAGTGTTTAGATAGTTTCATCAGAGCAAGTTCAAGATTAGTTGACTTACGAGAAAGCGGGACGATAAGTCTTTACATTCACCGTTTGATGTAGATGACAAATAAGCAGAGGCTTCAGAAAGCATCTGTGTAATACCGTAATGCAGCTTCGACAATAGGCTTGCGCTTTTCCCGCTTTCTTCAGCGTTCTTTGTAGTTACAGCCTAATATACATTTGAGGCAAGAACTCACCAAGAGAGAGAGAGAGGTACGTGAAGAGAAGTTTTGTGAAAGTTAGTTAAGAAAACTGACCTGACCTTCAGCTAAACAGAGGAGGCTCAAGGAGGAGCAAAGAGGAGGAGTTAGTTCGGGAAGCTTCCCTTGAGGCAACGAAGGTTGTAAAGAAGGAAGAAGGTCATGAGACAGATGATGGAAAGCTCCTGATGCTTCTCGGTACAGCGTTACCGATTTCTTAACATCTGTTGATACTAACTCCATAGCTCTCTCGCGGAGCTTGATCGCGTAAACGAAAAGTACCATTCCAAGCTCGAACATTATGTTGTCGACTTGGAAGAACTTAGGGCATCTACGCTGAATCAGTGTCTGCGATATCAATCCACTACTCCATCTTATCTTGAGTCCCGATACCTTTGTGATCTTTTCAGAGTAATGCACCAAGTTGAAGAGTAGTGGAAGGTATTGTCCAAGTTTATGCAGATCCTGTATAATAATAACAAAGGCTAAGTTCAACACAAATCTGAAATATTCAGAAAGCTAATCAAAAAGAGAGAGAGAGAGAGAGTAATATACTTGCTCAGAGGAAGAAGTTAGTCCTCTGTTCATCTCTCTTGCAATGGCATCAGTGACATTACTGGTTCTGTTTACAGATTCCTCTATCGCTTTACGCTTAGAGCTTAGCTCTTTAACTTCTACTAGAGTAGCTGGACCATCAGATGCTAACGCTTTCTCGAACAAAATCTGATTTTTTTCAGGCAAACACAAAAATAATGACAAAATTCTACAAATAGTGAGAAGAAGGCCATGACTTACAAAAAAATTTCAGGATCAAACACACAAAAAAAACCTAAAAATCAGAATGTAGATTTCGAGTCGTTTCAGAGAGATTTTTTTTTTAGGTTACCTCTTTTGTTTTCGGTTCTGGAATTAGGTACTGCATCATCGTCATCTTCTTCTTCTTACGCAACTAGATAAATCAAAAGCCCCCAACAGGAGGAGCTCAAATTTTCCGAAACTCTAAAATTTGCTATTGATTGGTTTTTCTAAATAACACTCAGAAGAAATTGCAATTCCCGAGAGTGTGGGGAATTTTGTTTTTTTTTCAGGAGATTCAGATATAGTTTTTCCTAATCCTATTGAGAGTCAAAAGTGTGGGATATCAAATAGAAGCTGAAAAAAGGAAATTTCTTAGAATTTGAAACAGCAAGCCAAAGTGTGCAACAACAAGACATCAAGTGAAATCATCAACAACACAAAATTGTAATATTCGAACTGAAAACTTCAATACGACCTTTGATCAACATATTATATATCTATTTGATATTTTTCAACTTTTCGAGGGCCTTTCGATCGCTTCTTAGGTCAACAATTTCTCTGCAATTGGTTCTGTTTCCTTCTTGGACAAGGTTTTGACTTTTGATTGGCTTTAAGAACTGGTTGGAGTATAAAAGCCCATGGGTTTGAACTTTGAGCTGTAAGACCGATAAGTTGACCAAATTTAAATATTATTCGGACTATTTTACTAACTTAATTACAATTCTGTATAACGTCATCGTTTCAAAATTTGCTCATAAAAAACCTGATTCAAACTGCACATTTGTAAACTTTTTATTTACAAAAAAAAATCTAGAACGAAATATATACATACATACTTCCATCGAGATTTACAATTTTAAATATGTCAATTTCGAAAGCAAACAGTTTTCAGTCCCAAAACTATGTTAAGCTGATCAAAAATGAAGGACAAAAGAGGAAAAAAGCTTCCCACAAATCACAAAAACATGAAGCTGACATAAGTAGCAGACATCTACAAATGGACACTCGTTTACGGTCGCTTTACGTGTAAAGTACAGAAACACACAAAAGTTTTTAAGTAGCGTTACAAAAATTCAATGCACTCTTTCTAACAAACTCAAACTGTGTCTGCTTTAGAATTAGCTAGACATCATCACATTGTCAATAGATTGGAGGGCTTGATTTGCGAAAAACCGAACATCAACATCTGGGTCTTCACTTAGCTCCACCAAGCATGGCCGTATCATCTTCTCCACAACCTTTCACAACCAACCAACAACAAAATAATTTTGTACGAACGTTTTAGATTCTTAATGAGGACAATCATAAGAACAAAAAAAAAGAGAATTGCGAATGAATAATGTGACACTAACCGATTGGTCAACTATTGAAATGAGAGATTGCATCATTTTGGCGACGTTAAACTTGATGTTTGGAACTCTGATAAGAGAAGAGAGAATAGTTTTTTACTTTGCTATTTGGGGAATCATGAATTGAGTCAGTGAGATTTCATTTTCTAAAAGAGAGAGAGAGACTTGCCTGTCTTTAGATGCAGTTATCACAGCAGGTAAGAGTTTGGAGCATGTGATCTCGGATCCCATTACTGGAGCCAGAAGTGATACTGCACGAAGAACTGTCATCCGATAGAGATAATGTGGATTGTTAATCATCTCTAGAACCTGCACAAATAAATATACAAATCATCCGTTACTGAAAATAATCATTTTGTATCAAAGAGAAGGAAAAAGGTCTACCAAACACTTGATGTTTCTAGACGAACCTGAGGAACTATATGCTGCATTGCCCACTCAGGACCAAACTCTTCAGCAAGACGCTTCAGATTGTTTGCAGCAGCGTCTCGGATTGAGTGAACCTGACAACAGAAAATTTCCCAAATGTTTAAACGGTCGAAAAAGACTGATTTATCTATCTGATGAATCAAATGAAGGTAGAGAATGATGGGGGACCTTGTCTTGTAACCATTGCATGCAAAGACCACCAAGCTTATCGTCAAAGAAGCCAACACCTAACTGACTAGCCAACAAGGGAATATACTCGATTATAGCAAGACGTACTCTCCAGTGCCTATCTTCAGCAAGTTCAACAATGGCTGGCAATAAAGACTGTGATAGTAGATCAATCCCAATAACCTGCCAATATTTAAAACAATGACTTTTTTATATATAAAAATTAGATGGTAAAAGGAAGTTGCTGCCGAGGGGTATATATTAGTCTTTCACTTTGAACATGTGGAGAACCTTATCCAAAATAGAGTTTCAATGTTGTGCAAAAAGATAATAAGTAACTTTGGTCAATAACAAACCTGGTTCACTTGGTCAAGTTTGCTGATAATGTTTAACCGTACATCAGGAAACTCGTCTTTCAATAAAGAAAGAAAAATTGGAAGAAGGTGTTCAATTGTTGCATCCTGCAATAAATATCAATGCTAAGTTGAAAGCTGCAACATACAAAAGTCAAACACAATATCTGATGCAGAAAAAGATATATAGTTTATTTTAACATAGATTATGGTTGCGGCCACCTTCCAGACACATATTACACAAGCTCCTAAACAACCAGGAAGAAGAAGATATATAGTTTCAAACAAAAGAAAGAACCGTTGTATATAAGATGCTAAACCTGAGTAAAATAATATGAACTTCATATAGCCAAATGGATTGGTATCGGTTTTCAATTCCCCTTACCTTACCCAAGACTGGAGCCATTCCCATTATAACTGAGGCCAGAGCAGATCTGACATGCTGAGACGAGTCCGAAGATAATTCCTACGCGTAGATTTTAATATAAGCTATTAGTAATAAGCATACACTGATGGTACATTGGTCCTTTGAACGATATGAAATTAATAACACTACTCTTGAGCGTGTGTACCTTTACACAGGGAAGAACGTGCTGGATAGCGAGTTCAGGGTTTAGGATCCGACAGAACTTAGTGACTTTTCCAGCAGCTGCTATCCGAACTTCAGCCTCATTATCACGAAGTAGACGAACATATGCAGGCACCAGATCCGTCCTTAACACAAAAGGCACATAAAAAGGCAAAAGTATAAGCAAGAATTAAGGAAACCTATCAAGATGACTCAAATTACAAATTCAAAGGTCAATAAAGACATCAATAAACCATAACGAACTCCAACAAGCACTGCTTACTTAGTTGGCTCCGACCCTACAGCTTCACAAAGTTCATAGAGCTGATTTGCAACCATATAGCGCACACGCCAGGACTTATCCTGCTCAGAGAAGAAGAAAAGAAGATAAAGCACCTCATACATATATGCCTTTAAGGCTCATCAGTTAAAAATCGTATCTTATTCACCTGTGAGAAATTGACAATCACAGGAAGAATGTGTGCAACACAGTCCTGGGGCTCCAACAACTTCCCAAGAGCAGCACAACTCTCGACAGCCAATAAACGAACTGAATCTTGATCTGATATCAACGTCAACAAGAAAGTTAAAAGCTATTAAAAATCATTCAATAGTAAAGACATAAAACAGAGATGTGGTGCGGCTTCGCTTCAGCTAAGCTAATTCTCAGTGTTCAAAGCATTAACCCTATTACTTGCTTTCTATTTACATCAGTCACTCCCATAAAAACAGGCTTGATGAAAATTACAAGACTCTATGCTGGCAAAACGAAACCATACAGCATCGGAAAACGTACCATCTTGCGTAAGATCCTCAAACATGGACATAATGTCCGTCTTCAAATGAGCTGATTCAATTGTAGTAGCGAATTTCCCTAAATTGGTTGCTGCAGCTCTGCGCACCATTGGCATGTCATCTTGACAGAGCTGACTATATATCGACCTCAGCTCCGTCTTCACCAGATCTGGCGCGCTTGCGTAAGCAATATGGAAAATCCCACATGCTGATACTCTAGCTGTGAACCACTCACCAGCTGAAAGTCGCTGTTAAACAATGATGGTGTTCAGTAGTGTTGAGAGCATAGCAATCATCTTGGATCTAGCAGGGGAATCACTATAACAAAGAGGCAAGCGAGTATGAGTTCTAACCTTCGCTAGAGGAATGAAATGATCAACCAAGTCCTTCTCCTTCATCTGAGAACCAATCCTGCAAAGCGAATCGACAGCTTTCTCCCTGACGCAGGTTTCCTCAACGGCCGAGAGAGTCTCCAGAGGCGGAAGCAGAACATTCGCGTGGTCGATCCCTCCGACGTAAGGAATGAAAACCCCCAGCTCTTCCGCCATTGCCAGGAGCACCTCGTCGTCGTCGTCATTGCTTTCGCTAAGAAACGGAATCAGCTCCTTTCTGGTTCTCTCCTCTCCAAGAGCACGAGCGATGATAGAAAGCCGCCTAATGGAGTTTAACCTAAGCTGGATATCATCGTTCTTTAGCTCGTCTATGAGCACGGCGATAGGGTATAAAGGCTCATCAACCATTGACATCCTTTATAAACGAATGATCCTATTATAAACAAAAAAAAAAAATGTACAGAGAGTCAGAAAAAGGAATTGAGAATTGACCATTTGCTACTTAAAAAGATAGAAGAAGAAACTTCGTCGACATCTTCCCGTAAAGACCTAGAGAAACTACTAGCACCAGTTTTGACTAATAAGGAGAGAAGTAACTAAGCAAGAATTCGATTTGAAATTCACATATACATTTGAAAAATCTTTGATAGGTTGAAGAAATGATCGAGACTTACCGATTACGCTGCTTTCCCAGCTCAAGCGATCTACTGGTTGAAAGAAGAACGAGAACGGGAACGAGAAGGAAGAAAACAAATTACTTTCTGAGCAACCATCACAATTCACAAGCTGTCCATAAAACTGGTCCTGTAAAAGTTAAGAACTAAATGGGCCTAAATATAATTCATAACAGTGGCCCATATGTTTTTCTTTTCATACTCCAACCTTTTAATGACTAGCGACGTCGTTTCGAGGATCTCTCTTCATCTCGTATAAAGCAAGCTTCTCACACTTCTGAGTAACCCAACACCATTTTCTCTTCTTCCTCAGAAAGTCCCGGAAAAGGAAAAAGTTGCTCTCCCTCCAGGTTTTTTTTTAATTTCCCGCGCATTATTCCGGGAGAAAATGGCTCCTAAATCGGATAATACAGAAGGTAAATTATCTCCGGAAGGGATTCCTCTATGCTCTTTGATCATGTTCGATTATTTGTTCTTCAGCGTTATCCGATCTGGGTTTTGTTTTTGTTGCTCTTATTCTTCCCCATTTAGTTTAAAACTTTTTTTTTTGATATGTCTCTTACTTACCTACTTACTAAATTTTCTTCGATCTGCAGCTATCGTACTCAACTTTGTGAATGAGGTAAGCACTTCTCTGCGATTCCATTTTGCTTGTCGAGAAACCTTAATTTGATATTGAAATTAAGGCTAGGTTACGCTACAGATCGATGTTCAGTGGAAATTTGAATTCTGGAATCAAGGTCTTTTTGGTTACTCATCTTCGCGTCTCTTAGTTATGTGAGAAGTTATATATATAACCACACGAATTTGTCGTGTGAAGCTTTTAAAATCATTCTGGGTTTGAAAATTTGGTAGATACAAGCTTCTTCGATCTATTTTTGATGAATGTGGTTGTTGTTACATTATGCTGCAGCAAAATCGACCTATAAACACCCAAAACGCAGCTGATGCTCTGCAGAAGTTCAACCTTAAGAAGACTGCAGTACAGAAAGCACTTGATAGCCTTGCTGATGCTGGGAAGATCACATTCAAGGAGTATGGTAAGCAGAAGATCTACATTGCTAGGCAGGACCAGTTCGAGATTCCAAACAATGAGGAACTTGCTCAAATGAAAGAAGATAATGCCACTTTGCAAGAACAAGTTCAAGAGAAGAAGAAAACAATCGGCGAAGTAGAGTCAGGTATGAAACTTACCTTTTCTCAGTACAGTACATAGATCTTTATATGTATTTAGCTTATGTGATGTTATCTTCACAGAAATCCGGAGCTTGCAGTCAAACTTGACACTAGAAGAGATTCAAGAGAAAGATGCCAAACTAAGGAAAGAGGTACATGATTTCTTAGCTTTGGGTTTTTCTCTTTATTTGAGTAATCTTGTAATAGAAAATAGCTTAAAAAGTGATTTCGACTTTGTACCAGGCTAAGGAAATGGAAGAGAAACTGACCAAACTACGTGAAGGAGTTACATTGGTGAGGCCTGAAGACAAAAAGGCTGTTGAAGACATGTACTCGGACAAATTGAATCAGTGGCGAAAGCGTAAGAGGATGTTCAGAGACATTTGGGATACCGTAACAGAGAATTTCCCAAGAGACATTAAGGAATTTAAGGTGCAAAAATCATACATCTTCACAAGTTTGAAGTTTCTTCTTTCAAACTACATTAACTTAGCCGTAATGTTTGACTGCTGTGACTTGGTAGGAGGAGCTTGGGATTGAGTATGATGAAGATGTCGGCCTAAGTCTGCAGGCATATTCTGATCTAATTCAACATGGTAAAAAGAGGGGCAGAGGGCAGTAATTTCCAGGTATGTTCTTAGAAATTTCTCACTCAGGTCAATTTTTTTCTAGAAACTTTTCATTACTACACGCATATTCAAAATAATTGAAAGCTTATATCCATAAAGAATTCATACAATAACCTTACACCCTTGACCAAAAAAAAAGAAAGAACGCAGAAAAATGATTGTTCAAAACTCAGTCATTAAACCATAGATGCACCTGAAAAACAAAAATTATACTTCTTAGTATCCACGAACCTGTCTGGTCCTGACTGAAATCGGACCCTTTAAACCCACTTTACGCATAATAGGATCTTCAACAGAACGAACCATGTCGTCCACATGTCCTGTATCCGCTCTATGCGAACCATGCATAACATGTTGCTCATCTTCAATCTTAGTGGTATCATTAGTCTTGACACCATATGGAGTTTCTTCATCACTATCGTATATAACAACATCCTTCTCCAACAGCTTCACAGGGTCTTCTCTAAATGACATCACTGGGACATCCTCAATAATTTCTTCAGAATCCGACATAGACCTCTTAGATTCTGACCTCGCATCTACTTCACCATCTGACAAATCTTCATCATTACCTTCTTGTTTTTGATCTGATTTCTTGTTCTCGGAACCACTGGATAAATTCCCTCCGCCAGTATTACCCTGACTGTCCCCTCCACGGGGAGAAAACTGATAAAGCTCCACAGCAGCTCGTGCAGCCTCTGCTGCATGAGCTGCTGACTCAAACGCTGCTTGTGCAGCATCAGCCACGTCTTTGTACTTCTTCTTTCCTCTCTTAACCGAATCTGATAACTCATAATCTTCTATTATCTCATCTTTTCCCTCTTCACTTGTTAGCTTAGCATTAGAAACATCTTCTGATTTTACCTGCATAAATCATAAATTTGATTAGAACATAATTTTTCTCTCTGTGTTTTTGTGGTTGTGTGGTTAATTGCAGATTCATATACCTCGGTGGAAGTAGAAGCAGCTTCTAGTTTCAGAACAATGTTATTCTCTGCAGCAATCTCCTTCAAGACCTTCATTCTAACTTCTCTCGGTGGATGTCTTGTCGACAACTTCTGAATTATCTATTAGTAACACCAAAACGAAACATGAATAGAAGAAACTCAGTAAGTATTTTTGTTCTGTATTTAGAGATATATATAACGTATTGAATATATTATTGGGTTTGAATGAATCAAAGTTGCGTACTTTGGGATTAACACCACTATTACTGCGTAACTCAATAGACCGAGCCGCGAGATCTTTGCCAAAACGCGAAATCAAAACGTTGCGAATCTCTTGAAGCTCAGGAAACTCTCCGATTCTAGAAGAAGCGAAGAGCAAGCTGGAGACAGCTTCTAGAAGCTCTTGAGGGCAATCTCTGTTGTGTTCGAAGAGGTGAATACTGTCGAGCAAAAGAGTGAAGTAGCCGTGGATGAAGAAGAGAACGTCGAGGGTGTTTTGATCTTTTATGACTTGGTCGACTCTGTGGTAAGCGTTCTCGTGGTGGCCAAGCTTAAGAAGCTCGGTGACGTCAGAGGTGGCTTGAGAGCATCTAACTTGACGCTGGTTCTTGAGAATAGAGAGCCTCGTGAGAGCTAAGTTGAGGAGAGACTTGAACTTGTTGGTTTTGAAACTCCGACCAAGCAAAGCGTCAAGCTTCTTCCCCATCTGCTCGCAGCGAGTAGTTTGCAGAAGCGAGAGAGAAGAGAATAGGTATTATGTTGTTTTCGGTTTTGAATTAGGGAGTTATAAGAGGAAAGAAGAGAAGACGCGTTACGTCGTACGAAGACTTCTTAGCAGCGAAGTTTTCCTTAGTTTGAAAAAAACGACCCAATTGAATTGAAGAAAAAGTTGGGGTCCGAAATAATAAAAACAAAAAGGACCGCTATTGAAAATCGCGCGCGATGATCTTTAGACCAAATGGTAATTTATTAATAAATAGGGGTAACATATCCAAATACGCTATTCTACTCGGTTGTTGCACTCGTACACTTTTGATTAATTAAAAAATCGTCAATGGTGCCAGTATCCACATCTGAACTTGCCATTACTTGTACAAGTCTCAAAATATGAAAGATTCAGGTTCGTGTATTAAATACTAATATATGTAGTCTCTTAAATCCATTCTGGTCAATATTAGGCTTCGTTCATCACATTTCAACAGTTCCAACTTTCAAGGTTTTTTTAACCTACTTTTTTTCTTAGACTTCTTTAAAGAGAACACTATAAACGGGAACACTCATTCGTCATTACAAAAGTTGTGAAATAGACACAAGAGAAGTGTCATTGTTACGGCTCTTAATATTGCAATTTGTTTAAGACTGGTAGGTTTAAAGGAATTATTAACGCTTTTGCCCGTGGGAGTAGGTTTGACAACAAATTAATCAGCAAAAATAAATCAAAAGCTCTTTTGATTTATACAGCCACAGCCCATCTTCATGTAACTTTCCACATCATAAACATTTTATTAATCATGATCATAATGTGTAAGGTACGGAAAATTAAAGATATATTTATTTCCAAAGGAAACTCCCTCATCTTTCACAAATCTTCTTCTAGACATTAGTTATCCCACTTGTCACAATCATCTCAAGACACTCACGCAAACCAAACACATTCTACTAAATCTTTTGTGATTCCAAATTTATCAGAAGACACTTCTAATGCTACCCAATCTTTTGTACTGACGCAAGTCTTCCCTCAAACTCGATTATACATGAAAACGATATTATCTGAATCCACCATATGGGATATTGTAACTAAAGCTCACATGTAGCAGAAAGAAGATAAGAGACAATCTAAAGACGAGAACGATCTTAAAATTAGAGATGTGTAATGTATATACAGGTATATAGGACAAGAGCATTATAGTGTTCACTTGCCCGTGATGAATGGGTGAGCTAATGCCTGTGACACTGACCAGATATCTAAAGGATGGTTCACAAAGGGTCCAAAAACCTGTTTCCATGGCCCATGGGCACCTTATTTCATTAGTTTGTAATGTTTAACGAGAACGCAATGCTTTTTAAATGGAGACGGGCCGTTCTGATCCGATCATACTGATCAGCTAAAAAACCCATAGAAAACAAAACACATTTGGTTAAAAACTAGGGGTCTGTCAGATGAATAACAGAATAGCATAATAATTGAAAAATTACTAGCGGAATGAACTGAACTGAATAATATTTTAGCTGAATAATTATGAAACGCTGAATAGCTACTTTTAATAAATTAATCACATTTTATTTTTTTAATTATATTTTTAACATGCTAGCAGAATCACGTTTCAAAAACATAAAAAAATATGAAAAGGTGATGAAGCTGCATACCATTCAAACCCTAAATTAAATCAACTTGACCAGTCCTTGAATCTGGTATAATCGGTTAGCAACTATTTTGAACTTTCGTTGGTTCGACCAACTTGATATCTGGTTTGATTTGGAAAACATTCTTCATAATTGGTTATGTTTTCCTTTTCCGAATTACTAAGGGTTATATGGTAAAACATTAGTATCAATCAATTGTGATTGTAATAGTCGTTTGTTTTATGGGATGTCTTTTGGCCTCTGTCTGAAAATGTAATCAGACTTTTATACGATTCGAAAAAAAGGAAAGTGTTAAAAGAAAATTAAAAAATAAACCAAATATGACAGAGAGAATTTTTAATACTAAAATTTGCACATTCACATAAGCTATGCGAAAGAGAGAAAAGATAATTATAGATCTGGGAAGAACAAACAAACGAATTCGCTTACACTAAATCTAGCAAATTTCCCCCACTAACAAAATATTTAACATTCCTAAATCCTAATAACATTATCATTAATAGATATTAACCATCTACCATAAAATGGTATGGTAAAAAAAAAACGGCAGGGAGGCCAAACGCTTTACAAAACGCCATCGTTTTTCATTTCCCACCTAAGAAAAAAAACCCCGAAAAGTTTGTTGTCTATTCCGCCGGTAAAGACTCCGACCGCCACGAAAATAGATCACCGGAATCAAAACAATCGTCGGAAAATTCGAAAAGTCCTCCAACAGCGACGTAATCTCCACCGTCTTCGATACCGGAACCAAAATCTAAAGAGTCATAATTCGGCACGTGGTCCTCGAACCCCCATAGCTCGTCGATTCCGGACGAATCTGAGGAGGCTCGTACCAAATCCGTTAACGTCTCCGTCGTTTCCTCCTTCACGACGGGAACCGGAGAAACCGTTGGAGGCGGTGGCAAACCGAGCTCGTCATCGGAAGCCTCTAGAAGATAACCGAGATCCGGCTGAGTTTCGTCGGAGCCATGCGCCGCCGTCGTGACCGTCGTCGAAGACGCAGCTGATAACTCGTCTTCGAAACTTTTCATAACCGAGTCGAGATCTTGACTCACCGGTTCAGGATCCGAGTCATCGAGAGCATCGAATAAATCATCTCTCAACCTCTTCACCTCCGGCGAGTCAAGAACCGCGTCGTCGGAATCGTCCCTGGCTCGCTTTTTCTCGGTCGACTCAGCTGAGTCACACCGAGTTAGCCTCTCCTCGTTGGCCAACAACTCCTCCGCCATGGCTTTAACAGCTACGCTTTAATTTCTTTTTTTTTTGTTTGTTCGGTGAAACCTTTTTTGTCTCAGTGGCAATATCGAAATTAGTGAGAGATAGAGGTGCAGAATGGGAAGAAGGGAACACGAGATTTTATAGTAAGGGAAAAGAGAGAGAGAGAGAATGTGAGGAGGGGAAATGTAAAGAGGAACGCGTGAGATGTGACGGATTGTTAGGCGCGTGGGAGAGCGAATCCTTTGGAATCACGGATCCCTCGCTTTTTTTTCTTTTTCGTTATTTCTTTCTTTTCTTTTTTAAATAGCCTTTTTCTGGTTTTTATCTTTTTATAATTTCTAAATATATTTTTTTGAAAACTTCCAGATGTCGCTTTCTAATTTTTAAAGCATAATGAATCGGTTTGAATTTGGACGTGGAGTCCGGTCACGTTGCAGTGCACATGCCCAGTCAATTACGCCCTCTTGATATTTCTTTTTTTTTTTTCTCATTTTGACAACATGCCCTCTTGGATTTTCAAAATAATTTTCTTTAACCCTTTTTTAGAAAATGGATTTCTCCAGAAAAATATCTCATGCGATTCAAACGTGGATTGTAGATTTTTATCATTATTTTTTCTATATACGAATTAACCTTTACCAATATATAATGTTTTCCTTGAAAAAAAAAGAAAGAAAAACTATAGATTTTTCATCATATCAATAAATATGGATGTTAGTTGATTTATTTTTAAAAAAAAATTATAAAAAACGTCGTTAAAACAATTTAACTAAAAAAATAATTAACATACAGGATTTATATTGATACGATTTTAAAAACATCAAAATATATATATAAATTATTTAATAAACTAGCTAGTACATGGAATCAAATGCTATATTATTATGGGGTTAAGTACTAACGCGGATACATCTTTAGCGGAAGAGTTACATTCTAAAACGCTACAACGTTAAAAAAGAAATAACACGTACTCCGTTTTTCTTTTGTAGTCACTGTTTGTTTAACTCTTATTACGTTTGTTACATGCTTATATTATATGCTTGTTCTGAGTGAGCTAGGTCCATTATGCCACCATATTTTCCATAACTTTATGCGAAGCTGTAGTTCAGAAAAGAAATAGTGCAAATATGAAAATGATCATACTATAAAAGTAGCCGTAGTATTGAATCCAGCAGTCATAGACTTTGGCTGGTCCTTTAGCACCCCTAGATTCTACTTAATTTATCATTGTACAGTTTAAACTGGCAGAGCATATACGTATTAGTGTGATACAACTGTTAAACCATTGCTCCAGCCTCCATGTCTAACTATGTCAATGTGAATGCATTTTTATGAAATAATTCATTTTACATATCTATACTAATCTGAAATCATCAAAAGATGATTTACACGTTAAATGTACAACATTTATTGGCATAAGTCCATTAGTTTATCCCATGTTCATATTTAGATATGATAGGACGCAGACAACATTTTCACTACGAGTTTTGTTTGTCTCAATACAATTTCCATTGGTCGAATTTAAAGACAGATCATAGTTCAACAGTTTTATAATTCTTCTACTTTTGCGGAATTAATATTTATATGTCTATAACTTAGCGTTCCGCAAAAAAAATGAAAAACATTATTTTATGCTTTGTAATATCAAGTTAAAAAAACTCTTAACCTAATATGGTTTTGCTATCTTTCTCCATAAATTTTTTTAAAAAATGTTTGTATCATTCTACAGTATTAGTGTATTACTATTGTGAACCTCTGTTGAACAAAGTAGTTGAGTACTTGAGAAATTTTGAGTTTTGGAACAAGGTGTGAATTTAGACAAAAGGCTATTTTTAAAAATTGGTGGGCAACAGGCATCTTAGTTTTGCCAATATACGTGGTTTAAGCAAAGTTGTGATTCTTGGTTATACATATATCTGTCGATCCATTACTTTCTTCTTCTTTTTTAATCGAACCATTACTTTAAAAAAAGAATATGACTGTATTATCAAAGATTCACGTTTCTCCTTTTTCTGGTAGGACACTTAGAGCGGTCGAAATCAAACATATTAGTACGATTTTTGGTGGTGAGCGACCTACGATTTATTTGTTAAATATATCATATATAAACGATAAACATATATCATCATATTCAATATCTACCGCACCAAACTTTAAAAAAAAAATTATTAGGGAGTAATCAGAATTCATATACGTCGAATTTCGTATCAACTATGGAGTTTCTGCAGCCTAGAATTAACGTATAGTGGTTGTTATTTTACCGTCGACGACGATAAAAATGTTTAAGATTGTCATCTTCCAAGCACTTTAGAGAGTAAAAGAATACGTAGAGTAGAGTCATAAGTACGTATATCGTTTAAATTTTGCATGTACAATTGCAATAATATATCTTTAAAAAAACAATTACGATAATATGAGGAATAAAAAATTACCTTGTACATGGTTTTCCTTTTATAAAAAATTACCTTGTGTGAGTATTTTTTTTAAACGTCAAATTTATTTTTGACTTAAGAAAATTACAAGTGATCCTTCTGTAGTTTGAAATGTTGTTAAGACTGACCTACTATGCAAAGAAAACTGTGTCAATCACTCTATTCAGTTACGAAATCACTCTATTCAGTTACGAGATCAAGCATTCCCATCTATTTCCATTAACAGAATAAATATCTGCATGGAATCTATCCTAATTTTTCATTTTGTTGTTTTTCTATGAATTATACATACTTAAACGCATATATTTTGTTTAAAAGGAAACGTACATATGGGTTCTAAAAGTATACATCATCCATAAGTGGGACTCCAGAAATTGAATTTTAATTTCGAGATATAAACAAGTTAGATGACAACAAAAGTAGGTACAGAAGACAAAACGTACCTCTTCGGATATTTGGATGGTTTTAGTTATTTATTCAGAAATTATCTACACATCAGTATGCGTATGCGTAGGCGCATACATATATATATATATATATATAATTTTCGTCTCGTCGTGCAAATCATACACGTATAAAAATTAAAATTCAATAAACCGAAAGGTCTTTTTGTCAAAAAATAAAAAGAATCACAAAGGTCGACTACAATCAAATAAATTGACACACTGATAAACTCTCTGCACGTATTTATTTACTTCCTCTCTCAACTCTCAAGCTTAGAAAACCTCCGAATGTCAACTAGTACTACCACAAAGTGTTCTTTATATTTAATTTATTGCAATTTATAAGTAACTAAATCAGAATGAACTTATAAATGGAAAATTATGGACGTGCTCCATAGCCTCCATTCCAAATTTATGGACGTGTATAATGTAATTTTTTTGTTCAGTTGCGTAGACAGATAGGGACTCGTTAATGTTGGTATCTAAAAATATAGGACACTTATATTCCTCTAAGTTAGAGTTATGTGAATTACAAAGCGGCTTGATAAATTTATAATCAATTAATTATAACTAATTGTTTTTGTTAAAAATTAAAGTTATTTAACACAGCATAGATCCTCATCAGAAGTCTCCCTATAATTTATAAAGTGATTTGAATAGGAAAAAAATATGTCTGGAAATATATATATATATATATTAATTAAAGCGGGGGTGGAGCATAATTGTGTTTTGTGAGTGGTAATGCGCATGTTGGATATAAAAAAAATCAGACTGGGGACAGATTCAAATCTATCGCAAGTTTTTAATATCAATATACCGTAGCATAATACTATGATTTCATTTTAAAATGATTAAATCAAACGCACTTGAAATATATATATATATACAAAGTCCATCAACAACGCATCACGTGAGTACAAAGCAATCAAGTACACAACTTCACAAAATGAGTTACATGGTCCCCACCTAACGTTCCATATTAACTTCTTCATTAGACAATTAAAAAAAAACGCATGATTTGACCATTTCTTATTTTCTCCCGAGGGTATCATTTAGCTAATTGGGCTGACATGTATTTGCTTTATATATTATGTTGATGATTAAACGCTCTGCTGGACAGATTTTAAGGGTCACACTTATTCAATTGGATTTAATTAAGCATTTAACGCATTTAGGTTTTTTTTTAGTAGTAGTTTTTTTTTCTTTTCTTCTTCTCACGCTCTTCAAAGGCAATTACAAATAAAAAGAGCGGTGGTTGATAAATTTCCACGTGGTCACCGAATTTAGTACGGTATTAGCTGCGTCTAAAACGTTGTAACTTGGATAGGTAATTTAATTATGATCGATCTGATTTTTTGGTACTCTAAATGCTAAAAAAGTTAGTTGAACTGTTGAAGTTACACGAAATATTTTATACTCCAGCTAAAAATATTGCGTTATATTCATTCATCGTTTTTGTTTAATTACATATTAGGTTTCGACATAAGCTAAAAAAATATCAAACAAAAGGTATACCATCTACAATTCCGTGTTAATGCATGACCTAAACCTAATTTATGTTTGAAGGTATTTTTTGATGAAAACGAGCTTATTATATTATTTTACTTTGGTATTTTTTTTTTATAAAAATATTTCACTTTGGTATTTCTTTCTTCTTTTTTTTCCCTAGAAGAAATAATTAAAAGCAATCAGTTAATTACACGATCCATACCTATGGTCATTATTATTAATTACTCCTTCCGTTTTTTATTACATGATGTTGTAGAGTTTATTTTTTGTTCTAAAATATATAATATTTTTACATTTTTATGTAAAAATTAATTATATTTTTATTGTTTTGGCTGTTTGAATTCTGAATTCTATTTTTTATTAGTTGATCTGTTTTGGAAATAATAAAAAATTATGTTTTGTTTTAAAAAAATAAAGAATTAAATGATTTGTTAATCTGTCTTTGAATTTCTCTAAAACATCATATAATAAAAAACGGAAAAAATACATAATAGTTGAGTATGTTCCATCCATAAAGTCCAAAATGCATTTTATCCACTATCACGCACACACACATAAATCCGCAAATTAATTAGTTTTTCTTATTAATAAAAAACCACACGGTCGAATCCATGAGTAAGTGTGGTCGAATCCATGAGTAAAACAAAGTTACCATCAGTTGTATATTTTAGTAGTGTGGTCATAGGCGGGCAAATAATTTTTTAGGATGATGATAATTTTACAATCCTTTTCATTTTTAAATTTTGATTTGCTAAAAACCTTTTTAATTGTTTGGCCATTGGTTTGAAACTTTTATACATAATGGTACGAACTCAACTCAACAAAAACGAAAAAGTTATGTGGTTGTGGGAGATCGGGGACAGAGGGCAACACATGAGACGTGTTTTTTTTGTTTGGCTATTTGTCAACACATCGCACGATTCGATATTTTAAAACCATATAAAATGACATAATTTTAAATTTATATACCCATTTAAGAGTTATGACACTATATATAGGACATTTTCGCGTTAAAAAATTTGGAATAATGAAAAAAAAATCAGCTGAAATCATTTTTAAATAGAAAATTAATGATCAAGAGCATGGATGGACTTCAATTACATGTTCTAATCACTTTCTATTCTCTATATGAAGTTGTAATTTTGCTTAGAAAATTTTCACTTGTTTAGTGATCATAAGGTAAATTATAATGACTTTAAATTTAGAAAAAAATACATATATAGAAAGAAACAGAATTGTAAATAGCATTTGAAATTTGAAACAAAAATCGCTACCACTGAAAGGGTGTTTTCTTTTTTGTGGGTGCAAATTAGTATTACTCTAGCTTATCGTTAGATCTATTCTGATTTGTGTGTGTGTGTCAACACAGAATAAATATATTTCTAGCTTATAATATAAGTTATATACATATGTATTTATCTGTATATCGTCGACATAAAAAGATGGGAACAATTAGCTAAACGAGGGACCATGTGTTGAAGAACCATCGATACAATGGAGGTATATAATTGATTTTTTTTTTTTTATCTAGTAATATTCAAGCGCAATGGCCTGTAATTTATGTAGCATATTTTAGATTAATTGTTAGATTTAACTGAATTTGTGCTCTCGTAAACTAGTACTAGATTATTTACCAATCTTTCGACTATTGTTATAATGAGAAGTTGAAAATTTCAAGAATAACCCTTTTTCTAAACAAAAACTTGAAGAATAATTCGAACTATTTGAAGAGTAAATACGAAAATTCTATCAAGATTGCACTGGTAGTATTTGTTAGTGTCAACAATTAACAGATATTCTATGCCAATATAGATCAAAATCGAAAAAATTGAAAAGAATAATAATAATTTTTATTAGGTTTCCTATCTAAAATGGAATTTTCTAATAGAATTTAGAAGGACGGTTCAGGTGCGCGTCCCTTTCACGTCCTGTCGTCTTCGGTCAGCGCCACGATAATTGTCTCTGAGGAAATGATCCTCTGCTTCAACCTTACTGTATTACAAACTCGTCTATAAATAATAATGAATCTATAATCATTGTTTATAAAACTTTTTTTGCAGTAACATTTTAGTAAGTAGATAAATGTGTATTATGTTTTTCTGAAGGTGAATTTTACGAATATATCATTTTCACATACATATAAAATAACATAATTTTATTACGTAACGAAAAACTTTCATTTCTCAATTTTTTTTTCAAAACAAAAGAATACCTGGTTTCAGGTCAACTAGTAATCTTTAAACATTAGTTAAATTACAGTAACAAAACAATAGTCAGACTAGTTATTTTCAGCCGATGAAGAAAAGTTTGCCCTAGAATTAAAAACTTAACATAACATTCTAGTATAAGACAAGCATTTAAAATAATTTTTTACAATAAAATCTCAACTTACTTATAGTTTGAAATTTATACCTTAAATCGAAAAATGAAACGGAGAGGAAAAAATAAATTTAAATTGGAAAACAACTGAAACTGAGTAAATTTCAAGCCGACAGCGTGAGGTAGACGACGTGCACAGAGAACGTGCCACGTGTATCACACCTTCCTAACCAATCCACGTCACTTTCATAATCGCCGTTGGCTTCACGTTAATAGTTGTATTTGATTATTTGCTTCGATGGTTAAACATTTTATTTATCGAACGTCTGACCTGAAATCGTTGTTTTTAAATCTTGACCCATTTCTTTTTGTTTGTTTGTTCAATTTTAAATCTTGACCAGAAATTCAAACTAATTGATGTATTCAAACGTAACGTCAGACTTAAATGGAAGGTTAATTTTGGTAAATTTTAGCAGATAATTGATTGACAAATGTTATAACTGAACAAAATTATAGGGCGAAACAACAAAAAGGTTTTTATCGCAGGATAAGAAAAACTATTAGGCGAATTAATTGAATAATACGGTTTTATTTTTAGCTTTTAAGTGAAACAAACAACACCATCTTCGCCACAAAATATATACATTAAATATTAAACTTATCAAGCTTGTAAAAATTTAGTTCATATTTCTTTTTTAATGTTTTAAATAACGTACATGTAATATTTTAAAATATTTTTTACTTTTCAAATTTTAAATAGTTTGATACAATTACCATTTTGTACGTACTTTATCTACATATTGTCCTATGGTCAAATTTTTTTTTTTGGGGGTCGAAATATTCGTTTTCATTTAAATAAAAGCCATTACGTACATACAAACATATTGTACGTACTATGGTCGATTATGTGCTTTACGTACTTGGTTTACTTACATATGACTCGTTGATAGAAAAGTGATGTATAATTAAGGTTAAGGTGGACAATCTTGTAAAGGAAAAAAAAGGTAGAAGATGAGAAATCTTAAATAGATTTACACACAGTTCTTTGTCCTAGATTCTTCTCTTTTTTTTTTTTTTTTTTTTGATAAATACGATATTGACTTAAGGGTCTTATAGATGCTTTAGCTTTCACGGAAAAAAAGAAGAAGTTGTATCCAATTTGGAAAAGTAGAGAACAATTTACACAGAGGTCCCATTGGCCCTTTTCTTTCGTGATCGAATTTCCAAATACATATCTTAGTTTTATTTATTGTTTTAGCCCTTTCTTTCGTGATTGTTTTGTTTATTATTTATTGAAAAATAAGGAATTTTCCAAGCAAGCATATTATGTTAAAAGTTTGAGTGGGTAATACTTTTGGGTGAAATAATATATAGGGGGCTACAAATTCAGAAGGACATACGAAATGTTATGACCTAACACCTAACCCAATAGGCCAACGCTATTTCTGTATTTTGTTCGATTTCACGACGTTTTCGTAAGTCTATTTAAATTGGCTTATGTTGCTTTCACAGCTAAACCTATCAACCTATTTCTATGCTTTAATTAGCTTTTTTTTTCTAGTGCAGGTTTAACCTAAAACGTCATGTTTAATTCTTCAATGAATAATTGTGCTAAACAGCCTAAAACCTTAAATCATTTTCCATTTTTTATAATACCATCATAACATTTCGAACTTATTGTAACATATAACATCATAAGTTTGACTATAATTAACCATGATATTTCTATAATTGGATATTTCTTTTTTTTAGTTACATTTAAAACGTCCATTGTTACTATTTGGAGCGTCCATAGTTAATTAGTTACTAATCAAGTTGTGTAGTTCTTGGCCAAACCAATGTTATTAGGAAGCTTGAAAAAGTAGATTTGGTGAAAATCAAGCTCCATTCAAATAATGAGGTAATTAAATGACTGTAGGCGACTTAGGTAATTACAAATGAACCAAAAATCCTTACTTGGATGGAAACTATGGTTTAATGAAGGTCATAGACGATGTAAAATTTATAAACGACGATATAATCCACAATAATAATTATGTAAGGGTTCAACAAAACTCAGAAACTAAGAATATAACCGAACCCATGGTAGCTTCCGCAATTGTATTTAAATGTTTATTTGTTACAACTTACGACAATTTATTAAGAGTATAGCAATGATCTAATTCGTACTAATATTTTCGAAAATAATTTAATATATTTTTACTTGTGGACATCTATACACACAACTACTATTATTTATCAAAGAAAAAATCAACTGCCATTATATTCAACTAATAAACGAAAAAGAAAAATTATCATTTCAGACTGAACACATCTTTATTAGTTGAATAATGGCAGTTGGATTTTTTTCTTTGATAGATAATTAGTTTGCCCACAAGAAAGAGACATTAAGAGGCGTGGAAGACGAGAAAGTACATGCTCTCAAAATTTTATCTTAGTTTTCAAGATAATAGAAGATGCAATTTAAATTGACAGATTAGTAGGAAATAAAATATTTTGATTCTTCAACAAAAATAAAAATAAATAAAAGAAACTATTTTATAAGAGCAATCAAACGTTTCTATGGAATATATAAAGCCACGTCATTTGAATATTTGAGCATTATTTTTTTCCCGTTGTTATACTTTTTATGTTTTTGTTTGTCCCATTTGCCTTATGAGATGTCGTTTTCAGTATATAGCTTTTTATTTATTAATGATCTAGATAATTAAGTCGTGAAATTAAAAAAAAATTACCAGCTTTCGCTAACGACGATGACGTACTAGCGATAGTCGTGCAAATCACAATTCTACATTCCTAGTTTTAGGTTAACGATGAAAGTTGATTTTTTTTTAATATAATAGTCGTGCAAAGAATCGACCATAGTACAATAATGTAATTTGCGGAGGCAACCATGAATTAGATACAAAAAAGAACAACTTTTTCAAAGAAAATACTATTTTTTGTTCCATACCTTTAATGAAAAAAAAACATCACCAAATATTTACCAGAATTTGAAACTTTATCAAAGAAGTGTCATCCCACCTCTGTGACCATTCGATGCAACCTTTTTCTACATGGGCTATATTTTACAAGCCTTATATATAAAGCCCATCAGTTATGAAGCAACAATAATAAAACTACAATTGTTGATATAAATGTGGGTATTTAGGTTTGTGCTTGTTTAAATAAGCAGATTTAGTGTGAATGATTGGATTAATGCCGATAGAATATTTGGTGATGTATTAGGACGGACAATGATAAATTCCTAAAGAATTTAGAAAAAAAACACAAAAATATATAATGAAGACTTTTCATCAAATGCGTAGACCATATATAATAACCAGCAAAACATTTAAGAGTAACCAAATACTGTAACAATGCAGCAACCTCATTTCTTACACCTACAAATGACCAAAACCAGTTTTGTTTTGATCTGTTGAGAACTATGCATAGCCCGCCATACCGATATTAGAACTAGAGCGGTTTGCTTTGTGAGCAGGCGGCGAAGAGATAGACTTGGTAAAGTAAATGTAGTAGTAGACATTAAGTATCATTGTCGCAACTGTAAACACTGCTCCTGCTATGAAGATTCCTTTGCGCAATGACTCGCACGAGAAGGTCTGTGAGCTTAAGTACTTTGTGTGGTATGCGTTCTTCGTCGCTCCTGCGATTAAGCAAGCTTCAGCTACCAGAAATGTCATCCTGCATTTGTCAAATACAGACATAAAAACCAGATGTTGAGATCACTAGAGATAAAGCTACTGAATCATTCACTCATGTTCTAAGCTTCAATCAAAATCTAAGCTAAACTTCAAAGTTTCATTTTTTAACTCCATGAGACTATGAGTTAAGCTTATGGGGGACACTCACCAAGAAGAGATGAAGTAGATAATAGACCAAGCACGGTCACTTCCTGGAGCTAAAGGTCTACCAAAGCACATACATTTGGTCACGCCCATGAGCAATGACTCACTCGAGAGGAGGAAAAGGAAAGCTCCAACTCCATAGCCGGTTGCTACATCAGAGCTATAAACGCAGTACGTTGCGTTAGTTATTGGGTCTTGGATTGAGTTTCCCTGTCACAAAAAAATAGAGAAGAGAGAAAAAACCTCAAAGTCTCACACAAATGAAACTTAGTCTATGCTTTTAGTTACATAGATGCTTTTCTAAGTCTTGGCTACAACAACATTTAACAAAGACTCAAATGGTTCTTCCATAGTGTCAAATATTCCACAGAAATCGGAAAGAAATATTCTTGATGCTGAAAAAACCAGAGGCTATCTATTAGCAATTTCGCTTAATTGCAAAAACTAGCTCTAACTACGAAACAAATCCAGAATCAGAAATCCTCGCGCGAAACCATTCAGCAGCATCGTCTTATCTATTATTCTTATTTAGCGATCTCTAGAAATCCAGATTTTTTCGTTATAGAAATCGAACTAGAGAACAAAAACCCTAGAGGAGAGAAACAAAAAAACAAGTGGGAGAGAAAGAGAGAAGAGTGATTTACAATGCTCCGGCGGCGCTCGGCGGCGATGGAGAAGCCGAAAGCGACTAAACAGAGAGCGACGACGAGGATAAAAACCAGAGTCGAGCCTTTCCCTTCTCCCATATTTCTTCTAGTGAAAGAGAAAGAGAGATTCTTGCAGAGAAGACGAAGAGAGTGTGAGAGCTGGAAAAGAGTAAGTAAAGTGTAAACACGAACAGCGAGTCTCGTCAAAACGATGGACACGCGCGAACCAGCGTGTGTCTACCACGTTAAGCCACAGTTTGTACAGAAGCTTCACGCGTAGTGTGACGCGCGTGGAAAACATTTTTGAATAAAGGTAGTTTTTTTAATAAAGCTGGGCTTCATAAGGTAAAGGCCCAATTGTTTCCCTTTATGGTAAGGTAAGCCCAATAGATTTAATTGATTCATACAAGGTTCAAAATTGTACATCGCTGTTGGAAGAAAATGAGGAGAGAAATGCGTTTTTTTCGGCCTATATAATTCACACACGCACACGATAGTAACAATAATACAAATTACTCTTATTGTTACTTTTTTTTTTTTTTACTAAAGGTAGGATAATATATATACTTATCTCATTTCTCTTTTTAAAAATGAATCACTCACATTCGATTTATGTAATTTATATTTGTCAATCAAAACTTTTCAAATATGCTTGCTACAAAATTAATGTTTTTTGGGGTCCATAGCAGCTGAAAGTTGCATGTCATCGATATTAGAAAGTGAGTTTTTAGTTGCTTGTTTGTTTTTTTCCCCTTCACCAGTTTAGTTAAATCCTAATACTTTGGATAATTCAATTAAATTGAAATAAAGCATGCGAAATTTCCGGCCACAAAGTTTGACGATTCTTATTTATTTTGGCTTGATTGACACCTTAAAAGCGTAACAAAAGAAATCAATATGTAGTTTGATTGTTTCCAAGTTGTAAGCAAAGAATAATTGTAGATCCGGAGACAAAGAAATAATGAATTGTCCTATGTCGCTTGCCTGGTCTGTAACTATTGGCCATACGTATGTTTATTAATTTTTAGTGAGCAAATCATTTTAAGCAAATTAAATAAACCAACTGGCATATAGCTGAAAATAACAATAGCAGTGTTGTTACTTGTGGGTTAGTCAGGTTCTTGACCTTGGGCACGCAAATAGGTGTGAAGCTGGCCCGGTCAAAACTCAGTAGAAATCATGTCTTCATTAGTGCTGGTAACATGTTTTCTGTCAAGTTATAAGCAAGAAAATCTCAAAATTTTCATATTCATGTTATCATGTACTGTGCTTCATAAAACTGAAAATTTGCTCTATGTGAAACTAACCTGGCACAAACAAGTAGGTCTGATGTTTACATTAGTTATTTGTAATAAATTTTATAATAATGGAAACAACACATATTTATTGGTTTACTACGGTTGCATATGTGGTGGATATATCACCTATATATTGAAACTAATTATCTAATCGTATGTAATCCATTTTCTGTGGATATTCGACTTATTTTAGAATCTATGGTGTTAGATAATAACATATCACATGATAAAAAATATCAATAAGACAACTAAACCCTAAAAACTAAATATTTACATATAAAACAATATATCTATTTAATTGATATATTTAAATATTTTTTTATATTTTACATTTTTCATGTTTATATATATGGTGTCAAACGAAAACATATCACGTGATAATTTTTTTTAATAAATACAATTAAAACTTGAAAACTAAACTTTATACCATAAATTATATATTTTAAAACACATCTACATATTAACTTACAATTATAGAATTCAAAAATTTATTAATCTATTAATGTTGTATTATTATAAAAAGACATATTAACGATTATACATTTGAGTTAAATATATATATTACATACGAGTGATAAATAATAGATCATTTTAAAATATATGGTATTAAATAAAAGTATATCATATTATAAAATACTAATAAACACAACAAAACCCTAAAAATTATTTTTTATCCATAAATCATATACTATATATTTGAATATTTATTTTATATTTATATTCTTTATGTTTATATATATGGTATTAAACAGAAATATATCACGAGATAGAAAATAACAATAAACGCAACTAAACCCTAAAAACTAATTTAAAAAAAAAATCTATCACGTAATAAAATTATTAATAAATACAATTAAACTTTAAAACCGAAACTTTTAACCAAATCATATACATTTTTTGTTATTTATATTACATATTTATTATATTTTTACGTCCATGTAGATATTAACCTCTAAAAACCAATCTTTCAACCAAATCATATAACAAAATACATCAATTATTCTACATATATTTTCACGTTTGTGTACTTGGTGCAGACAATGTACTTGTTTACTAATATGATGTGGATTATTGATGAAAGACAAAAGTATTCGATCTCCACGGGTGCAGTAAATCTTTTCTTATGTGATTAATTGTTGGCACCATTCCTGTCTCTGTGGACCGAAAAGAGAAGAGGTTCAACGAGAAATGTATATCACAGAAATAAAAGGTCAACCTCAATATAATATTAAACTTCTATATTATCTGTAAAAACTTATATAATATTGTGAATGTTAATTGAGAAACCAAACCATATTTTTTCACTGAAATTAACATTCACAATTCTTATTTTTCAAATTGAGAAACCAAACCATATTTTTTCACTGAACACACATGAACTTTTTTTAAAAATGATAGTATTGGATTAATCACTAATACATGTCAGAAAACAACAGCAAATAGAGGAGAGTCGGAGATTTTCATTCAATTCCTCTTTGAAGATTACATATGGACCAAAAAAAAGAGATTACATATGGACAAAAGAGACAAAAAATAAAAGGGGTAGAAATGATATCTTCACATTTCAAAACTCTTTCGAGCCTTTCCTTTGTTACAACAAGGAAGAAACACTAACGCTCTTATTTTTTCACTACAGACACCAAAACACTCACAAGCCCTTCTCCTCTCCCCCTTTTTACTTACAAAAATTCCCAAATTGGACATCCAAAACCCTAGATTTATATAACAGCCCTTTTTTAAATTACCCACTTTTTCAACATATATACACATTTTCACCCAAAAAAACCCACATGATTATCAATTACCTAAAACCTTTTTAATAGTTTTTTTAGCCTTTCTCTGTTATATATTTGCATTTAACTCCTGTCCATTGTTTTTGGGGAACTCTTATGCAAGAGTAGGAACGCTGCTGCGTCTGTTCCTGTCAATGCAATTGAATCCCACAACTCGAACCGGAGGATTGTTCCCGAAGTTAGTCGCCGTCCTAACGCAACCGCCACCAGCACCGTTCCTTGGAGAAGATGGTGGGGGCGGCTTGGTTGCTCGTGGAGTCGACGGAGGAGTTGCCACCACGAGAAGCTCGTCCCTAAAGAGTGAGTCTTTTGTTAGAGGGTTAGAAACTCTACTCGGCGGTGACCCTGTGAAGAATAGCGGCGGCGATGACGTCATCGTCCTCGTCGGATCTAGCTCACAACCACCACCCTGAAAAAAAACACATGCACAAGATCAAATCTCACATAAGAGAACGCAAAACAGATACATCACAATTCTAGCAAAGAGCAAAAGGATTGATATTGAAAATTACCTTTGCGAGGATCAGATCCAAAATCTCGCTTCCTGAATTCGAATCACATAACTCCATCTGGTGACTGAGAGATATCAAAAACAAAAAATCAATCCTTTTTCAATAAATTAGATTGCTTTAATTGTGAAATCGTTAGATCTAATTATAAGAAAATGGAGAGAAAGTCTCACCTGACTTGCCATCGGAGAGATCGAGCAAGGTGGTTGATGACACCGACACGGCGCGGCTTAGGGCAAACGACGGCGTCCCTGCGATCGGAAACGAGGGAGTTTCTCTTCATCTCCGAGCTTTGTTGGATTCCACAGCTGTTCATCATCTTAATTCTTTCCTGCTCAAATCAAACGCAAAAGCGAATAAATTTCAATGAAAGAGATATTTTGATGATGGAGGAGACCAACATGTTAAATAGCGATTATATATATAATAAAGATAAGGGATGAGAGAAGAGGTGGTCAAACGGTAACGTGTTTCTTATGGAGATCTGGTCACAATAGCGTATTTAACTAATTAGGCAATTTATTCATTAGTATTAATTAACTTTTTTTTTTTTGGTTGAAAGTATTAATAAACTTTAATTAAGGCAAAGAATTGATAAAAGGAATTAACCACTTGACCAATGCGACGAACTGTTTTTTTTGGGAGATCTATTATATTAGTAGTAATTGTGTTTCCCTCAAATATATAAAATAATATAGTGATGCTGTCAAGATCATAGTGGAGACAGGATTTTTTTTTTTTTCTTATAAACTCAACAAATTAAAAAAAAAAAAATCATGAGAAAAAGTCTAACTCAAACAGTGAGAGAAATTCATCTGATGATGAATTTTGAAATTTTAAGAAGAAATAAACAGATCGAGAAGAAGGGAAACAATGCTTCGATGATCTAAGGTAGAGAAAGGAGGAAATGAAGACAAAAGGATCTTCGAAATGAGACTCGAAGAATCCGAAAAAGGATTGTTTCAGATCCAATTACGATGATCAAAAACACGAACGACGAACGAATCCAGAAGGAAAAAAACGCAGGAATCATTCAGATCCAGATTAATCTTAACCCAGTTAGATCCGAAACAGAAATTGAAATGAATCCCGAGAGAGATACCTGAAGGTGGAGGAGAAGAGATCGTTCAGCTTCGAGCTCTGCGTGTGCACAAGAAGAGAGCGAGAAAGAGAGATCTGAAGAAAAGTCTAATGGCTCTTCTTAGGTTAACAGCTAAGGCAGAGAGAAAGAGAGAACCTGCAGACAACAATGCAATGGATTCCGTATTTATTTATTTATTTTTCATAAAATTCCTCTAATTATTTCTCTTGGCGTCATAATAGCGAAACGCTTATTTTCTTCAATTTTTTTTGGTTTTAGCTCTAATTAATTTTCTTTAATTAAACACATGCATTTTCATAAATTCGTTTGAAAACTCTGTGGGTTGTGCTTAGATTTCAGTTTCATTTGTTTCGGTTTTTGCCTTTTTTGGTACAAGGCGGTGCCTAACCTCTCTTCTCGTAAATATCTATCAAATTAAATGTCACCGACGATATAACAAATATTTAATTCACAATGAAATCTCATTACCTATCAGTAACCACTAATCACAAATATCTTCTTTTGGAGTATTTTAGTTTAGTGGTCTTGCTCATGGACATCTAGCAATATATTTGTTCATATGATTTGTTCTTTTCCTTAAATGTAAATTGTTAGACCATTTTCTAGAATATAGTTTTTATGTTTGCTATGATTGTACTTTAAATTATAACAAACATGGATTAAGAGCTGCTAATTGGTTGTATACTTTTTGTCCCACAAAAAAAAATTGGTTGTATACTTTACATGCATTACATTGTTCAAGGAAAACTACATATAATAACAATATATTGCTAGTAACTATAAAAGATGAATTATTTTTCTCAGTTTATGAAATGTATACATGTGTCTTATCTTATTTATGACATATCTATGAATAACAAAAGAATCCAAATTTTTTTTTAGTAGTTTTAAAACAGTATCTAACATTTGTTAATAAAATTAAGATAAAACTGAAATATAAATTAGAAATATTGTTTTTCTAAATATATATATATATATATATATATTAGTATAATTTTTTATTCAGTGCAAATTTGAAAAACATGTTATAACAAAAATTAACAAAAATTGATATACCTTTTTTTTTATCAAAACTTATCTTATGATATGATTTTAAAAATATTGGACTTGATTCATAAGTTGATTCACAAGCTTTTTTTTTTGTTTTGAGTAGTTTTACTAAAATAAAGAGTTCTCATAACTCATATAAAAAATAACTTTTGATCTTACCAAATAATTCTAAATTTTTTACTTAAGATATATAAAAATTGTAACAAAACTATTAAAAGAATAATTTACCATTTAATCAACAAATAGGCTAGAAAAAGAAATTTTGATATCTTTCACCTTCATCTAATTTATTTTCTTTTACTTTTTATTTTTTTGCATGTTTTATAGGTATAACTCAAATATATATTTTTAAAAATGTGCCAAAAATATGTCAGGTTTCATAATGAGTTTTTATCGTTTTATATAAATTAACAATTTAGTTAATAATGACAACGGTATAAAATACGACAACGTAAAAAAACGGCGCATAAATAAAATACAATAATGTAAAAAGACAGCGCATAAATAAGAATAACGTGAATGATCAGATTAATTATTTTTTAGACGATTACATAAATAGAAAATTATTTTATAGCACATTAACTTGAAACATAAAAATATCATTTTATGTAAACTGATCACATTGAATACATATTGCAATAATAGAAACAGTGCAATCTTGTTAGGTTTATATAATAGTTGAGCTTATCATATGAAAACAGTGACAAAGTTTTTCAAGTAACAATAATGCAGTGCGAAATAACAAAAAAAAATCATCATTTGAAATGGAGAACAAACAAAAATTAGAGATTAATTAAATTGAAGCCAAACAAATGAAGTAACGCAAATTTAGAAGAAAGTTACAAAAATAACAATGATTATATTGTTGAGATTGATATCAACGAAGGCGGAGCGAAATGAACAAATTATATATATATATATATATATATATATATATATATATATATATATATATATAATTGGACACAAAAAAAAAACATAATAGTTGGTTTAATGTATATGGGAAATAAATCCTAAAAACTGAGCTTGTGACATCAAAACATACACATTAGTTATATTACATATTCATTAATTATGAAAATTTATACATTTATAATTGAATGACGATGTTCCTGGCCAACTACTAAATTACTATCTCAGATAGCACAAACTGTTTAATTGAGAATGTCAAATGTCTCAATGCAATACGACATCTATCCGAAAATCATGTTGATAGAGGTGATCAGGATATGGCATTTTGCAAATATCCACCTTTTTCCGAGTAATTTGTTGGCAGTTGCTATGACTTAAGCTGTTGCAAATTTCAGATTGTATGGAATTGTTTCTGTCTGAGTCAACTGAAATAAATCGTAGGGAGGAAGAAGACTCTTTAATAACAAACAGAGTTTCCAATGAAGACAGAGAGAAAGCCAAACCAAAGCTTACATGCCCTTTATGTCGTGGGCAATGCAAAGAAACGGGTTGTAGTAAAAGCTGCTCGATGTTTCATGAACTCGAAGTTAAGAAGCTGTTGTTGCGAGACCTGTGATTATAGCAGAACCTCTTCTGATCTGAGAAAGCACACGCGAGGGTTGAGCATCCAAAGGGAAGGCTACTTGTATTCGACAACTTCTGATCTGGACTTTTCTCAAGTAAAAACGATATTTATGTTACGTATATTTGGTTTTACTGGTTCATTTTGTTGCTTCCGAGTTCAAAATTTATACTATGATTTGGAAATTTTTTGTTACTGGTTTCGGACCCTAAATAAAAGTACAAATAAAAAAACCACAATTTCACGGTCTATATAAAGCAATAGATTTGAAAAGCTACAGTTGCATGTAACACGACAAAGTTCAGGTAAACTTAAATATTTCTGAGTGGACCCATGTGAATACTATTTTAGCTCAGAAATCTTATAATGTGTAATGACTATACTGCCTCAGCCTCACCTCTAAATCTTAGGGCTCTTCTTACATTTCTTAGTTACTTCTTTTTTGGCATATATATTTAAGAAAATAATCAATTGGATATAATATCACACAAAATTACTAAAAATATGGAATTTACATTGGACTTGTTGTTGTTATATGTATACATGAGTATGACCATTATATATACTAAGGGGATACCTTGACCCATAATGTCCCCTCAAGCTATAGTTCTCTTGCTCAAAAGTCACAAAGCAATCCACTTTGAGTTCCATGCTCAATTGTCTCATTTCTAGAGAGAGAAAAAGAGAGTGATGAACTGATAAAAAAAGGGATCTCACAAAGCTTCTCTTTATCTCTATTCTTCACTCTCTTCAGTCTTTTATTCTCAGCTCCTTCTCTTCTGTCTTCTCGGTACTCATGTAGGTTTCTCTCTCCTCTCCTTTCTTTCACATCCTCTCTAGCTCCATCTCTCTTGCTAAATCTATATTGAATCTTTTGGAATGTAAAATTCTGCAGGAGAGCTGAAGATAATAACAGTTTAGATCTCAATAACTTACCTGATGATCCTTCTAGTGACTTTTTCCCGTTCTTTGAAGAGGGCGCATCTTCCTCTACTTCTTCTGGTACATACTACACTAGCTTAGTGTACTCTCACTTTTCTTCACTTATTTGAACTAAAAGATTTTGAATATAATGAAAATGAATTTAATCTTTACCTTCTGCTTTGGGTGGTTGTTTTGTAATTAATGATTCTAGAGTCAAAACCATAATAGTAATTAATTAAGGGCTGGAAACCAAAAAGGTTTTGGTCTAATCATTAGGTGAACATTTAATTATTTGTTTACGATTCAGTAGGAGGGTTTAGCGAGAAGCAAAGCAAAGACGGAAAAGAGTATGAATGTAGATTCTGTTCACTCAAGTTCTTCAAATCTCAAGCTCTCGGTGGCCACATGAACCGCCACCGTCAAGGCAAGATCCCATTATACATTACTATGTATTATGACTTTGCATTTATATAAACATAAATTTTGTATTTTAATTGATTTCGGTATGATGATTTTAGAGAGGGAGACGGAGTCACTAAACAAAGCTCGTGAACTTGTTCTTCGCAACGATACCTTTCCTCCTCATCAAGGACCTCCATCATTTAGGTACTTTTAGCTTTTAATTTCTAAAACAAGTTTAGTTCCTTTTCTTTTTAATTCTTACGATAAATATAATTCGTATTAATAATATGCCATAAATTTAGTAGTTATCATCAAGGAGATGTGCATATAGGAGAGCTAATAACTCCACTCAAACCAATGATGTATCCACCAAGATTATACCCTATCTCCGCCTCTACCTCCCCCCTTGGGCCGCCGCCACCACCGCTTGTGCAACCCTTTCTTTATCCACCACCGTCTCCTCCGCGGCCCTCATCGTTTCCTCACCGTCACACCAACGACAACTATTTGCACAGCAATGGTACACTTCACCAAACCCTAACCACTAGCAGTCATAGCGGTTGGGGTAGTCGTGCACCTCCTAACTCGAGTTACACCTTCATCGGTGCACCGGTGACTAATGGCTCTAGAGTTGCTTATCCTCTTCCTCCACATCATGGGATATAATTAAGCAAATGGAATAAATGTTTTTCTTTTGGATTCTTATTTAATGTTAAATTTTTATCCATTAAATGCTTAAATTTGATCTATAGTTTTGTGAGAATATTGAAAGAGACATGACAAAGTAATTGAAAATGACAAAAAGTGAAACGCAAATTGGAGAGGAAGTGTTGTATTTTGGGGTTATGTAAGAAGTTTGTATTTGTATGAAGGAGCAGCTTTTATCTATTTTTATTTTGTTTTTTTCTTATCATCTACGTTTTTTTGTTTGTCTTGGAGCTGTTTTCTGAGACCACGTATGATGATGTTTTGTCGTTTTATTTATGACCTTTGATTATTATATTTTCTTAGAGAAAAAAAATTAAAATAGAACTGGAGTGACTAGAGCGCGAGAAAGAGGAGAGACAAGTAATTAGTTAGATCTGGACTTCAATATAGTTGAGCTCTAACTCATAACTAACTCTACTCTGTTTGCTTTGGAGACTAATCACTTTGAATTTGCCTATATGGTTCTATATTCTCAGACAATTTTTATATTTAAATTTCGTCTTTGAATTTGCAATGAAATGGCCAAATAGGCTCAGTAAAAGCCTCAACTCTAATACTGTTTTTCATCTACTATCTACGGTGAAAATGTCCTATATACTTATATTACGTGTTGACAGAAAGATTGCAATACACGGTTTAAAAAAACACCCATTCAAATTACGTTGCAAATCTAAGAAAATCCAAAATCTAAACTAAAAAAAAAACTAAATTTCGTATCTTGTATTTAAATCAGTCAAAAGCAGTGATTAAAAAGAGAGTGTATGATCTCAACAGAAGCATGTTTGTGTGATAAAAGGAGAAAAAAAGAGCTGTGCATGAAAAGAAGAAATAAATCATGGTTTTGTGAAAGAAGGCTAACCCTAGATATGTATTTACAGTCTTCCCAAGAGTCATAGGTATATTTTAAAAATAAATGAATAATCAGAAAGCGAAAGGAGAGAAAGAGAGAGATTGAGTGGATCAATATAGATATGTGTATGAGAATAAATTGAGGCTTATTAAAAATAGAAGTTGGACTGAGACATAGACAACTGTGGAAGGACTCATTGATGCAGTTAAGTTTCTTTTGTTTCAGTCTGTCGATTACAAACCCTATTCTCGTAGATCAGCTTTTACCATTTTATAGTTCTGCTCCTCAATTTCAACTCTACCCTACTCCTATATAATATCTATGTATATACATGTTAATTGCTAATAAGAAAAAAAAGCATGTTATAATGGTTTAGGAACTACAACATCAAAGTTAATTATACCATGTAACAAGATACGCATGTAAAACACTTTTGTGAAAGCACATCTATGATATATGCGTTTGATAGATCATAGATGAATACTTGTCAGCAAGAAAAAGATTGTTCAAATTTAGTCAAAGAAAAAAGATCATTCGAATATATGTGGCTTCTGTATGTATAACATAATGCACTTATCTAAAAATAATTCTATAGCAAGGTTGTGTATAATTATAAAATGTACTATCAATGTCACAATGTGGTACACTAATAACTTTTCAATAGATGCGTATATATATATATATCACATAAAACATAAATCAAATAAAAACATTTATCTAGTTACATGATAAGTGTGAGTCTATCTAGAGAGTACTACTAATTCAAATAAGAATTTCCCTGATTTTCATGAAAGTTATGGAAAAAAAAGAGAGAAGAAAACGTGAGACTTTTATTTCTATGACTAATAGGGAAATGGGTAAGTAGGGGCTAAAAATTAGATGTGTTTCAAAAGGATGAAACAGGAAAGTGAAGCTTTTTCTATTTAAGCACATACAAAATTTAGGGTTCAATTACCGATTACTATAATATTACTATTAGTTTAGTAGAATAGGCTGCATCTGCTGTTCCTACACAATGACACCGCCCGTCTCTATTACACGCTACAACCATACTTTTAATTACTTCACCTTTTTTATAGATTTATATAGGGTTGTTTATTTTGGGTATGTTTTAACTTTTAAGTAATGTATTTTCAGCGTTAATTCTAGGCTGGATAGTTTGGGTTTAGTGTAACTGTATAAAATACACAATATCATTACCGCAAAGTATAGGTAATAAGATTCAAATTAGATTTAGCATTAGATCCTTTTAGATAATATGGGCAAATTATAAATAGTTCGAGTAATTTGAGGTTTTACAAAATGTATAGTTTTTTTCCCCTATCTTAGTTATGTATATTGATAAATGATAAGGAAAAAAGTCGTGATTAGAAATTTAAAATATACTCGAAACTTGGACTGAATGTTTTGATGATTCATTTGTTCCTGGTAAAAGATCATGAATGTCATCGTTGGTTAATAAGGATGTAGTTGGGGTTGTTTGTTGAAGAAATTTATTTAAAATTCCATATTTTTTTCAAAAAAATTACGAGTTGGATGCACGGGGACGTCATTTAGGTGCCATTTCTCATACCCATAACGTTTTAGAGACGGAGACTTGTCGGGGACGGTTTAAAAACGTTTCCTAAACGTTTCCTAAAAATTGGAGACGTTTCTGTAATATTTTTTTTTATAAGTTAAAAAAGTAAATTAAAAAAAAAAAAAAAAATTAGATTAAACTAAGATTTTAACTTAAATTTTTAATGACAATTATCTCTTCTCACCTCTCACGTCTCACAATTGTCTTCCTTTGTTCATCTCTGATCTTTCCTAAGCATTTTCTAGGTTCCACTTTCAAGCAATTCAATTACTTGCTTTGTTCATCTTTTCTAAGTATTTTTTTATCTTTGAGATTTATGATTTAACTTTTTTATATTTTAAATCTATGAATATTTTTATAAATGTATCTATGCCGTACCCGTATCTACAATTTTTTAGTTTTGCCGTTTCCCGTCCCGGTCCCGTTCTCGTTTCCGTTCCCGTATCCGTCTCAGTGCAACATATTTGGTATAAAACAAAATTAAGTTGGAATCGAATGGTAACGCAAAGAAGTTTTGTTGTTGTTCAAGCAGCAATATTATGATTATTATCTAACCTTCTAAATCGTTGAGAAGGTATTGACTTTTGACTTCAGGCCCTCGAATACTTTCGCAATTTGATTACGACGGTGGCGCTAAACCGGAGCGTTCTCATAATCGAATTCTCGCTAGAAAGACTCATTCTTTATCGTTTTCTTCGCACAAAGAATCTGTTACGTTTGTTCCTGAAACCTAATCGAAAATTGCGAAGGTTTCTGTAGTCTTAGCTTCTAAATCACCAAGGAGGCTTTTGGAAGAGAAGCTCATCTCTTTCTTGGAGTCATGTAAAACCCCGAAACAGCTTCTTCAAATCCAAGCCCAGATTTTTAGTCATGGGTTAGAAGAGAATGATTACGTCGGTCCGAGAATCGTCTCCGCTTGTTTCCGATTCACGAGAGTTGATTACGCACGCCAAGTGTTCGACAGAATCTCTCAGCCAAATGTCTCTGTTTGGAATGCCATGTTCAATGGGTATACGCAAAGCGACTTGCACAAAGAAGTTTTGTTGTTGTTCAAGAGAATGAGAAGCAACGATGTGACGCCCAATTGCTTCACTCTCCCAGTGGTTTTAAAAGCTTGCCTGATGATTAACGATCTAAGACAGGGAGAGGAGATACAGTGCTTCTCGATAAAAACAGGGTTTAGATCAAACTCTTATCTAGGAACCAAGTTGATCGAGATGTACTCATGTGCAGGAGTGATAGCATCTGCAAACAAGGTCTTCTGTGAAATGGTTGAGAAAAATGTAGTTACTTGGACTTCCATGATCAATGGGTATATTTTGAACAAAGACTTAGTCTCTGCTCGGCGTTATTTTGATTTGTCGCCTGAGAGAGACATTGTGTTGTGGAACACTATGGTCTCTGGCTATATTGAAACGGGGAACATGATGGAGGCGAGGCGTCTTTTCGATCAAATGCCTTGTAAAGATGTCATGTCGTGGAACACGGTTTTGGAAGGTTATGCGAATATTGGAGATATCGAAGCTTGTGAAAGAGTTTTTGAAGAAATGCGGGAGAGAAATGTATTCTCTTGGAATGGTTTGATCAAAGGGTATGCTCAAAAAGGTCAGCTTTCTGAAGTGTTGGATTCTTTCAAGAGAATGGTAGACGAAAGGAATGTTCTTCCTAACGACGCAACGTTGACTTTAGTCTTATCAGCTTGTGCGAAGATAGGAGCTCTCGATTTCGGGAAACGGGTACATAAGCATGGAGAGGATCTTGGGTATGATAAGGTAAATGTCAACGTTAAGAATGCTCTGATCGATATGTATGCGAAATGCGGAGCTATAGATATAGCTATGGAAATCTTCAATGGCATAAAGAGAAGAGATTTGATAAGTTGGAATACCATAATCAACGGCTTAGCTGCACATGGACATGGTAACGAGGCCATAGAACTATTCCGTGAGATGAAAAGTTGCGGAACTAGACCGGACAAGGTAACATTCGTCGGTGTCTTATGTGCATGTAGACACATGGGTTTGGTTGAAGATGGCTTGGCTTATTACAATTCAATGTCTACTGATTTCTCAATCACGCCGCAGATCGAGCATTGCGGTTGTGTGGTGGATTTACTATCTCGTGCTGGACTTTTAACGCAAGCTGTTGAGTTTATAAACACAATGCCGGTGAAGGCGGATGCTGTTATATGGGCAACTTTGCTTGGAGCTTCAAAGGTTTACAAGAAGGTGGAGGTTGGCGAGCTTGCTCTTGAGGAGCTGGTCAAGCTTGAACCAAGGAACCCGGCTAATTTCGTGATGCTCTCAAACATATATGGAGATCTCGGGAGGTTTGATGATGCAGCGAGGCTAAAAGTTGCTATGAGAGACACCGGTTTTAAGAAAGAAGCAGGTGTTAGCTGGATTGAGACCGATGATGGTTTAGTGAAGTTTTATTCTTCGGGAGAGAAGCATCCTCGAACAGAGGAATTACAGAGGATCTTGAGAGAGCTTACGAACTTGAACATCCTGCTTGATGAAGAAGAAGAAGAAGAAGAAGAAGAAGAAGAAGAAGAAGAACCTCAAAAGGATTTTGTCTAGTCATGAAGGAGCTTTTGTCAAAACTGGATATTTCCGTTAACGGGACTCACTGTGAAGAGCTTTCTGACATCTGGAAGAGGAAACTTCATTGTCTTGAGTTTTGTATGTGTTAGGCATTCTATAAAAAACAGTTTACAGATTCATTGTCACTAATAATGTCGATCACATGTTCTTTGTAACTTGTCAAATCTATTAATATCTGGATTTTCAAATGAGAGTAGTGTTATCTTAGACTGAATGTATAGTCTACTTTTGTATAACTTGGTGGGTCGACCATTAGATTATATAAATTCTTGATCACACACGATCATGTAAAAAGGAAGAAACGATGAGTCCAACGATCTGGTCCATTCTATGCTCAAGAGCAGTGTTTGTCTTGAGAAGACCATAGACATCATTATAAATACATCTCTGAATAGAGTTTATCTTCATTTAAGGGAATACAGAATCTAGTAATAATAGGATAATTTGTGATTTACGAACAATATTTTAGAGTTCGGCATTGATTTTGATTCAGGGTTAAGAAGAGAAGAGAACTCAAATATTCAAAGGCCAAACATAAAGGGACTTCAGTAAAAACAAACCGGTCTACAAACTCCCGTCACGTGAACGAGATTGGCCAAAGCCAAAAGATAAAGAGTTTAAAATCCCAAGAAAAATTTTATTAGAGAAAGCGACAGATTAAAAACACCATTAAAAAGGGATTTTCTTCTCAGATTTAGGCCTTGGACATGTGAACGATCAAGTCAACCACACGGGTACTGTAACCCCATTCGTTGTCATACCACGACACCAGTTTCACGAAGTTGTCACTCAATGCAATTCCAGCCTTTGCGTCAAAAATGCTCGACCTGAATCCAACACAACACATTGTTTAAAAATTCACAAAACAGACGTAGAGAAATTCACAAAACAGACGTAAACAGATATTGTTTTCATTACCTGCTGTCGCCAACGAAGTCAGTTGAAACAACATCATCCTCGGTGTAACCAAGGATTCCCTTTAGCTTGCCTTCAGATTCCTCCCTGCGATTAGTAACAATCCGAATCTGTTAGCTATCTTACAAAGATTATGATGAAACATACTGATAAAAAGTAACTAAGAAACCGAAAGCTTACTTGATGGCCTTCTTGATTTCGTCATAGGTTGCAGCCTTCTCGAGTCTAACGGTGAGGTCAACAACTGAAACATCAACGGTGGGAACACGGAAGGACATTCCGGTCAACTTTCCGTTGAGCTGTGGAAGCACCTTTCCAACAGCCTTGGCGGCTCCGGTGCTGCTGGGAATGATGTTGAACGAAGCGGCTCTTCCACCTCTCCAGTCCTTCATCGATGGACCATCAACGGTCTTCTGAGTAGCTGAATCACACAAAGAAACAAACAAACCATAAAGTCAATTACAATTTCAGATACAGAGTTACACATTATAACTTGAGGAATCAATAGAATGAGATATATACCGGTGATGGAGTGGACGGTGGTCATGAGTCCCTCAACAATTCCAAACCTGTCGTTGATAACCTGCATAAACAGATTTTGCAAAAAAAATTAAATACAGAGAAGCTAGATTCGACTTGAAATTCAGATGACAGAACATATATTTCACAACTTTCACGGACTAAAACGAGACCTTGGCAAGAGGAGCAAGGCAGTTAGTGGTGCAGCTAGCGTTGGAGACAATGTCAAGGTCAGACTTGTACTCGTGCTCGTTGACACCAACGACAAACATGGGAGCATCTTTGCTTGGTGCAGAGATGACAACCTTCTTGGCACCACCCTGCGATAGAAACAAACCATACGATCCAATTATAAAAAACTTAATACACAAGTGATCTTCATGTACAAGTGTATGTGTATCGAAACACAATTCTTATACTATATGATAAACAAAGCCCAAACGCAAACCTTCAAGTGAGCAGCGGCCTTGTCCTTGTCAGTGAAGACACCAGTAGACTCAACAACAAAGTCAGCTCCAGCCGCACCCCATGGGATTTCCTCAGGGTTTCTTCAAAAGTAAAAGATCACAAACTTAGAACTTTCGCAAGTCTTGATAACATAAAGAGAGAGATACACAGACAGATTCAAATCAATCAACATAGATTATACGTTACCTCAAGCCGAAAACAGTGACTGGCTTCTCACCAAAGAGAAGAGTCTTCTCGTCCTTGACCTTAAGCTCATGGTGCTTCCACTGACCGTGAACACTGTCATACTTGAACATGTATGTCTGCAACGATTCGATTATCATAACAGATATTCTATTAGACCGTTTAACCCGTGGAATGATCAGATCACTGACAATCATCTTAGAAGAATACATCAAACCGGTCTCAGATCTATACTATTGGGAGGCGATAACAAAATTCAAAGCAATCCAGATCAAACCGATATTAACCAATCCATATCGAACCAAGACGAAAACGAACCATGTACTCGGTGGTGATGAACGGATCGTTAACAGCGACGAGCTCAACATCGTTCCTCTGAAGGATAACTCTAGCGACCAAACGACCGATTCTTCCGAAACCTTAAGATTTTTCACGAAGATCAAAATCTCCAGACTCCACAGATCCAAATTACAAACAAAAGCAGCAAAACAAATGAAATAAGATGAGAAACACTCACCGTTGATTCCGATCTTAATCTTCTTGTCAGCTACACAAACAAAAAGAGAAAAGAAATACACGATCGGAGTTAAAAAAAACCACTAACAAAATCATAAACGATGAAAGAAGAGATCGAAGATCAACAAGAGCTGAGAAAACTCACCCATTTCCGAAATCAAAGATACGAGAGAGAGAGATGTGTAGATGATATCGAGGGAGGAGCTCAAAGGTGATGATAATAGTGAGTGAGGGTTTGGTGAGGCTTTTGGGCTATTTAAAAGAGAAGACGAACGTGATGATGAGAAAGGGTATCGAAATTTGATCGAGTGGCTGAGATTTTTTCTTGGGAAAAAAGGTTACAGATCAGATTTAGTATTTATTATTACTAGATTGTCCATTACTTTCAAGATTATTTACCCTTTCTGCCACTGTTTAAGCCAACAGTTTATGGTAGGATTAACAATTTATTAGGGGAAACTAACGGCACTTCCATTTCACGCGCCGGCCGTGGAATATTCGAGGTTTATACTCAGATCCTATGGGCCGGGCCGACACACACAAGGCCGAAACGCAGCAGGTTTTGAAAATCTTCTATTGACAGCCAATGAGCGTGTGCCACATAGGCTAGCGCGGGCCAAAACACAATCCTTCTTTTCTCTAGTAATAAGTTTCTAAAGATTTTATTGTTTGAACTTAAAACATATTCATATTCATAAACCATATTAAACATATAATTCCAAGGTTCATAGATTATATTCATAATCAAAATATCTTCTGCTCAATTCTTTTTTTTTGCTATTTGGAATATACATTATTATGATTCATATAGAATTAAACAAAACAAAACAAAATTATAAATATTATATGGGTTGACAAAAAATAGGTGTATTATATATATGAAGCTTCTAGATGTCTCTATCAAAATTATTTTTGCTTACTGTATCAAGATATTTTTAAAATTGATACAACAACACATATGGTGTTCTATATTAATCAAATCGTGACTTCATATCGACACACACAGATGCATGCTCCACTTTGAGAGCTTTGGTTGGTCAGATGAACGTGACGGCCAAAAATAAGTCACTTTATGCAATGTGGTATGACTCTTGGCTTTTGCCAAAAGTCTCCTTCTTCTCCTCCTCTTATTTTCTCCCTATTTTCATTTCATTTGTGTTAGGTGAATGGCATATTAAACTCCATAAGTGAGTATACATATGGATCCTTACATTCTTTAACTAAAATAATTATCCGCGGTCAACAGTATATCATGCATTATTTGAGATCCAATACGAGGGTTCGTAAGAAATCAAATTTATTATGATAAGAAACCATTTTATATGTTTTTTTCAATGTTGGTGTGAAAACTCCTTAGTTGTCGATTTATTTTTAGTGGTTTGTGGAATTTTCACAAGTTATTTCTAAAATTCCATATTATTGTCTTATGCATTTTATCTTAAAAGTGTCATATTCACAATGTTCTAAGCAATCGTAAAGAGAAAAGAAGAAAAAAATATTATGCTAAAGGGTTTTGGAACAAATATATATCATTATCAAAGAATATGTCAAAATTCGATTCTTAAGGAACAAAAAAAAAAAAGATAGAAAGATAGATGCAATTATTGATGCAAAACCCTCTTGACAGAGTAAAAATGATTGATGCAAACTTTAACGAATGGCATCTTATCCATGTAGATCAGCTAAGAACCAATATAAGTCCAGTTACGTGATGGATTAGATCTAAAATAAGTTGGTTTATGCATCTATACACTAATTATCTCAACATAACTCCCCACTTAAGCATATACTATACTCTTCTATTTGCTTTATTAACCAGTGGAATTACGTAACTGTTTGATATGTGAAGATGTCTTTAGTAACGTATGCCTCTCCTTCTTTTCTGTTCTGTTCTTTCCAAATGGTAACATACCAAAACAACTATTTGAGGTCTTATTCATGTGTAAGTTGATATGATATCATACATGCAATGATATCTCATAATTGAGCAAGTACTACATTCTTTGTTCTTCCCAGGGAGAAAAAAGGGAGGAGGAAATGTACAAAGGGAATGAGAAAAATATTTACAGTGAAACTGTTTTGTGTTTAGCGTTTCACATTCTCTCATCTCACTCCTCGGTACACAGCACCTGGTTGAAGATCATCCATGTTGTCTATGTTCCTAAAACCATCGACTTGCAGACATGTCCATCCCCTTCGAGCTAGAAACTCTCGATAATCCTCTTCCGTGTAGAAGACTTTCTCCTCTGTGTGAACTGGTAATTGGTTGGATTCATCATAATGGCAAACCCTAATGGCCAGTCCTGCAAGATTAGTTTTTGGATATTGAGAAACTCTCAGTCAACATATACACAGATTGCAAGAAAACTTGATGATCTTTACCATTATCAACATGGAGTAGATAGTTCCCTAAAGGCATGTCTCGATCAAGACAACGAACAACCTGATCTTCATCTTCTAACCAAAAAGCCCGTCGTGTTCTTAGCCCAAAGGCCGATCTGATTGTCTCCTTGATTGCTTCGGCGCTACCATCAACGCCGATTCTTCTTGTATAGTCGCCAAATTTCACGGTGATGATCCTCCCGCCAAAAGGCTGACCATGAGTATCACCACCTGCTTCTATAACCATCAATCAAACACACAAAGGTCTAGTCAGTTATAAGAGACAGACAAAACCAGTGGAGCAGAGGAAGAGAGGCTGTGAAGCAACTTAACCGTTTCCAGGAGTCTCTCTCCAATTCCAAGGAGGAACTCCATTTGCTGCAACAGCATCAACTGTAGTGATTGCAAGAGGATGACCATCGTGATCGAGTCGCCTTTCAAGGTTTAACGCTGGCCTACCATTAGCTGGAACATAGATTATAACTCACTTATCAAGACACACACACGAATCCTCTAAAAAGCCAAACTAAACTATATAACAGAGAAACTATCTGTGATTCTCACGGGACAGTCATGATCCAATTACAGAGAAATCAGATTCAAATCAAACTTTCCTCTCTCAAAATGCAACTCTTTGTTTTACCAGTTCCAATTCCCAAATGCTCAAAAAGCAAGTTAATATCTCTAGTATTGCTCATCAAGAAGGATTTTAACTCGAGTTTAAAAGCCAAGCTTCAAGAGGATATGGACGAACAAAATCTTGCCTCCTTGTATATAGCAATGATATATAATAAACACACAAAAATTGATAGATAGATCAGTAGTACCTTCAACGGATCCAAACGAAATGCTCGTATCATCAAAACCTACGATGATAAGATAAAAGTTACCACTTTAAACAAAAGAAACTAAAAAAACAACAAAGCCACAAAACAGTTTAATACCAAAGGCATTATCTTCTTAAAAGATTGCTGAGACCATATTAAGAAACCTACTCTAAAATGGCACTCCAACAGTAACTTCTCAGCCTAAGAAGAGCTACAGCTTAAATCCCTAAAAGGATTGCCCAGATTGTAACAACTATCTTATCAAGATAAACTCTAATCACAGCTTGGCTTTCCTCGAAACGAATCAAGAAATTGAGAAGCCCTCAATTTGAGAACATTGTACCTTTATCAGCAAATTGCATAAAGGAATCAACTTTGGCAGTGGGTGTATTAGGGCTCTTGCTATACTGCGTCGTCGTCACTTTCTTGCTCCTCTCCCTAAGAATGTCTTCAATCTCCTTGTAATACGACATCTTCGCCGATCCATTCCCTCTATCGTGATGCTTCGCCTTCTTAAACTCCTTCAAAAGATTCCTCCACTTATCGGTACACATAGTCGGAGATCGATCGAACCCTTTCTCCCTCATCTTCGCCGAAATCTGTTCCCAGAGATGCTTGTTGGACTTGGAGGTGTTGAAGAGACCGTCCATGCCTCGACGGAACATGATTAGGCTACGAGTCTCGTCTTGGACCCACGTCTCCGCTCGTTTCTTCGGAGCTTTAACTTCGTGATCCTCGCTGCTGCTTTCTCCGAGGAGAATCTGTTGCGGCTGGAGTTGATGATGAGGATGGTGGCTGTGGTGGTGATTGTGAGGCTGTAGATCTACTGCTCCGTCGGCAGTGACATCGATAATCATGTCGCGTGCGGTGGTGGAGGAATTGGTATTGTCGTCTTTGTAGAAATCTTCAGGACGAGGCTTGTCGGGAACGAACATTGCTGTTGTCTTACCGGAGAGGCAATTTGTTCCCACCAACACAAGCCCCGTGCACAGAGAAATGTGGCGACTGCAGCCAAAAAGGCTTCCATTGCTTATTGTACTAGTTAATTTGGGTTTGGATAAGTACAATTTTTTTAAAAAGTACTAAACATTATTTAAATATATTATAAAACACGTAAAATTATTTAAATTCATAAAAAAATATCTGAAATCGAATCTATTCCGTTTTTTTTTTTCTTCTTCTCAATCATTGAAAGATCAAAGACCAACAAACCAAATATGTTATGGCAAAAAGTATTCTCCTCTTAGCCTGACCCTCACATGCATTTGAATTGCCAAAAACACAAGACTAATATCAATAGAGTCCACAATTTGTGTGTGTGAGAGTTGAGTTAAAACGAATCACTCAGGAACGAGAAGAAGCAAAACAGAAGGAAAGGAAGACGTAGAAGCAAAAGACAATGGAACGTAAAATTAAAGACAAATTGAACCAAAACAATAAACCGAAATTAAGTTTGTCTTTTAACCGATTTGTCGTATAAATTAGTAGTTTCGGTCGGTGTTAAAGTTTGGTTTAATAACATTTTTAAAATTTAAAGTGTCTATCCGCTTGAAAAAATCTGTAAAATAAATACAAGTGAGAGGAGACCTGGCAGGCCAGACCGAACACAAAAAAACAATATTAAAGTGTAATAAAATAAAATTAATTTTAAAATAAATTAGATTTGAGAAAAAAAGTTTTGATCAGCCATCGGAGAGAAAGAATGATAGATAACTGGATCACGAGAGGCGACAAATTACAAAGGAGAAGAAAGAAACTTAAGAAGAAAAATTCGTATTGAGGGCAAACCAAAAAGGGGATTTTTCCTTGTTCGTTGAAGTCAACAGATAACAACGAAGGAGGTTTTGGAAGAACTTCAATGTGAAATTTTGGTAAGTTTGTTGTTTTTATCATCATCGTCGTCGTTGTAAATCGTCTTTTTCTCATCTGGGTCATTTCTCCTGTTGACCTTTTTTACTGGAATCGGCGAGTTTTGTTTGATCTTGTTGTTTTTTTTCGTCACTTTTCACTAAAATCGTAATTTTGTGATTTATCTTGTTTCGTTGCTGTAAATGTACGATTCCTCTTTGAGTTTTTTTTTTTTTTTGTGTGGTTTTTCTGATTGCGATTGTTTCAGAATCAGATCCGGAAATCGCCGAAAGTTTCGTAATTTGGTTCAGTGTGGCGATAGTTTTTTTCCTGGGTTTCGAGAGTGAATAAGGAAGAAGAAGAAAAATAGGGACTTTGCTGTAATCATTTGGGAAATCTGAGAAATTTGGGGACTTCTCTCCATTTCAGGTTCGTGGTTTTAACTGATTTATGTATTGTATCTTCCACATATAAACGATCTGTGTGTGTTTTGATTTGTGTCCTGAAATTTTGCCTCTTTGTTGTTTTCTTCAGTTGGAGTTGATGAATCTGTTCTTCATAGGTATTGTTTTGGAATGATCAGAGAATCTGAGTTTGAAAAACTATGTGGAAACAGATTATAAGTAAGCTTCCTAAGAAGTCTTCTTCTAAGAACCATTCTTCGTCTAACGCCACTGCATCCACTTCCAAAACTAGTGACAATGGCGCCGGAAAATCAGCGAACTCTCACACCAAGAACCCCCCCGCTGCGAAATCTGCTGCTTCTCCTCCCGATTCAGGGTTTAAAGATGGGAACTTGAAAGGAAACGTGAACGGTTTCACGCCGTACGAAGCGTTGCCGAGCTTTAAAGACGTTCCAAACGCAGAAAAGCAGAGCCTGTTCCTGAAAAAGCTGAGCTTGTGCTGCGTTGCGTTTGATTTCGGTGATCCAACGAAGAGCGTCAAGGAAAAAGAGATTAAGCGGCAGGCGCTGCTTGAGCTTGTGGATTATGTGGCTTCTGCGAACGGGAAGTTCAGCGAAACGGTTATCCAAGAAGCGGTAAGAACGGTTTCTGCTAACATATTCAGAACCTTGAATCCTCAGCCTCGAGAAAACAAAGTAGTTGATGCTTTAGACTTGGAGGAAGAAGAGCCTTCCATGGATCCTGCTTGGCCTCATTTGCAGCTCGTCTACGAGCTTCTCTTGAGGCTTATCGCTTCACCAGAGACCGACACCAAGCTGGCTAAGAAGTACATAGACCAGTCTTTCGTCACACGGTTGCTTGATCTGTTTGATTCCGAGGATCCTAGGGAACGAGACTGTCTTAAAACCGTCCTGCATCGCGTCTACGGCAAGTTCATGGTTCATCGTCCTTTCATCAGGAAGTCAATAAACAACATTTTCTACCGGTTTGTTTTCGAGACGGAGAAACACAACGGGATCGCCGAGTTTCTAGAGATCTTGGGGAGCATCATCAACGGATTTGCTCTGCCGCTTAAAGAAGAGCACAAAGTGTTTCTGGTTCGAGCTCTTGTGCCTCTACACAAACCGAAGTGCCTGCAGATGTATCACCAGCAGTTGTCGTATTGCATCACGCAGTTTGTGGAGAAAGATTGCAAACTCGCTGATACGGTTATAAGAGGGCTGTTGAAGTCTTGGCCCGTCACGAATAGCTCCAAGGAAGTCATGTTTCTCAACGAGCTAGAGGAGATACTAGAGGCGACTCAGCCACCTGAGTTTCAACGGTGTATGGTTCCGTTGTTTCGCCGAGTTGCTCGGTGTTTGAACAGTCTTCACTTTCAGGTAATTTGTTTATACCGTTTCACATTTCTCCAGTTGCATTTGAGGTTTTGCTGGTCTTGGGAATGATTCTTAACACAAGATTGAAATGTGTTGATATCCGATAGATTCTGTTAAAGACATAACCTTTAGATAAGCATAAGAAACTACAAAAAGGTTGAGTCTTTAAGTTTTTTTTTCGCAGGTTGCAGAAAGAGCTTTGTTCTTATGGAACAACGATCATATAGAGAATCTAATAATGCAGAACCGTAAAGTTATACTTCCTATCATATTCCCTGCATTGGAGAGAAACACTCAGAAGCATTGGAACCAAGCTGTTCATAGCTTGACGCTGAACGTGCAGAAGATATTTAATGACGTTGATGCAGAGTTCTACAAGGAATGTCTTGCCAAGTTTAGAGAAAATGAATCGAAAGAAGCTGAAACTGAAGCTAAACGCGAGGCGACATGGAAGCGTTTGGAAGAGATTGGGATGCAAAAGCAAAAGAGGTCATCGTAATGGGTTTTTTTTTAGTTGTAGAGAGAGGTTTTTGTTCTGTAATTTCGGTTTTACTACATTGGAAATTCGGGGTTTTTTTTTGTTTTGGTATTCTCTCCAGAAACTTAGTGGGAACAAAACAGATTCATCTTCTATGAAGAGATGCAAAGATGTAAGATCATTTTCTTGTTTTTTACTTTCTTCTTTATTTATGATTTTCTAGTTTGTTGAAGCTTCTTAGTTAGTGGGTTCTTGTCTTCTTGATCGCGATTCTTGGGACCGTCTCTGATTCATATGAATCGAGTTTGAAAAATAATTGAAATGTTTGCCAAAAAGCTAGTTGGAAATTTCCTTGGATCAAGATGTAAGAGCTTATTACAAATGAAAATTGAATAAAAACATTACCAACAAACAACAAAAGCTTAAACACAAGAAGAAGCTCTCATGGCTCCCACTTGCTCTTCAACTTATCAGCATGTCTAAACTCAAAACGTCAGCACTAAACTCTCATCTATTCTCCTCAACATGAAACTCTCTACCCACACATAACACCGATAAGTCTTTCAACTCAAATCGACTCTATTGAATCTCTCAGATCTCTTGACCACCGCTGTTTGCTGTTCGTTCTCCCACATTTTGATAAAACAATAAAATGATAATTTTTTGAAATTTCTACATAAATAAATGATCCTAATAATAAGATAAATTAATAATTATATATATATATATTGCGAAAATATGATTTTATTGTTATGTTCCTTTTTCTAAAAGTTGGTGGATTCTCGCTTGAATTTATTTCTAATCTTTTTTATTGCATTCATAATTTTTAATATTGTTTTCTTGATTTGCAGCCAAAAATTATAAAAAATTATATTAAGTCATAAGTGCTTTATGACGTAAAACTACTATAAAATCTTCTATATTATCATACTCAACTTAATCATCAACATTAAACATTAAAGACGGTAATCATATTTTTTTCAAAGAAACTATGAACTTCTGAGCATGTATCTTATCCATTTTATTTCAATAATTGAGATTATCAATCACAACTTTATTTGATTTGGTTTATAAGTTCATTAATACAATATTTTGAACAAAGTTTGCACTCATGAATCTTCGTCATCCTCCAACAAAATTGAATATTTCCAAGCCGTAAAAGCCACTTAAAAAATAAATTGACTACTTCACCACCTAATGTTTCTGATGCATCCCAAACTGTCTTGTTGCAAGTAAATTTGTTTGTCAGAGCTCAGGACTCTCAGAGCATATATAATCGGTCACTCACCCACTAACAAAATCGTGGAGTGTATAAAGTAAAATAACTGTAATATTAATGTGTTTATTATGTATAAGTATTTTCATCCCAGCATATATATAAATATTTTCATTCAACCAAATAACCAATGATTACGTGACTTTTTTTTATATGTGTTATATAGTCGTTATTCCGTCAAACCTTTTATTGTTCATAGTAGTAAATAATTCTATCGCTGCCTCTGATGGATGGTTTAGTTTGCGCGGAACACAAAAATATCAGATTCATCTTCTATGAGGAGATGCAAAAATGTAAGATCATTTCTTGTTTATTTTTATTTTCTTCTTTATTTATGATCTTCTTGTTTGTTGAAGCTTCTTAGTGGGTTCTTGATCGCAACATTGTCCAATCGAAACACTCCAAACTTTTTATCAGCTTATTACAAATGAAATTGAAAAACAACAAACATTACCAACAAGCCAACAAACAAGAAATCTTAAAACACAAGAAGCTCTCATAATTCCCGCTTGCTCTTCAACTTATCAACATGTCTAAACTCAAATGTCAACACCAAACTCTCATCCATTCTCCTCAACACGAAGCTCTCCACCAACACATAACATCGATAAATCTTCCAACTCGAACCGCCTTCACTGAATCTCTCAGATCTCTTAACCACCGCTCTTTGCTGTTCGTTCTTCCACCCGAATCTCTCCTCTTCCCATTTCATCCTCTCAGTCACCACAGATCTCAAACCTATCTTCTTGTCTGAATCCTCAAACCAAACAACCCCGTTTTCATCCACACTTGTTGTCTTTTTTCCAATTTCTTGTCCCGCAAGCTTCACAACTTCTGGCTCCACTTCAACATCAACTACAACCTCGCGGTTCTCCTTGTAAGTGTTTTCGCAAGAGTAAACCTCCTCCCATTTTTGGTAAAGAGTCATGCTATAATATGTTGAGCTCTTAAGCTGATCCTTTGCCTCACCTTCGTTCACGAATATGAAAGGTACGTACCAATTCCCTACCACAACGCTTGTGTTAAGATCACTAGGAAGCTCGGAACGAAGTTTAGTGTAAATCCCTTTTGCATCATCTCTCAGACCAAAGTCTTCGGATGTCGAGTACTCAACGGTCCAATACTTTCTCTTGAGGAACTCTGGTGGTACACCGTCAGGAGCAACGGATGTTGCATAGTAATTTCGAGACAATGATTTCGGTTGATGGATCTCGAATTGTTGATATATGTCATAAGGATCTGCTTGTTGTGGTTTAGCTTCAGGGACATGGCTGAAGCAAAAGCAGCAGGGGACTCTGTCTTCCTCTTTCGCATTAGCCGAAGCTTCTCTGGACCAAAAAATGACAAACAAAAAGTTAGGTTTTAGTCATACCCTTCTGTACAAGTTAGGCTTTTCATGCTTTGACATATGATCATGTTGAGGGGAGAAAATGATTTGGTATCTTGACAAACAAAATATATATACCCTTCTATCCAGATTTGAGATTGTAAATGGGTTACTTGTGATAATAACTTATTTCTTATATATTTGTAAATTAGGGAATTATCTATTGTAAATCACATGATAAATATAAAAAAAATCACGTTGAAATTTTTGCTTATTCGAAGTCATACCCTGAGTGTTTCCCGCTTCGTTTAATGGCGTAGTAACGATTAGAAGATAACGGCTGGTCAAGAACCGGGATGAAAACGACTGGATCACGATAAGCTATGGTCACGTTATTAACTGTGATGCTGTAATTCGCAGTCAGCTTCGCGTTCTGTGGAAATGGTAAGCCTTTGAGTCCAGGCTCGTAGCAAGATCCGAAGCAACAAGTTGGCTTTGACTCTTCATCTTGAATTATAAGTACACCGGAGTTTGGACCTTCCGGCGCCGGCTGTTTCAACTCCGATCTGTTTCTTTGGTATTCGGACAAACGCCTTGTAACATACATTTTTGGATTTGTGTGAATGATAAACTTTCAGTGGTTTTGTGGTCCGTGTAAGTTTGTGATTGGATCGTAATATATAGGGTAGGATAAGAAGAAACAAAAATTTAAAACACCAAAAAAAATAAAGTAATAAAGAAAGTTTCACGCGGTACTGTTTAGAGACTTTTCAAGATCTTGACTTGGGTTTTGTGGAAGTCTTTTTTTCTGGCAGTTTTCGAAGTCACATCAAATCGTTTTAAAATGTGAACTAATTATTGTTTTATCCAGTTTGAATTCAAAAGTTATGACCTGACTACTTGAGCAATCTGTCAAACACGTGCAGATTGTAAGATCATAGCTTTCTGTGATGAAACAGAATTCCAAAAAGACAACCTTTTAATGCAGATTTTAAGTAATTTCATGAATTCAATCAATCATAAATTGCAGACATGACAACAAAGATTGATTAAGTCAATTCTACTTTCTCTACAACTTACAAACATGCAGATTTTTTTTAAGTAGTATGTATTAACATATAATTTCAAGTCTTCTAAATGGCTGAATCTAAGCACGTTATCAGCAAATTTCGAGGAAGATTTTATTTTATTTTATAAAAGTTAAGTTTAGATATAAAAATAGATGTTTACAAAAATTGTTGAAATGATGATCAGAAAAGGCGTTGCTTCCAAGATATTAAAAATTTTAATTTAGGAAGCATCTAAGAAGAATGATCGATTGGGTTTAACGTAATGGTTTTAACCAAAAGCGAAAGAAGCTTAATTTTTACAACTATGATTGATCACTTGTCAACGATTTGAATGACACGAATAGCCGCTTCTTCACAGATTCTTGATGGTTAGGTTAAATTTAGATTCATTAAAATTGATCTTTACATGACATGAAACCTTAAGTATTATTACAAGAACTTGCATGACACCAAATTGTTAAACCAACAGTTGCACACATAACACATAAAGATGAATAAATTCAATCCCACTTGCTCTTCAACTTATCAACATGTCTAAACTCATATGTCAACACCAAACTCCCATCCATTCTCTTCAACTCAAAGCTCTCTACCAGTACATAACATTTATAATTCTTCCAATGCGATGAACCACCTTTGAATCTCTCTGATCTCTTAATGTTAGATCTTTCGCCATTGTTTGACCACCCAAACTTTTCCTCTTCCCATTTCATCCTCTCCACGACCACGGACCCAAGACCTACCTTCTTGTCTTGTCTCTCATCCCTTAAGACACTAAACCAAACAACTCCATCACCACTTGTCTCTCTCAGATTGGTTTCTTCTCCCTCAAGCTTCACCACTTCTGTTTCTACTTCAACATCAACGGCAACCTCTCCTTCTTCATCGTTTTGATTAACGTTTTCACATGAGTAAACCTCTTCCCATCTTTGTTTAAGAGTCATGATGTAGTAGGTTGAGCTCTTGATCTGATATTTTGCATCTCTTTCCTTCACGAATATGAAAGGGACATACCATTTCCCTACCACGACGCTTGTGTTTAGATCATTGGGAAGCTCTGAACGAAGCTTAGTGTTAATCCCCTTTGCATCATCTGTCAGACCAAAGTCTTGGGAATTGGAGTATCCAATGGTCCAATACTTTCTCTTAAGGAACTCTGGTGGTATCCCGCCAGGAGCGACCGTGGTTGCATAGTATCTCCGAGAGGATGGTTTCGTTTGATGAATCTCGAATTGTTGGTATATGTCATAAGGATCTGCTTTTTGTGGCTTAGCTTCAGGAACATAAGTAAAGCAAAAGCAGCAGGGGACTCTGTCTTCCTCTTTTGCACTAACCGAAGCTTCTCTGGAATAATTACGGAATTGTTAAGAATCTCAAATCGAAATTTAAATGATACCTAAATTAATATTATTGCTGCAACTCACCTGAAGAAAAAGAAGGTAAAAAAAACAAGAAAGTTGTAAGATTTTTGGTCATACCCTGAGTGCTTGCCACGTCGTTTAATAACATAATAACGGTTGGAAGATAGAGGATGATCAAGAACAGGAATGAACAGAACCGGGTCATGGTAACTTCTCCTGTTCTGACCAGTTCCGGTTCTGTAAGTCACAGTCACCTTGGCGTTCTGTGGGAACGGTAAGCCTCTGAGTTCACCGTCGTAGCAAGATCCAAAGCAACAAGTCGGCTTTGACTCTTCGTCTTGAATCACAAGCACCCCCGAACTTGGACCTTCCGGCAACGCCTTGGACAAGCTTCTCTGACATTCCGAGAGACGCCTAGTTACATACATCTTGGATTCACAATCTTTCAGTTGTGATTGACGAGATATTTCAGGAGACGTGATTGTTTATATAAACCACCATGACTTGAGAGGTAAGCTAATTCTACACGTTTTTGTTTAAAGACTATTCAAAGATTTTGGCGTTTATCCTCTTTTGAATCCCAATGTTATGACCATGAGATAATAATTTGACATTCAATTCAAAAAAAAAGTTATGACCATGACTGAGTTAGTTGACCTGGCTTTACTTAGTTTCACATACCTGTGACTGTCATGGAGAATCAATCCAATCAGTTCTTGATTTTATTTATATTATACTTTAATATATGAGAGCTTCAAGTTATTACATATGAAATTGCACAAAGCTTTTAGTAAATGAACTCACCTTAAGTTGCACAGATGACAACACAGAGAAGCTGATGAACCACCTTCGAATCTCTGTGATGCTAGACGTCATTTGAACATTTGAACTTGGTAGTTGTACTAGTTAATGTTAACGGAGTACATTTTTCCCCCTTTTTTGTAAAATAAAAGTGCTGATCTTGAATTATGTTAGAAAAATATGGATAATTGGTCTGAAATTTTCAACTGATTATTTGTAAAGATTTTAATTATTTTTCAAACGAAAGAAACTCCAACCTTTTATTAGCTTATTACAAATGAAATCTAGTAAACAAAAGAAGCAAGCTCTCATGATACCCACTTGCTCTTCAATTTATCATGTCTAAACTCAAATGTCACGACCAAACTCTTATCCATTCTCCTCAACACAAAGCTCTCCACCAACACATAACCTTTATAGCTCTTCCAGCTCGAATCGCCTCCATTGAATCGAACAGATGTCTCAATCACAGCTGTTTCTGGATCGCTATTCCACCCGAATCTCAGCTCTTCATATTTCATCCTCTCTATAACAGCATATCTTAAACCTAGCTTCTTGTCTACGCCGCCCTCAAACCAAACAAACTCAGTTTCATCCATACTTCCTCTTTTTTCTTTAATTTCTTGTCCCTCAAGCTTCACAACTTGTGGTTCCACTTGGACATTAACTACAACCTCGCAGTTGTCTTTGTGTGCGTTCTCGCAAGAGTAAACCTCTTCCCATCTTTGGTAAAGAGTCATGCGGTAATAATTTGAGATCTTAAGGTGATCCTTTGCGTCTCCTTCCTTGACGAATATGAAAGGTACATACCAATGCCCCACCGGAATGTTTGTGTTGAGAATAGTAGGAAGGTCGTAACGCTTAGTGTCAATTCCTTTTGCATCATCTTTCAGGCCATAGTCTCCGGATGTCGTCGAGTACTCAACGGTCCAATACTTTCTCTTGAGGAACTCTGGTGGTACTCCGTCAGGATCAACGGATGTTGCAAAGTATCTTCGAGAGGATGGTTTTCGTTGATGGATCTCGAATTGTTGGTATATTTCATAAGGATCTGCTTCTTGTGGTTTAGCTTCAGGACCATGGCTGAAGAAAAAGCAGCAGGGGACCCTGCCTTCCTCTTTCGCATTAACTGAAGCTTCTCTGCAACCCAATTTTTTTTAAAAAATTAGGTTTTTAGGTTAACCTTTTACGCAAGTTAGGGTTTCTAAGGAAGAAATTGGTATCTTGATAAACAAAAACATATTTACAGAAGAAAAAAAATTTGAAAAGATTTTCGACTTTAGATATCATATACCCTTTGAGATTGTAAAAACGTGATTTATTAAAAATGAAAATAAAAATTCAAGAAAGATGTAATTACCCTGAGTGTTTCCCGCTCCGAGTAATGGCGTAGTAACGGTTAGAAGATAACTTTTGATCAAGAACGGGGATGAAAACGACCGGATCACGATAAGCAGTGGTCACGTTGTTAACTGTGATGCTGTAATTTACAGTCAGCTTCACGTTCTGTGGAAACGGCAAGCTTTTGAGTCGAATGTCGTAGCAAGATAATCCAAGGCAACAACAAGAACAAAATACAGATCCTAAGCTATACGTTGACTCTTCGTCTTGAATTATAAGTACGCCGGAGTTTCGACCGTCCGGCGCCTTCCTGTTTCTTTGGTATTCCGATAAACTCCTTGTAACATACATTTTTGGTTTTAACAAAAAAATGATTTATTTAGAAATCTCAGTGGTATTTGTGTATTCATATAGTTGTGATTGGGTCTATATATAATTTAGAGGGTAGGATAAGAAAACACGAAGACTTTTTAAAGTCTTGTAAAATATAGTAACATTTTATGGAAGTCTTTTTTTTTTTGAACCTGTCTTTTTCAGGCAGTTCAAGTCACATCACATCCATTATATATACTCAACGAATCAATTCCTATTGTATTCACTTTGAATTCAGAAATTAAATTATGACCGGGACTTTTAATTCTATTCACTTGAGGAATCTGTCGAATACAAGCAGATTGTAAGAACAAACTCTGTGATGAAACAGAACTCCAAATAGACAAACTTTAATGCAGATTTTAAGAGACTTTTAAATTAAATAAATCATCAACCATCCCACTTTCTCTTCAACTTGTAAACATGTCAAAATATATAATGTCAAGTCTTTTTTAAATGGCTGAATCTATGCACGTTACCAGCAAATTTCGAGCAAGACTCTATTACATTTTTTGAAAGTTAAGTCAGATATAAAAATAGATCCTTTACAAAAGTTGTTGGAATGATGATTAGAAAAGGTGTTGCTTCCAAGATAAAAATGATAAATTTAAGAACTAGTTGGAGTTGGAAGCATCCAAGAAGAATGATCAACTGGGTTTAGGTATTGGTTTGATCAAAATATTGATAATGAAGTTTCTGAACTTTAGATTCATTGAAATTTGACTTTTACATGAAATGATACGTTATGTTTATTATTACAGGAACTTGCATAAAACTTCTTCACCAAAACATAAACCAACACATGACACCCAAAGAAGCTACAGAAAGATGAATTAAAACTCAATCCCACTTGCTCTTTAACTTATCGACATGCAAAAACTCGTACGTCAACACCAAACTCCCATCCATTCTTTTCAATTCAAAGCTCTCTACAAATACATAACACCGATAACTCTTCCAATGCGATGAACCGCCTTCGAATCTCTCTGATCTCTTAACGTTTGACCGTTCGCCTCTGCTTAACCACCCGAACTTTTCCTCTTCCCATTTCATCCTCTCTACGACCACTGACCCAAGACCTATCTTCTTGTCTGGTCTCTCATCCCTTAAGACGCTGAACCAAACAACTCCATCATTGCTTGTTTCTCTGCAATTGGTTACTTGTCCATCAAGCTTCACCACTTCTGTTTCTACTTCAACATCAACTACAACCTCAAAATGTTCACTGTCAACGCTTTCGCAGAAGTAAACCTCTTCCCATCTTTGTTGAAGGGTCATGCTATAAAACGTCGACATCTTCATCTGATCTTTTACATTTCCTTCCATGACAAATATGAAAGGAACATACCATTTCCCTACCACAACACTCTTACCCACACAAGCAAGCTCTGAGTCTGAGTCTAAGCGCAGCTTTGTGTTAACCCCTTTTGCATCATCTTTTAGACCAAAGTCTTGAGAAGTCGAGTAGCCGACCGACCAACCTTTTCTCTTAAGGTAATATGGTGGAACTCCATTAGTAGCAACAGAAGTGGCAGAGTAAAAGAGAGACGACGATCGGGGTTGGATCTCGAATTGTTGGTATATGTCATAAGGATCAGCTTGTTGTGGCTTAGCTTCAGGAACATAAGTAAAGCAAAAGCAGCTTGAAACTCTCTCTTCCTCTTTTGCACTTGCAGATGCTTTCCTACAGTCACAATTAGGCTAAAGTTAGGATAGTAATCACAACATTATCATGAGTTACTCAAAAGTTTAGGCCTACCATCTTATGCAAATCCCAATATAACTAAACCAGTAAGTTATAGAAACTTTTTGCAAGTCGTTTGCTCAAAAACCATTTGATGGAAGAAATTAACTCATATGTCAAACTAAAATGAATTAAAATAATTGTATCATCAAGTATATAAAAAGTTACATAGTTATTTTATTTGATCTTTGAAATTCAGATCTTTCTTGCAACAAAAAGTCAATATCAACATGTATAGCATCTTATTGCGACCTACTCATTTTAAGTAGAAAATATTGAGATTACATACCCAGTATGCTTCCCGCGCCTTTGTATAACATAGTAACGGTTTGAAGACAATGGCTGATCAAGAACAGGGATGAACACAACTGGTGTAGATTCTGTTGAGTTGTTTTCTCCTCCGCTGCTATACGTTACCGTAAGCTTCACGTTTTGTGGAAACGGCAAGCCTTTAAGCCTACCATCGTAGCAAGAACCGAAGCAGCATGTGGGCTGTGATTCTTCGTCTTGAATCACCATTACGCCGGAGTTTTGACCTTCCGGTGGAAGCTGTTCCTGCTCTGATGGGTTTTTCTGTAATTCCGATAAACGCCTTGTAACATACATCTTTTAACTTAGTTCTTGTGATGATAAGATGATTCTTGGAGAAGGAGCTGTGTTTCATCTTTATAGACACTTGTAGTTAAGCAAATTCTTTGTACAATAGATTTGACTTTTTCGATGGTGGAATCTACTCACGTTGTAACAAACTTCATCAACTGTCTCTACAATAACATTAAAAACACAAAAGTCTTTGCCTTTTTTATTTGACTTTATGGAAGAAGCTGTAATACAGAGTATGTACATGTTAACTTCAATACTTCATCGACAAGCTATTGGACCGGTCTTAGTCGAATCGTTCTCAGTTCTCAAAGTAATGACCTTTGCTTTGCTAAGATATAAACGAAACATCATGGAGATTATCAAGCAACCAATTACAGATTAATTAAATGATGTTTATACATAAAATGACTTTCATTTGTAGTTTACATGAAACTTGCTTTAAACATATTTCCCAAAATTATTAAACCAAACCAAATGCATGACACACAAATATGCTGATATAAACTCAATCCCACTTGCTCTTCAACTTATCAACATGTCTAAACTCAAATGTCAACACCAAACTCTCATCCATTCTCTTCAACTCAAATCTCTCCACCAATACATAACATTTATAACTCTTCCGATTTGATGAACCGCCTTGGAACCTCTCTGATCTCTTAATGCTATACCTCATCTGGTCGTCTTTCTTCGACCACCCAAACCTCTCCTCTTCCCATTTCATCCGCTCCAAGACCACAGACCCAAGACCTATCTTCTCCTCAGTCCCTGAGCCACTAAACCAGATAACTCCATCTGAATCCACACCTTTTGTCTCCCTTGCAACCTTCTCTCCTTCAAGTTTAACCACTTCTGTTTCTACCTCCACATCAACTACAGCCTCAAACTGTTTACTATCAACGTTTTCGCAGCAGAAAACCTCTTCAAAGCTCTGGTGAAGGGTCATGCTGTAATACATCGATCTCTTCATCTGATCTTTTGCATCTCCTTCTTTCACAAACAAGAACGGAACATACCATTTCCCAGCTACAACGCTCTTACCTAAATCAGGAAGCTCATGACGAAGCTTTGCGTCTACTACGCCCTTTGCATCATCAACCAGACCAAAATCTTGGGAAGCAGAGAAAGGAACTGTCCAACCTTTTCTCCTCAGGAACCGAGGTGGTATCCCGTCTGAAGCAACAGATGTAGCGAAGAATTTACGGGTTGATGATCCTCTTTGGTGGATCTCAAACTGTTGGTATATGTCGAAAGGATCTAGAGGCCTTGGCTTAGCGTTGGAGACATATGAAAAGCAAAGGCAACAAGGAACTCTGTCCGTTTCTTTCGCACTAACGCATGCTTCTCTGAATATTAAAAAAAAAAAAGAAACAAGCTTTGAGATTTCCTGCAGAGTATGCCTTTTGAGTGACAATCTTTGCTATGTAACATAAACACGCAAGAAAGATTTGAGATTTCATTCAATAGAATCACTTGTCACACTTATCTGCCAATCATAACTTTCATAATCAAAAGTCTAAGCCTTTTTTTTGCTACAGGTCAAGGCTTAAACTTTAAACTTGCATAATCATCCAATAGACTCGTACCCTGTGTGTTTCCCGCTTCGCCTTATAACGTAGTAAAGATTGGAGGAAGGAGGTTGACGAAGAACCGGAATGAAAGCGACCGAGTCAAGCAGAACAATTCTGTCATCTCCGGCTGTATTGAAATAGAAGCTCAAAATACAAAACAGAGTAAAGGAAGAAGTTTGAGAGAGAATACAAGGAGTTAACAGAAAAGTAACTAACATCCGATTTGGTACTTGACGGTGACCTTTGCGTTCTGAGGAAACGGCAAACCATTGAGATCGCAGGCAAAGCATTTGCCAAAGCAGCATACAGGCTGTGATTCTTCGTCCTGAATCACCAACACGCCGGAGTTTGGACCTTCTGCTTCCAATGTCAGCTCCGACGGGTTTCTCTGGTATTCAGACAAACGCTTAGTAACATACATCTCTCCTTGATTCTCTGTCACTCAAGATCTAACCTGTCATCGTTTATATAAATAAAGGTTCATAAGAACGTGCAACGAAGTTAACCAAGCTATATTGTTTATAAATTTAATCTGAAATCTTTGACCCATTCTGAAGTTTGACTTAACATTTGTCAGAATCTCCTGTGGATGAGTTCTAAAGAAGACAAAGAAAACGCAATATTTTATTATTTTTTTACCCGAAAAGGGTTGAAGATAATATCAAAAGACAATCAACAGCAAAACCAAATTTAAAATTGGTTGTAGATAAAATCACACTGACCAATGGAAGTTCACATCATTGAGATTAAGAAAGCTTTTTCGGAATCCTTGCGCGAATAAGATTAATCCCATTTGTTCTTGACCTTATCGACGTGTCTAAACTCATACGTTATGACCAAGCTCTCATCCCTTCTCTTCAATACAAAGCTCTCTATCAGAACATAACAATGATAACTCTTCCAAAAGCTACCATCTTTTGGTTTCTCCAATCTCTTAACTGCCATCTTTTGGTCGCCTTTGCCTGTCCAGCCGAATCTCTCTTCAACCCATTTCATCCTCTCAACAACCAGTGATCCTAAACCGACCTTCTTGTCTCCAACCCCAAACCAGACAAACCCATTTGCATCCACACCTCTTCCCATTTCTTGTCCCTCAAGCTTAACAGCTTCATCTTTTACTTCTACATCAACTACAACATCAAAGTCTTCGCTTTTATCATTCTCACAAGAGAAAACCTCTTCCCATCTTTGTTCAAGAGTCATGCTGTAATACATCGATGTCTTGATCTGATCCTTGGGGTCTCTTTCTTTCACGAATACGAAAGGGACATACCACTTCCCAACCACAATTCTCGTACCAAGTGCGGGAAGCTCGGAACGAAGCTCTGTGTTGAGTCCTTTTGCATCATCTCTCAGTTCAAATTCTTGGGATCTCGAGTATTCAACCGACCACTCTTTTTTCTTAAGGAACATTGGTGGGACCCCGTCAGGAGCAACAGATGTTGCGTGGTAATAACGCGAGGATGGTTTCTTTTGATGGATCTCGAATTGTTGGTATGTGTCATAAGGATCTAGCTGTCTTGGTTTAGCTTCACGAACCTGTGTAATACAACAACACCACGAGACTAAATCCTCCTCTTTCGCACTAGCAGACGCTTCTCTGCAGCCAAAAAAAATGATAACTTTCATAAGTTATATAAGAAGAACTGAAGAAAGATTAAGTCATACCCTGAATGCTTCCCGCGTCGTCTAATAGCGTAGTAACAGTTTGAAGATAGAGGCTTGTCAAGAACAGGAATGAACACAATTGGGTCACGAGTACTGTCATCTCCTCCGCTATTGAAGCTGACCGCTAGCTTAAAGTTTTGCGGAAATGGCAAACCACTTACAGAAGAGTCCACGACCACATACGAGCCAAAGCAACGCGTAGTCAGTATCGGTGCTTGGTCATGGATTACCAAAATTCCAGAGCTTGGACCATCAGGAGGAGGCTGTGTTAGCTCTGATGGCTTCCTCTGGTACTCTGACAAGCGCCTTGTGATGTACATTCTCACTAATTTGCATGAATGTTGGGACAGGACTTGGCGTAAAACTTGATAATATACTAAATAAGTTTGTAGATGAGCATGACAAGGTGGCTTGACTTATTTGGATGGGTCGTTGTAGGAAATTTCAAGGAAACTTACTCCAATCTCCACAATGATCTTGGCCATATCCTAACGTCACCTCCTCAAGTGTCTCTAAAATAGTATAAACAAAGTCTTTGCCTCTCTGTATCATGACACTACTCTGTATCATGAAGATTCTGTCCACACTTAACGCTTCAATCACTCTACTCAAACGAAATTCACATGATTCTAAGCAATAGGCATCAACGCCCTCCAGAAATCAAGTAACTCAGCCATCTCAAAGTCAAACCTTTTTTTCCCTCTGTCTTAAGGAAATTGACATGGCACAGTTACAAGGAACAGCAAAATTTGGCAAAATCTTGCCGTGGAAAGAGCAACAAGAACCCTAAAAATCGGCGAGGGGGACTTGCCCTTTTTGAAGTTCTTTATGTGTTTTAATTAATACATAGATTATCTGCTTTAAGGAACATTGGATAGTAAAACAATCATTTTTTTTTTTCATTTACCCAAAGTTTACTACAATCATTTCAATGCAAGGGCAGAAGAAGATCAAAAACATTAGCAGAAAATGAATAAAGAAAACCCAAATTCAATATTGTATAGTCCTCAGCTTATCAGCATGTCTAAACTCAAATGTCAACACCAAACTCTCATCCATTCTCTTCAACTCAAATCTCTCTACCAATACATAGCATTTGTAACTCTTCCAAAGCCATGAACCGACTTGGAACCGATCCAATCTCTTAACCTTCACTTGGTTTCCGTCAATCTTCTTCCACCCAAAACTCTCCTCGTCGCTGTGGATCCTCTCCACGATCATAGACCTTAAACCTATTTTCTTGTCTTTTCCTTCTTGATCTAAAACTTGAAACCAAACAATCCCTTTAGCATCCACCCTTGTTGTCTCGATATCTACCTTTTGTCCCTCAACGTTGATCACTTCAACTTCAATATCAACATCAACGACAACATCAACACAATCTTCATTGTGAACATTCTCGTAGTAGAAAACCTCTTCCCATCTTTGATGAAGCGTCATGTTGTAATACATTGATCTCTTTACTTGATCTATTATGTCTCCTTCCTTCACGAATAAGAAAGGGACATACCATTTCCCTACAACAGCGCTCATATCAAGACCGGGGAGCTTAGAACGAAGCTCTACGTTAAGACCCTTTGCGTCATCTATGAGACCAAAGTCTTGTAGGGTTGAAGTCGAGTTTTCAATTGTCCAGCCTTGCCTCATAAGGAATGCAGGAAGTAAAGCATTAGGAGCAATGGGCTTCGCGTGATAGTAAGAACGAGAAGGTGATGAGGTGGTTGTGATCACGACTTGTCGGTGAATGTCATAAGGATCTGGTTGTGGCTTCTTATACATATGAACATGGTTGAATCTAATACAGAAGCAGCATGTGACTCTCTCCACCTCTTTTTCATCACTAGTTGATGATTCTCTGTAATACGAAATTCAAGCCTTTAAGTAAATAAAAGCTTAGTTTTGTATAACTTTTTAAGAAAAGAGTTTTAGTCATACGTACCTTGAATAATGTCCGCACCGTTCATATGTGTAATAGCGGTTAGAAGATAGAGGTAGACCAAGAACAGGTATGAACACAGCCGGATCACGATGAACAGTATTGTTCTGTCCACCGTCGTCGCGTCTAACGGTCAACGCTGCGTTCTGTGGAAACGGTAACCCTCTGAGGAAAACTTCGTAGCATAAACCAAAGCAACAAGTGGTCAACGATTCTTCGTCTTGAATCACTAACACGCCGGAATTTGGACCTTCCGGTGGAGGCTTCTTGAGTTCCGACGGGTTTTTCCGGTACTCCGATAAAGGCCTTGTTACATACATGTTGTTTGTTTAATGAATTGTGTAAAGTGTACATGTTCAATGTACATTTTTATAGGTTACTAAATATGTTGACTTTTGACTGGTCAAAACTATTCGTTGACTTTTTGTTAGCGGGTGAGTCTTCTTCTTCTTCCTAACTAATGTCTTCCGGTGATGTCTTCCGGTAATTTCTGTAGGTTTTATTTAAATTGTGAAAACACACAATATGCCTTTATATTATATATAAAACAGGAAAGAAAAAAATTATAAGAAATCTTCGAATCTTAAATATTTTCTAGAATAATTTTCGTATTCTGACAATGCATAAATCCAAAACATCATTATACAAAGTTCTACATAAATTCACCTATCGATCCAACAGGTCTATACTGACCATTCGCCGTCTCGATCCAACGATCCACACCCAAAAATAAATTCACCCTTGAGGTTTCTTATATATTGATAATTTAAGGAAAAAAAGACGAAGACGAAGTGATCCCAATCAGGCTTATTCAGTATCGAAACTCAACCATCAACAACCCCAATATTTGATAATTCCAGGAAACAAAGAAAGCATAAAAAAAACATGACCAAATGAAATCATCTTACAGTCACAAACTCAATTAATCAATCAGGCTTAGTCGCTCTTAGTCTTCTCCCTAATCTTGCTTAGGACAAGGCTTTCCAAGAGTCGTTCCTTCCATGAACTCGTTGAACCGCCGCTCAGCTATTACGTCGTCGTCGATCTTGTTGCCTACCAGGTCTAAAACAGGTTCGAGGACCGACCCAAACACCCTATAGTGATCAGAGTGAGCATCAAAACACTCGTCCCTCCTCTTTTTGGCTTCCTTACACTTAGTGAAGGCGTCTTCATTCTTCTCCTCGGCTTCGTCCGTGCAATAAGCTACACCCACCATTTGTTCCATGCATCCACCTTTACTCACGTACGCAAAGTACTCCCGAGATAGAGTTTCCGAATCGGGCCCCATTTCTGTCTCTCAGCCGTGTGCTAATCGTTTTTGGGGGCAAATCAAGTCTGCTTTTCAAGGGTTTTGAGATTTGCTCTGCACGCAATGCTTTTGCTTTTTCATAAAAAGAGGAAAGGGATATATATTATATACCATCATAAAGGGGAAAAAAACAAAAAAAAAAAGACTTTGCAAACATCGAAAACGCAGATCCTAATCATGGAAAACCAATGATTTTGTGCCTTGCTCTGCACGCAATGCTTTTACATAAGAAGGAAATAAGATTCAAACATGGAAACCAATGAATTTGTGTGCCTTGCTCTGCAACTCTTTTACATCATAAAGGAAAGAAAAAAAATAGACTTTCCAAACATGGAATCCGCAAATCCTAATCGAAAACCAATGGACGAGCCAAGGAAATATTGCAACTTGTGACCATAAGAAAAGGGGCTGATTTGTGCATTTTAAATAGATTTATAAATTCATACAAAGTTCTACAAAAGGACAACGATGATTAAGAAGAAATACATCACCGATCGATCTCCCATATTTGATCATTCGAACCACATCAAAAGAAAAAGTCACCCTTAAGGTTTCTTTTCAAGCTTCTTTACGCGTGATCCTGTGGAAAATACCAGAGAAAAAAAACATTAATTTATTGTGTTTTTAAAAAAAGATTAACCTTTTGGGGTTGATCGAAATGGTCACCTGAAGCAGTAGATTCCAAGAGCCGCAGTGATCTCATGGATGACCGATGTCGCAAAGTGCAAGTATAATGACACTGTTTTTGCATCAATACACAGTTAGTTAATAACTGACTGATGAAGAGAATGATCCACAGCTACATAAGTTTTTTTTCTTTTGCTTTTAGAGCGGGAAAAACAACTGACCTGTGAATATACAGTAGCCAAGAAGAACCCATAACTCGTCGACTAGTGGAACCCTGAAAGATGGAGCTTTCTCGGGTTTTAAAACACACACAAAAACGATGGAAGTTTGTGGAGAAAATGTAAAGATGAAGAAAACCATACCCGGCATTTAACCTCGCGGTTAGAGCGTTTGCAAGTGCAAAAGGAAGATAGAGTAGAGACTGCATTTTGTAGTAAAATAAGATTTCATAAGGTTACATTTTGTCAAAAGTAGTAAGATGGAGAAGAATTGACGAGAGCAAAAGTTATGGGATCTACCATGCACATGTTTGTTTTCAGTCCTTTTGGCTCATCACACAAGTGAGCAAGAATCATTCTTCCCTGAAAAACAGAATAACAAAAATATTACTACTTTTTTTGGGAATGAATGTAACATTGATCTAACTTGAGAGTTTGGGATCAATACTTACCACTAGAAATCCGAATGCGAGGCCAGTTCCGAGTACAACCAAGTGAGGATATGTTTCTATGAGATTGATTGGAGACAAGTAATCCCTGTAAACCATAGGATCCATATAAATTTCAACTACGAATGAGAGAAAGATCGGAAGTCTTCTGAAAAGGTGAAAATAGCTGAAGACGAGATTTACCATATCAAAACTCCTCCAAGAAGAACGACAAAAGGATACAGCTGCATCGAGATGTAAACAGAACATTAAATCTACACAGATTCAGAAAGTAATTATAAAGCAAATGGTTAGGAGATTACCATAGCTAATGCTAACACCATGCTCCCTTTTCTTGATTGAACAACTTTGTAGACATTTGACACACTGAAAAAAATGCAACCGCATATGAACCAGCTTAGCAAATAGGAACTTTTCAGCTGCCACTACATAATTACTAAAGAGTATTCTTTTTCAACATTTTCAGAAAGAAACACTGAATCAAGTGAAGGAGAAACTTTTTCTTTCTTTAAATCTTTATCTCTAATTTCATTATATTTGAGTATTAATGTCATCTCGCTTCCTATTGCACAAGTGAAAATTAACACAGAGATTGTTCAAGTTTGGGAGACTCACTTGAATGCGACGGTTGGTATAACAGCAAAAGCGATCATCATGTATAGTACTGCTCTAGAGGTTTGGATCGCTGAAACAGAGAACTCAAAAATTAATCAAGAAAGCAACTGTGCAAGAAAGTTTCGAGGATAACAATGAGAAATATATTTTTACCATTCACAAATGGCACCCAACTAAACAATGGTATGGACTGCCCCAACTGCTGAGCCCACCATTCAGCTCCTTTAGGCATAAAAAAAAAAGAAGAAGACCGAGCACAAGTAAATACCACACCCAAGTGTAGAAAGACGTTTATCTGAAACGTAATGCTTAAAGATGGCCCATACATTATGAGTAGAGGTGAAGTTTTCATCTATTGAAGACAAGAAAGAAGCATACCGACAATGGCTGTGAAGAAGTGGCTGACGAATATCAGTGCAAGACCCTCTGTAGGTCCATTGATGACCGGAAGAATAAGTGTGTTGGTGAAATAGCTAAAGAAGAGCAAAGTAAAAGTATTAGACAGTCTCTTAACAATTTCCTCAAATATTGACGTGTTATGACTTATGAGACAAAAGAAGAAAAGCAGGACTTACTGTTCCCATGTAGCTCCATAAAACGGAATAGCTGAAATAACCCAGAACCAGAAAGTATCTCTTCCACACATTGCAGTGCTTCCAAATGCCATGGCTTCAAACTGTTTTCATTGTAAAACCTTAAGCATCGATTCCAGGAGGACGAGTAGTAAACAGAAGAACAACAAAGATAATAGGATAGTTAGTTGCATACCGCACAAGCAAGTGCGTCACAACCTGCAGTATTGGAACCCATGTCAGAAAAGAAAAATCTAGAAAGCAAACTGAAGACAAATAATCAAAGGAGGAACATGGGAAAAAACAAATCACCATGATCGAAGAGCTCTCCTAAGGGGCTAGAGGAATTTGTCCTTCTTGCTTGCTTCCCATCAACCGCATCGAATGTCTAGTAAAAAATCTCAAAGGTGTCAGGTAAAAAAAGACTTAAAGCACCTTCACATGCAATAAGAAAAGAAAGTCAAGACTTTTGAAAAGAGAGAGAGAGAGAGACGCAGACCTGATACAAGAATAGAAGTAAACCATGTGCGAAGTGAACCCATCGTGGAGGAGGAGAATCCAACTGAGGTGAATATATCTGAGACAGGTAAAGAAAAGTGTCTTTGAAATCAGATCCACATGCACAAACATATTCACCAACAAGAAACCAAAAATGCTTCAAAAGACTAAAGAACAAGACATCAATTCATCATGACTCACGTAGCCTAGCAGGGCAGATGTGAGTAGAAACATGAACCCCATCAGCGTTATCTGCAAAACAACAATACACAAAGCCAAAAAAATTAACTCAAAAGTAATGATGATACCACCAAAAAAAAAAAAAGCAAAATGGAGAAAACAAGAATTACTTATATACCATGTTTGGTCTGGATAATGGTCCAAAGGCAGTAGCAGAGAAATATAACACATGAAAAGACAAGCAGAGGGTAAAAAACAAAAAGTCAGATTTCTCATTCAACCTCATCAAATACAGCTAAAACCAAAACAGAGACTTTTTCATATACCGAACGAAACAGTATTAAAAGAGAGACACTTACGGCATCCATAGAGGGAAGACTTTGACAAAACGAGTCCAAAAAGGTTGAAGCACGTATTTGGCAAGATAAGAGTGATCCACTCCACTGTATTTGTACTTATGAAGCGCTGCTACACCATGAGCTCCTATGTAACCCATTTTTCCCTATTGCTGATTCCATAACACAGAAAAAAAACAAGGTTTCTTCAATTCCAATTCCAAAATGAGTATCGAAATTAAAACTAAACGACATTAAAGCATGGGTCTTCAGGGTCTCACTAGCACTTTTCAGATTCCCTAACGCTAAATCAAGAAAATGAGAATAGCCCGTTCTACAAAAGAGCAAAAATTTACTCGAACTGAGACCCATTTGGATAGAATCTGAATTTGGATATTTTGCTACAAAAATCGAACAAGAGACGAGTACTTACGACGGTTCCGGTGGTTCTCGGCGGCAAAATCAGAGACAAGCCTTTCGAGTATCGGTGTCCGAAAAAAGAGAAGATAGAGACAGGGAGAAGGATGAAATCTCTCTCTCTCTCTCACACACTTGCCCTAAAGAGTGGCGACGCGGGACGAGAGGACCAGAAGCAAAAGGAGAGGGGGCTTTGCGTTTCTTCCGCGTTTCCCACACGTGTAAACGATATTTCTTTTTCTTTTTGATTACTACTTTGATATTTTCCTTTTTGTTGCCAAAATAAATATCTTTATATACAAATCAGTTTCACTCACTCGTCACTTACCTTGTGTAATGTGGAGATCTGTGAGGTATGATTATGATTTCCACATATAATGAGTTTTGAGAAACAATATAATCAAAAAAGCTTTCTTTCTAGAAAACAAAGTGTGGTTATTGGAATCATATTCTTCTTCTTTTTGGTTTTTCCTTATATTTATATTTATCCAAAAGGAATATGTCAGCCCCATTTATCATTCCAAAGTTGCTTACTTTCACAGTGTTCAGAAAATATTAGTTTGTTTATTACATTATAGAGATTTCATGAACGAATAATAAATATTTTTTTCTGAAAAAACTTATGGAAGAAAATTTTCAAAAGAAAAGAAAGGCAATTGTGCCTTTAAACTACCCAAATTTTCTTACCAACTTCTAGAAAGTAAACTGCATATTTGGTCTGATTATAGTTTTTGGGTATTAAGCAAAAAGTAAATCACCAGAATTAGGAAATGATAAAGCCAAACTTAAATAATCGGAGACTGGATGTTACAACCTTTGAAGTTTGTATAACAAAAGAGAAAGAAGAAATCTCAACTTCTCTGCAACTATTATAAACCTGTTACCATCTTTTGCCAACTTACATTATAACTTCACATCCATCATTATTCCAAAACCCTTTTGGGCAAAACTAAAACTACTACGGATTCAACGGCATTACTCATTTTTCTTCACATCCTCCAACAACATTTACACCAAATATATTAAAAAAATGAACAAACATAGAGAGTCAAAGACTCAATCTTGAAGGAAGAGGAACTTTGCTCGAGGAGAAACACGCGGGAACCTGAGCAATTCAACAACCATATCCATTTTCGCATCTTTATCCGATAAACTCGATGTTACAATGACTGTCTCCAGAACTGGAGAAGTTCCCAGCAAGAACCTGATAAACTCCAACTCATTCCTGATGCCAGAAACGTCTGTCATCCTCACGGTCTCAAGTCTCGGGAGTTTGTACTCGAAGTAATCTCTCTCGACGAGGTCAAAACCTTCTTCTTCAAGAGGAAATAGTTGGATTGGTGAAGCCTAGAAACAGATTACAGAAGATGATGAATTGGAGAATAGCAATTTATGGTCACATTACAAAACTTTGAAATAGAGAGAGAGTTAAACATACCGATACTTTGAGATCTTTAAGGTTAGGAGAGTGAGTGACCAAACGAAGAAGAACTAGTACCTCATTGGCATCTTCAAAGCTCACTTGGTAAAGCTCTATAGTTTTCAGATGAATGTAAGTAATCGGAAGCCTTCCTGGGTCATCTCCTATGCTCAAGTACTGAAACCAAAGATAAAGAGATATATTTTATATAAACAACTCTTTCATCCACCATGATCTCTCAAAGTATTAGGATGAGAAAGCAAAAAGCTACCTTTGTGAAGTAGATATAACCAACGAGCTTCTCAAGAAGGGGAACACCGCCAAGGAACTTGACTAGATTATAATCAGAACTCTGCTCGAAATCAGTAACATCCTCATGCATGTACATCGAAACCGATATCGCAACCAGCTTGGGCGTGTTCTCGAGAAAAATGTCTTTGAACTCGCCGTCTAGATACAAGTACATGAGACTCGGAGCTGATATACGCAGAACCAAACTGTCAAAGTAAGACAAAGACAGGTACTCGAGAAGCGGACATCCCGAGATCAGGCTCTCAATAACCTCGGGAGCAACGAGGATCTGGTGAAGGTTAAGACTCTTGAGAGACGAGAAGCCTTTGAAATACTGAGGCGGGTCGAATTCGCAGTGACAAAGCTCCAAACGGGTCAGTTTCGAACAACGGAAGAGACACGAAGGGACCCTGAACTCTCCTTCCCCTAACTCGAGAACAAGCTCCTTGATCCCGTTCCTGGACAGGAACAGCAACCACTGGTCAATGTCCGGGCGACATTGCAGGAAAGAAGTGGAGAGCTGGAACTTGTGGATAGGTCCCTGGTGAAGGAGAAGCACTCCTGTGATGAACCTCACGAGACTGTTCTCGACTACGCCACGGTCGCTCGCGGGAGCGACGCATTTCTCATCAAAGACGAGATCAGTGAGCGTTGACCATTTGTATCTCCATTTGCTAGATAACACGCTCGTCCTTATCGCATCTCTAATCGAAAGGCGAGTAAGTATGTTCTCGATTATGCTCTGTGGCAGATCGCTTATGATATCCGTAGATTCACCCATCTAATATAAGATTAAACGCATACAGAGATCAAATCAAATGAATTCAAGGACCAGAAAACAGAGAAGAACACAAACAAAATAAAGTGCTTGCATTTAACTTCGCCTAAATCAAAACTTGAAATCAAAAGGCAAAAAATCCGATTCCCAGAAGCCCCCACTCGTAAAACCTTAAAAACCCAAATCAGCCATCTCAAATCACCGACAAAAATCCAACCTTTATATGGATTGCAATGCAACAGAACAGAAAACCCCGAAACTGATTAACCCAGAAAGAAAGAAAGAAAAAAACCAAACCTTTTTGTCTCCTTTCTCTGGGTTTTCACGAGCGGTGAATAAGAGGGTCGTTGATCGGTGAAGTTCAGATAGGGAAATGCCAAAAGATCGCAGATTTTGCTACCATCATTGTTTCACTTAAAGCAGTGTTTGGCTTTAAAGACTTCTTTTTCTCGCATCAAAAAGATCGCGCCTTTCATTACATATTTTTTTAGTTTAACTGATCATATAATAATACAAAAGCATCATTAATAAAATTGTTTCCCCAAAATATCGTAATCTTTCCTATTATTGATTTACGAAGTTTGATTGGGACTTGCCAATATATATACTTCCTCTATTTTTTGAACGATGAAGTCTTAAAAAAAAAATCATTTGTTAAAGATTGACACTTTACTTTTTAATTAATGTTCTTTTAGCTTTTCAAGAATAATTAATGATAATATTTTGAGTAAAATAAATTAAAATGAATGCAAAACTTAGAGAAAAGTAATAATTAATTTAAAAGTAAAAAGTGGAAAATATTAATTAAAAAAAAACAGTTACAAAAATTTATCTTAATATATATGCAATACCTAAAACGTTATACATTAAAAAATGTCTTACATATATATAACTCCAACAAAGATGTAAGTAAAAGTTTTAGTCTCTTGCTGGACCTCTGAAATCAGTTCAACAACCAAATTCTCTTTGAAAGATTCTGATATTAAATTTGTTCGAAATATTGAATTTTCTTGTAATTCAGATATTGAATTTCTTTATTTCTACAAACAAATTTCTCTTTGATAGATTCATGTTCTCTTTAATAGATGTAGATATTGAATTTTTTTTACTTGTGATTCAGATATTGAATACAAAAACAAATTATGGTATTGTTAAGAGAATACGGCGTGACCAAATCAGTCTTGGTGCTCATCTTCACCTTCAGAATCTGCGAAAAGAAGAATGACACAAATTTGATGATCATCACTTCTTGATTTGGATGGCGCCAAAATTATAATAGTAAACCAAAAAACTTACCAGATCTGACATCTTGGCTAAGCTTGCCTCTAGCTTGTATCTGTTTCACAAGCATCCGATAAATCAAGACCCACCAATAAATGTGAAGAACAAGCAAGGAGTAGAGGAGAGTGTTGCATATGTAGTAGCAAACTGATCCTTCGAACGAGAGTGTGTCCAGTTCCAAAAGTACTTCATAGCTGCAACAAAAAATGTATATCATATATAACGGGAAACATTCGAAATACAAACTTATATCGATAAACACAAACCTAGTGCTCCATAGGATCCAAAAGGGATAGTAAATGAGACGGAGAATGATCCAAGACAAGGCAAAAAGAATGAAAGAAAAGCTTGCGATGCCTTCAGCTCCACTATACTTAGACATTTTCCCGACTTCAAGAAACACATCACTTGCATCGTGAAGTGGTAGAATCACAGAACCAGCACGAGAGAAGCTGCCTCCATAGACAGATTAAAAAAAAACAGACAAGATCAAAACATTGTGGGTCCATTATTCTATTTAAATTCTCAGCAGTAGAGTAGGATGTGACGATGGAAGCATACCTACATAAGTGCGCGATGACAATAAGAATAAGAGTTACAATATGATGAGCCATTGAAACTCCAAAATCAGAACGCCTTGTTTCCCAAAAAATCAGAGCAAAGATGGAGTATGTGTAGAACCCAACCACAAACATATTAAAAAGCTTCAACTTTAACCTGCATGAGAGAAACATGTATGATATCATTATTTTTACAAATGAACCTATTGTGATAGAAAAGCAAGGCCGTGACAACATTCTTAATTACTTGATTGGTTGATCAGGCCAAGCTTGATCTCCAGGGCCAACCCAAAAGTATTTAGTGTTCTTAAACCAAGGCTCATTGTAAGTCACATATAGAGCAAAAATCTCAGCTGATAGATAGTAAACACACTTCCAAGCCGATTCTTTGAATTTTATGATTTTCTTATTTCTCTCGGTTGCATCGTTATCTCCCATAATCTGTCTCTGTTTTCTTCCATATATCAAATGTTTGGCCAATTTCTACAAAGCACCAATCATCAAGTTTTAAGTTAAAAAGGAACCAACAACGAAAATAAATTAACTTTTCTCCAAACCCTACTTGACTCTAGGAAAAGGTTTAAATCATTCTTCATATTATACAACCATCAAAAAGAAAGATACTTTCAGCTACAGTCATTCTTCTTAGTGAAGCTTGTCTATGTTATTATGGCGGAAGCAAAAATTAGATAATTCAAAACTATACAATCATTTTTTAAGTGACTTAAGCAACAATCTAACAGCTTGAGATGATCTCACAGAACCTCATTGCACCGGATTTGATTAAGACTAGAAATGATTTAACCAAGCTCTCGAATTCCAATTATTAGTTAGGGTCTAAATGTCTAATGAAAGGTAATATAGTTGAAAAATCAAGCAATAAATAATACAGTATGTGCAAGTGTAAAGACGAGATGATAGAAGAAACCTCAGGTCGAAGCAATTTCCTTTAACTTAAAAAGAAGGAAAATAAAACAGAAATAAATGCGGTTCTTAGGAAACAATCGAATGTATAGTGTCGTATGACTATAATTCACCTCGAAGACCAATCTGTCGAGGAGAAATCGAAACGAAGGGAAGAACACTACGAAGAGAGGGAGAACACGAAAATCCTGGTAAACCGGAGGTGATTCGAGTTCCCAATTGATCGATTTCACAGATTCCAACAAACCCATCTCCTTGATTTTTCCTCTCTTAAACCGGTTTTTTTCTCGAGAAACAATCGGAAAAATTACATATCGAGACTTCGGGTGCAGATGGTTGAATTAATATATATAGAGATGAACAAATCTTAGCGTCATCATTAATTATGATGAACAAATCTTAGCGTAAGCTTCAATTACGCTGCATGCATTCCTTCAAACTCACCCCATGCACTGTATTTATTTTATTTTTACGTACAAAGACCCCACATTTTGGTTTATGAAAAGGCGGGAAGAATAGAGAAGAAGCGTAACAAGTTTTTTATCTTTGCATTTCAAAAAATAAAGTAAATTATTAGAAAAAGGGATCTCTCCTTTATTATTATCAGTGGGGGCTTATGAATCCGAAAGATTGGATCAAATTGCTCTTAAGAAAAAATTATTTTTAAAGCTGAATTGTAATAAGGTCGGAATCTTTTCTTCTCGGAACCTTCTGAACTGCTTAGAGTCTCCTTTACTCTCAGAGATGACAACTTGTTATTAGCTGGCTCGTCTCGTCGGTGAGTTTACTTCTTGATCCTTCTCTTCTCATTTTTCTATATGGAGAATAAAAAAAGTGATTGAATAGGAATAATATTATGTTGTGATTTGTGAACTGTCATATGTATTATCAACTACTGGTTTGCGCTTATGGTGGTTACAGATCAAAACTCTTTATCTTTTCGGATTACCAAAGATTCATCGACATATAGAAATAAATAGATTTGAGTGATTCAGCTCTCTACTTCAACTCTTTTTTTTCTTGTTAATTTAGGAGAAGTAGGAAAAGTAATGGAGATGGAGTAGAGTGCAAGAGTTCAGACAGAGAAGAAGAAGACTATTTATTATTGATTCAAAACTAGAAATGAATACAATACAATACAACAAATTTACAATAAATACAGATATTGAAATTTAATAACAGTTTGATAAAATTACAATCTCGTTCTAGATCACTAGAATGAGAATAAAACCCTCAATCCAAAACAAACAAAACAAATTCTGGTATTGTTAAGAGAACACGGCGTGAGACCAATCAACCAATCAGTCTTGGTGCTCATCTTCACCTTCAGAATCTGCAAAAAGAAGAACAGACACAACTTTGAAGATCATCACTTCTTGATTTGGATGGCGCGAAAATCATAATAGTAAACCAAAAAACTTACCAGATCTGACATCTTCGCTAAGCTTGCCTCTGTCTTGTATCTGTTTCACAAGCATCCGATACATGAGAACCCACCAATAAATGTGAAGAACAAGCAAGCAGTAGAGGAGAGTGTTGAACATGTAGTAGTAGATTGGTCCTTCGACTGGATGCTTGTCTTTGTCCAGTTCCAAAACTACTTCATAGCTGCAACCAAAATCTATAGATATAAAAGTGGAAACATTCAAAGGACAAATAAGGGAGGGATAACGATAAACACAAACCTTGTGCTCCATAGGATCCAAAAGGGATAGTATATGAGGCGGAGAATGATCCAAGACAAGACAAAAAGAATGAAAGAGAAGCTTGCGATTCCTTCAGCTCCACTGTATTTCGACATTTTCCCGACTTCAAGAAACACATCACTTGCATCGTGAAGTGCCAGAACAACAGAACCAACACGAGAGAAGCTGTCTCGATAGATAGAAAAGAAAACAAACAAACAAGATCAGAACGATGTGGTTTCATTCTAGTTTCTCAGCATTGAGGAGGATGTGACTATGGAAGCATACCTACATACATACGAGAGGACAATAAGGAAAAGAGTTGCGATATGATGACCCATTGAAACTCCAAAATCAGAACGCCTTGTTTCCCAGAAAACCAGAGCAAATATGGAGTATGTATAGAACCCAGCCGCAAACATATACAAAAGCTTCAACTTTAACCTGCATGAGAAAAATTCATATCATTATTTTCACGAGATCAACAAATGAACCTACATAGCAAGGCCTTGACGACATTTTTACTTGGTTTGTTGATCAGGCCAAGCTTGATCTCCAGGGCCAACCCAAAAGTATTTAGTGTTCATGAACCAAGGTTCATTGTAAGTAACAGATAGAGCAAGAATCTCAGCTGATAGATAGTAAACACACTTCCAAGCCGATTCTTTGAATTTTCTGATTTTCTTCTTTCTCTCGGTTGCATCATCTCCCATATTCTGTCTCTGTTTTCCATATATCAAATGTTTGGCCAATTTCTACAAAAACACCAATCATCAAGTTCAAGTTAAAAAGGAAGTGACTCAACCCAAAAAAAAAAGAGGAAACTTTCTCAAAATTCTACTTGAGATCACCAAAGGCACACATGAATGATGCGGAACAAGATATGATTTGGAGCTAAACAAATGTCAAATACACACTACCATAAATCAGAGTGACAAACAATATCAGACCTCGCATGCATTCTCACATACACCAACATTTGTTGCAAAATCATGCCTTTATTTTTAATGAGTGGCTCTAAGAAAAGGTTTGAAAATCATTCTTCACACCACAGCTATCAAAAAGAGATGCTTTCAGCCACAATCATTCTTCTTGGCTGAAGCGAAAATTAGATAAACTATACAATCATTTTTAAGTGACTTAAGCAACAATATTCATCCCACAAGATACCTATAAATCTAACAGCTTTAAGAGAGATTATCACAACAAGACCTCATTGTCTCGGATCTGGTAGTAAAGACTAGAAAAATGATAAAACCAAACTCTCAAATTCCAAATTACCAGACTTTTGATTTGGTAGGATCTAACGAAAGGGTAATAAAGTAGTAAAATCAAGCAATGCAGATGGAAGCTTCTTCCTTTGATTTTAAAAGAAGAAAAGTACAAAACAGAAAAAAATGCGATTTCCAGAAAACAGTGTTGCTGTCGTATGATTATAATTTACCTCGAAGACGAATCTATCGAGGAGAAATCGAATCGAAGGGAAGAACACTGCGAAGAGAGGAAGAACACGAAAATCTTGGTAAACCGGAGGTGATTCGAGTTCCCAGTTGATCGATTTCACAGAGTCGAACAAACCCATCTCCGATTTTTCCTCTCTTAAACCGATTTTCTCGAGAAACAATCAGAAATTTTCTCCTTTTATTGCAAGCAAATGCAAGTTGAAGTACTACTCCAACTCTGCCCAATTTGATTGATTCTCACCAACCATGAATCTGAAACCGAAAGATTGGATCAAATTGCTCCAAGAAAAATTTAAGCTTAGTTAATTTTCAAAGCTGAATCGTAACGTCGGAATCTTTTCTTCCTCGAACCTTCTGACTTGTTTAGAGTCTCGTCTTACTCTCAAAGATGACAACTTCTCTTATTAGTTGGACTTTTGACACTGAAATTTAAACAAACAACAGCTTTATTCGCCAACGTAATCTAGTACACTACATACTTTGTTTCGTCTATGTCACACTCAAAGAACTTTTTAAAGTCTAGATTACAAGAAAATGAATTTCTATGGCGTACATTTTTTTTTCTTTCTTGGAGATAGATATAATTATTTTACTGCAGATATAAGTGGATAATTATTGCATGGTATCACACCGTGTGAAAACAATAATGATACGTTTTTTTGGGGTCTGAGACATAATTATGTGTTACCTGCAAAAATAATTGGAAAACTATTACCGGGTATTATTATCACTGATAAAAAAAAAAATGAAAAACTAAGGGTGATAATTAGAATATTTTGAGTCTTAATTAATTCGTCTCATTATTGTGTTTCACATTCGTTAAAGCTTTGTCCACACATGCTCGCTCGTCGGTGATTATACTACTCAAGCCTTCTCTTCTCATTTTTTTTATATGGGTTTAAACTTTAAAGTATACTACTATAACTTTGTTTAAGTATTTTAGTTAAACATTTGTCAATTTTATGTCCAGTTTTTTCAAACAGTGCTGTAACTTTTGGATTATGATTTTAGAGCATATAAATCAAAAACCATATACATATGTTCTCGACAAAGACAACTTTCTAATTTCTATCGTTGATAACATCTGTAGATGCTTTGGTATTTTGACAAATACATTGAAACAAGAAGAGGTGACGTTTCCAAGGAGACATGAAAGCATTGACCCCAAGATGCCAAAGTTTGACTTCTCTTTCTCTCTCTTACTCTCCTTCATCGATCTTTCCCTTTGCTTCATGAAACGCCCATTTCTCTATGCAGCATTTATGATCAATCCAGCCGCATCTTTATTATTTAACAAAGTCAAATAATATCTCTGTATAGTTTAATTTTCTATATGGCTTTATATATACAGAACGAAAAGAAGACTTTATTTTTAACTCTTCATATCTCGGAGAGAAGAAGAGGAAAGGAAACGATGGTGAAGAAGAAAAGCAAAGTGTTGATGATCTTCTTCACTCTAGTTTTGCTTGTAAGCATGACTTCAAGTGTTATATCAAGAGAAGATGGTTTGGCTCCTCCTAAACCATCTCCTTCCTCTACACATGTAAGTTCGTCGATACACGCTCTCTTTATTCTTCTTTTATCGTTTCTATGATTGGCTAAAGTTTTTGATATTAGATGGACCGTACAATCATGGACTAGAATATGGTAACTGATCTATCGTCAACTATCATAGTAATCATATCCATTTTCACACGAGTACACAAATCTGGCCTACTCAGAAGATTAGATGGAGATTATACCGGTTTATCAGAAAACAAAAGTACCGTATGAAACATTTTGTATTTTATTTTATTCGATGTCATCATGATAACTTTCTGTGTGAGTCCATAAAATTATCTAGCAAAAAAAAAAAAATCGTATTCAAGATTTTGTAATTTTTTCTTCGTTATTAACATAATAACTTTTTTTTGAGTTATTTTTTTAAAAAATTGATAATGATTTGCATGTCATATGTACATATGAATATGAATAGTGAAATAATGGAATATAGATGCCATCGAACAATGGAGACATTTGAACTGCTCGATCTTTTACATTGATAGTCACGAAATGTTGAAAATATAATTCTTTTTAGTGGTTTTTTATGCTTGTGTATTACATCTATATCGAACATATTTTTTTAAACGTGAAAGCATAAATTTTTGATAAATAGTATTATGAACATTTTATTTATGAGATATTAGCCATTGCCATATTATTTATGAAACAATCACTCCATCAATGAAAAATAAAAATAAATTATTGAATAGGAATAATATATGCTGATATATAAATTAATAGTTTTATTATAAATGGCAGTTCGGATACCAAAAATTCGTTGACATATATAAATGTATAGATTTGAGTGATTCAGCTCTCCTGATTTAACTTTGTTTTTCTTGTTGATCTAGGAGAAAGAAAGAAGTACGAAAAGTGATGGAGTAGAGTGCAAAAGTTCAGACAGTGAAGAAGAATGTCTTGTTAAGAAAACCGTAGCTGCTCACACCGATTACATCTATACACAAGACTTGAACCTATCACCTTGAAACAAGAACAATTACTGTCTTTTACATAGCACAAAGCTATAAGCATAAGCAAAGTCTCCTTCCTTCACCATGTGTAGCACAAAGCTGTAAGCATAAGCAAAGTCCCCTTCACCATGTGCTCATGACTTCATGTTCTTCTTTCTTTCATAATAATCATCGTTTGCTTTTCTATCAATGTCAACTTATGTTTGTTAGGGACAACATCAAGTTTAATTGGGCTGTTAGGAATATTTTAACTGTGTTTATATCCTTTTTGTTATAGGCCCAATTAGAGGCTTAAATAAGCAACCTTTGATGAAAATAAGACGTGCAAAAGGTTAAAAAGAAAATATAATAGAAGATACTGTAGTATGGTATGTTATATTCACAGATAAATATGTTTAGATAGGCTTAATTTTTTATCAATTAAAGTTTTCTATATACATACAGTAAATATAGTTACAAAGAATAATTTTGTTATATGTTTGATTGCGTTTGAGAATTAAAGGCGATTATATTGTTTATAAAAAATGCTATTCTTTTGTTTGTTGATTTCTCTTTTTATAATTCTTGTAGAATTTAGTCTCCAATTCTTTTAAATACTATTTTTTTGCAGAGGCACTATCACCAGGAGCCTCCACCTCCCTTTGTCTTATTTCATTTCAACAACCATCCACACCATTTTAAATAGTCTTATTTGCAACAGTTGACCGAAAAAATTGAATCCAATCCAACATGAATCCATTTATAGGGAGAACATCTCAATTAAGAAGATAAAATTTAAACTGTTATACGCATGTTGCTCTCATCTCAATTAAGAAGATACCTTGTAAACTGTATAACTTATAAGCATGATGCTATATTTCATGTTATTTAGTCACATTATTAGACATGTAGTATTTGTTTTCCTGATATATATACACCTTTTATTCGTCATGACTCCTTAAATGATCTTTACATTTTATATCTGCAGTGGATTATCCATTTATATATTTATATAATGTACCAGATAATCTACGATTGAAAACATACAATTTATAGTATGTTATTTTGATATACTTCTTGCAAATGTTTTTATTTTTTTGTCGTATGTTGCATAATATAGTGTTTAACAATAGATCATTCCTTTCGACCAAAAAAAAAAAAAAAGAAGATCGTTCCATCTCCAACCTACGAAAAAAAAAACATAGATAAATTTGCATGAGGATACTAAATTAGTCGAAATAAGTTAATTATCTTTCCAGTAGTGTTTTATGATGTACATCTCTTCATATGATTTTGATGTGTTTTGTTTCAGAAAAATATTTATGCGCCAGGTGAAAATTTGAGGAAAAAGCTTATAGGCGGGTTAATTTGTCAAACTAAAACTAGTGATGCTTAAATGGCTAAAATAAAAAGGCGCTAATGATTAAATGGTTGATTAATTAAAATTAAAAAGAAGAAGGTCCACCATTTTTAGCAATTGATTTCTTCTTAAATCTATGTTTGCCATGAATGTTTTTTTGATGATGCAAGTCTATTTATGCGGCGAACTGAAAATTAGATTTGGTATAATGTCGTCATTAATATTTTGTCACCAACAAATTTATAGTAACTATGTCACACTTTCATATAACCAGCTCAAGATATATAAAAAAATAGTTCGGAAAATATTTCTGTAGTTTTCATAAAAGTTACATTTAACTTATCAAAATTTCGTGTCGACTCAAACATAAAAAAAAAAAAAAAATTTATGTCATCCGAAAAAAACTAAGTGTCCCCCAGTGGAATTAGTTTATATCGTGATATTCTAATATTTCTTGGAGTTATAGCACAATGATATTTTAAGATCTGAAAGTTTTAGGGTGTAAATATTATTTCTCCACATCATGCAGTTCATAACTTTAAATTGAATTTTTATAATATAAAACACCTTTAATTTTGATATATATATATATATATATAGTATGAATAGTACGCGCATGATCATCATTAATATTCGTAAGTAACTCAAGTTGGCTAAAAGAAAGAGATAGAGAAGAACATTATTAATTATAGTATATAGTATCATATAACACAATACGATCATTATGCAATCGACATTCTTCACAGAAGCTGAAGAATTCCAAAATCATCAACACAACCCAAAATCTGTGCTCGTTTGGTTCGAATCCGATCTAGAGTTTGATATCGAATCTTCGAGCTCTCTTAGAAAATTGTTGTCGTCTTCGTTGTTGGATTTTATCTGAGAGATAAGCTGTCTGAGATCAGAAGTTTCTTCTTTGAGCTTTACGTTCTCCTTCAAAGCAAGCTCGTGGCTTTCAGATACGCGGTTTAGCTTATCTATAAGACAGTGGTTATCAGTGCGAAGTCTTATCACTTGAGACCAAAGCTCATCGAGATGTCTCTGCTTTCTCATCCTTGACCTACGAGCAGACTCTCTGTTAGAGATCATCCTTCTTTGTTTCCTCTCATCGATGACCATGCTTTGTTGGTGATCTTCATCTGATGTCGAGTTGTTGCTTGTTATTAGATCCTGACCATTGGATGATGAAGAATAGTTGTTGTTGTTATTGTTGTTGATCAGACCGTTGAGGTAGTAGAAGGAGGAAGAAGATGTAGGAGAAGAGGGCATGTTGAAGTATTCGGACTCCATGATTGATGTCTGGTTATTATACTTCTCCGGTGATAAATATTGGAAGTATCCGGTGAGTTCCGCCGGAATCGTGTTCATCATCTTTGCTTTGATATATATCTGCGTTGTTGAAAGATCTTTGTGAGATGTTCTTAGAGAGAGAGAGAGAGAGATGTGTGTTTTGTGTGAAGTGATTTTGAAGTGAAGAGGAAGACTACGAGAAGGGTTTTATAGAGGAGAAGGAAAAGGAATGAGCTGTATTGAAAATTGGGTTGTACATCTATTATATTCTAATAAATAAATTATATCTAGCTAAAGATTAGTTCATTTAAAAAGAAAGCTGTAATACCCGCGATAAATGGTGGTAGAAAAATAATCAAGTTGATTATATATTGTCTTTCGAATTCTTCTTTCGTAGAACCACAAAGTTAATTTACGTTTAATTAGGTGAACTAACTATTTTTGGGTGGATTGATGGCTTTTCGTGTTGTTTTATATACTAATTAATATATTACCTGTAACTCATTTGGAATCTTTGGTTGAAAAATATTAAAATATTCCTTGAAAGAATTATGTTATTTTTTACTCATAGACATGTTTTTTTTTTTTTTTTTGGCATCTGAAATTATATTAAAGGTCTAAAAAACGTTAACACCGAACAAAAAACAAAGACATGATTTTTTTTGGCATATTGCATGTCATGGTGATGAGTAAATAACGCTGTGTTATATATGTGATATCACAACGTCTAGTTAATGACGGAAAGTCGGAAACCCAAAGCTTAAATTTGACACAAGGCATGTTAGAATTGTCATACAAGCATGTATAGATTGCTTGCGCAATAACTGAAACTAAAATACTAACATGCCAGTTTTTAATTACGTTCGCAAAACAGCATGATAAACGTAAATGGCTAAATAAAAAATAAAACACTAAATTATTTATCTAACAAACTGACAAAAAAAAATATAACAAGTATTTGTCCAGCATCAACTAAAAATATGCAGTTTCTAACTATAGGATTTCCATAATAATTTCGTACGTATACCATAAATAGTATTGAAATATAGACAGTAGCAGCTATGATTGGTTTATGTCATATCACCCAACTATAAATATTTTTCGCGTATTAGATAAATTACTGTGGAAACTGTTGTAGCAATCAATATCATTGTCTATTACTGTTTTTTTTTTAACTCGTAATTGGTAATCATAGCCTCAATATTAACATTGTTAGATTCATATATCATACAAGTCAAAGTACTATAATATTGCGTAATTTGTGAATAGTTCTTGTGTACTTATTTCACTGCACCGAGTACAAACACTTTTTTCTGAAAAGTTTTTACCATTTGGCATGGAAAATGAATATTGCTTGTGAAAAATTGAAGGGGCATGCTCATCAAGGCACACACCTCCATTATTATTAGATCCTTCTCTATGTATATATTCACCAACGGTGAGAGTCCATTTTAAGGGTAGATTAAAGGGGCAGGCTCATCATGGCACACACCTCCATTTTTATTAGAAATTAAAAGACTCATTCTCAAAATTATTATTTTTTAGTCCGTGTACAGAAAATTTAAAGAGCAGAAGACTAATGGAAAGGAATATTTAGGAAATTTATTTAATTTTTAATTTATTTTATAGTATATAATCCCCAATGGGGTTTAAGGTTAATATCAATATGTTGTTTAAAGCTAATATTCGGTTATGTTCTTATTAATTAATTTATAAATTAATAAAATAACTTGAGAAGAGTTTTTTTATCAACGTTTCTTCGCTTTTGGCATTCATTTCATCATATTGAGACAACAAAAACAAAATAAATTTGAGCATTGACATTAGATCTGCATCTCAGCTTAATGTTGAGTATTTTGAATTTTATATATTTCAATTTATCTCAAAAATAAATGAATCATTCATAATAGAAATAGAAATGTACTTTTTATTTGATTAAATTCAACATTTATTTTATAAAAGAAAGAAATTTCGAACTTTATATTCGTATAATGAAAGGTACAGCTTCCGCTCTATCAAAATTCACGACTCTTACTATTTGAATAGTTTATGGTGACCGCTACGTACGTACGTACCACTACTTAAAGCCGAATGCTTTAAATAGAAAAACAATAAGCCATGTAATCGCTAAATACACCATTACAGCACAACTTCGTCCATCAACATAATTCCAAATCACATCTACACATTATTCCCATCTTCAAAAACGATTTAGTAGTAATTGTACGAGAGAGGGTATAGATTCCCAAACAGGTCAAATCTATTATGTTAGATCAGTGTCCAGAAGAAATTCGAAAAAAAATAGAGACAAATGGGAACAAAGATAGGGTGATGTGATTTGATAAATGAAACATAAAAATGCAATGAGTGGGTCCAAACATTTTGTAGTGACGCCTCGTGGCCGGCGCACCAATTCACCGAGACACAACTTAAACATTTGCTTAACATGCTTACTTGGTTTCATAGTCTATTCCACAATTGAGTTCATTGTAAACAAAATAATTTTTTTTAGGGGGGAGCATGCAATACTTTCCATTGACTTTAAAAGACTTCATCGATCTTCAAAGTGACCCTATTCGTTTTTTATAAGTGGGCAAAAATAACGATTTAGTGTTCGTTTCATTCTTGATAGATTCAGCGGTAAACTGTTCGTACGTACGTGATACTTTGTTTGGAATTATATTTCGGTTTTCACCACTGAAAATTTTAATGATCGGTAATTTATAGATATCATTCGTTGTGGTTGTTTGTCGCTATCACCAATGACGATGAAACGAATGTCTATAGTTCAATTTTAATATTTTAGTTTATTCTATAAATTCATGTTATTAATCGTGATTTTACTATTTCGGTAAGTCACCAGTCATAATTTAGCTTACTTAAAGTATACTATCAACTTTGTGTTCATTTTTGTTCATTTGATTGGTTAATCTGAACTAGACTGGGAAATTTTCTTCACTAAATAATTGGATCACCCAGTTTCATTAATGATTTTCTTTTCACTTGATTATCTTAATAGTTATAAATAAAATCACCTGTAATATTCACAACAGATCATTTGACTGATTATCCACAAAAGGCGTAATTAATCAGAAATTTAGATGGTTGCACCCAAAAAAAGAGAAATCAGAAGTTTAGAATTGAGAAAATGTTCATGAGAATCTCTTCTGATACCTGCAACCATTTGTATAGCTTTTAAAAAAAAAATCGAAAATGGAACTGTATTTAGTAAAAAGATGATAACGTTCACAAGGGTCCTCGGCACCCAAATTAAAAAAAAAGAACTTCCACAAAAGTCTCATTTCTTATTGACCACATGAAAATCTTCATCAAGAGATTTGTTCCGTAACATAATCAAGGAAAAAGAAACTCCGGTCGACACTGTGAGGTAAAAGTTTTTATGTGATAGGACATCACAATGAGGGACTGTGTTGAGCACGCGTCACCGGATAATTTCTAATTTTATACGACAGAAAAAAAAAGAGAAGAAAACTCCATGTTTCCATTTTTTTGGTAGCTTTCAAGTTTCAAATATACCCATTTACAGAGACACTGAGAAGGGCCTATGACCCCACGGTACAATTTGATTATTGAAGTGTACCATTTTGCAAATAACATTATGACGACTGTCTCCACTTTCCCCCACTTCACTACAAAGCAGCCCCATATTTATATTTATATATATTTGATTGGACTAAAGAGGATAAGCTTGTCTCTCTTTTTTCCCCTCTCCATGCTAAGAACTTGTGTTGTGTGTTGGATTTGACACTGTTGATCTAGATCTAGATCCATCTACGTTGTATATATGCCTCAAATATCCCTGTAGGAGATATCACTAACCCTGAAAAAGTAATCTTAGTAATGTCTTTCTCTGTTTGGGAAAAAATATTTAATCAATTTCAGTGTTTAAACAAACAAAAAAAAAAAACCAATTTCAGTCATTTGAATCCGGTCATACCTAATCACGTATGATCACAGTTTTTTTCTCTCTCTTGTTTTGTTTCTGTTTACGTAGCCATAGTTTTCCCAATACTCGTATTTTTAGAGCTAACCTTTATTCATTGATATTTATAATTTACATAAATATATTATAGTACGATTATACGTACAATATGGTTATGGCAAAAATTGGATATATATACACCTGCTGGTTCTACAATCAGACGCTATTGATGCTTATTCTAATTTTAATTAGAGAAGTACATTATTGTGATGTGGGTTGAAATTTTTAATTCCAACAAAACAGCAATCATATGTCTATAGCTTGATTTTTTACAAACTAAACGAAAACCCGTGCGTGCGTACGGCACCTCATCTAGTTGATGATTAGCTTCTTGATCGTAATTAAGTTTATTGGCTTCAGCAATCAAAATTAAGGTAGTGATCCACTCACACTTCGGCCACTAATTATGTAATTGAAGGCCTAAGCCTGTGTTATTAAATTGCGTAATCCATTTGCCAGTTCTTTGCTACGTTTGCTGTCGACACGTGTCGGCCCATCGAATTAATTTAAATATTCGGGAATATTTCTGTATTTTCAATTAGTCGATCCATCGACACATTTGAACATATAAGGATTTTAATTAATTACAGAAGATAATATAGGTCACGGTCAAGTCAGGTGTGTGTTACCTAAACCTAGTATTAAGATGCCTTTGTCTCATATTGTAACTAGAAGACGTGCAATAATACCGTAACGTGTCGCTATCCGTCTGTATTAAAATAATAAAGGACTCAGGCTTTTTTTTTTTTTTTTTTTAGATATAATAAAAAGAGTCCAAATTTGTCTTTTGCTTTAATCAAAATCTCCATTAAATATTTATAAAAGAGAAGAATACGATAAAATAATAACCAAATTTTATACTAGAAACATCGAATTATATTTGAAAACATTTATTTATTTTTATTTTTTTGTTAAGGATTGAAAAACATTAAATTCCCTTTCAAAAAACAAAGTAGTTGTAAATAATTCTATCAGATACTAATATTTTTACCATTATATTTTAGTTTTTTTTTTGTTGGTTTTAAATTGTAGTTTCCACCGGAATTTGAAATATTTGATCTTTAACTGACATTGTTTTGTACTTCGCCGTTTAGATTTAATTTGATCAATAATGGAGTCGCTGTTTTGCGAGAAGAGGCAGTATAGAGAGTAATCGAATTTGACTTGAAGAGACAAATTATCCAAACCATAGCATATCAGACCACAAATTTAATATATTAAAGTAAAACAGCATTGAAATTAAAAAGCAGTATTTAATAATATTATTTTTTCGACGGAGGAGAGCCACATAATTGTCTCTGCTGAACCCCACGCACGTAGAAGCCAATTGGTAAGCGACAAGAAAATGTAAAAAATATATCACAAAAAAACAAGTGATCTTGGAGGAAAAACAAATGGAGGCAAGGTTTTGTTTAATATTTAATTTAAACAAATAAATCATTGGCACCTTTGAACCTAACTGCTGCGAACTGGCGTCAGCAGATGTCAACTTCAAAACGTTGGAATCTCCATTTTGATTTGGACGATTTGATTATCGTGTTATGTGATACTTTATGGATTAAAAAAAAAAGGTTCTAATCTAAATGATAAAAATATGAGAGAGGTGGATTAGATCCGAAACTCTTTAATCATTCCACTATTTCTAGGGTTAATTACTAATTCCCATATGTTTCTTTGTAATATTAGTAGTTAATGGACCTAGCTATGCTCAGACACGTTTAACCAAAATAATATCAAATTAAAGGAAAAACTCTACCCGCCAGATGGCTATTAGACAATTTCATTTTTTTGTTCTGCTCTACCACTTGATGTGTACATTTATTATTTCTTAGCCTTTTTTTTGCATAGAGATCTTTAACAACAACAAACTTCTCATATACCGGTTAATTAAATGTTTCGAATTATATAAATATTTTAAAATATTTGTAAATAATACAAAAATAGCAGGAGTAACCCGTAATAAAGTTGTTAATTCGTCTAACTCGTGAACCCATCATGACCACTAGTAGTTTATGAAGTTTGTGGATTCATCTAACTCGTGAACCCATCATGATCACTACTAGTTTTTGAAATTTATTTCATATAGATATGGATTAATAACTTGTAACTTTCACCATTGATAACATGTCGCAGATTGTGGTCCATATATATTAATACTCTGAATTTTCGAATCACCTTCCTTTAGTAAGCGGAGCTGCAATGGCATCCCAAGTATGATAAAAAAAAAGTAGTTTAATATATATATGTTCTATAATATTATTCCCTTTACGAGGCAAACCAACTTTCCCACGGTAAGAGCCTAAATAATTTCTAGATAGTATATATTATGCTTAGGTCAAATGATACCTCCCTATTTTTAGATCAAGACATACTAATCCATTCATAATATATGTTTACACATTCGTACGAACATATCTTGATTTGTCTATATATACTCATATATTTCGGATTCCCTATATATAACAAAATAACAAACAAACTTTATAATAATGTTCTTTTTCAGCAGGAAGTAACTTTTTTTGTGGGTTAAAAGAACTTTATATTGTTCTTTACACATGCATGCAATTATCTAATTCTGTCTCTCCTTATTTAATCAATTAGGTACGTGGCTGATCGTTTTATGTGGTTTTAAATTTCCCCAAAAGACCGGTAAGAATTCATATACAAAAGAAATAATGGATATATACCTTTTAGATAGAAATTGAAATTGTCGCTGGTCCACTTTAACCATTTTTTTTTTTGGGGTGCAAATTCCACTTTAACCATTTATGTGTCTTAAAACTTTGTTTTCTATTTTGATAAAAGTATTTTTTTTTGTTTAAAGACCATGAGAAAGAAAACTGTAGTTGTAATGGCCATTTACTTGTTTGTAGCCCAAATACTCACAAGCAAAAGGGAAACCAAATTGAACCAAGCCCATATAAAATATGCTATCAATTTATGTACAAATTGTTTCAGCATTGAAGGCAATTTACTGTCATAATTTCTAGTCAGATTTCACTATATAAAAAAAGTAAAGTCTGTTTTTATTAAACCTTGGATTAGCTGAAGTAATAAATTTCGAACATATTAATATAAACAAATACATTTTTCTTTAATGCAAGCGTATACATTTTTCGGGCATTGACGAGAAGGAGCACAATCTAAAATTGTCTTACACGACTTAGGAGTATATACTGTCATCGGGTTAAATGGTTTGAGACTCGGACATTCGCATTGTCTGTTCACACATTGCGCGCTTCCACTCGAACATCGAACCGATTTACATCCTGCTGGTGTTTTGCATGGAATGATCAACTGAGCTTCAGCTCCAGAAACGCTCGCCAACAATATGTCTATTCAGTTTTTTACAGTTCCATCAAACTATATATGTTTCAAATTTTGTTGGTTAGTATCTGAGAGAGAGGGAGAGACACTTACAGGAAAGGAAGAGAGCAAACAAAATCAGCAATGCTGTCTTTGATATTATCATATCTTTAACCTGAAATTTCGTGTTTAATAGTTCAGGTATGATTTACTATTTGAAAACGTTTTTTATATTTTTTTAATGGAAGATGGGGAGATTTAAATAGTTTGGTTTGAAATACGAAAATGGCAACATACTTAATGTGTTGACTATTTTCATAAGCATTTGATATCAACAGAGAAACAAAAAGTTTCTTTCCTTTTTAAAATGGTTGTTATGTTTCAATTTTCAAACATGTCCGTTGAGAGTTCTGAAAAAAATCTTTTAAATGAATAATAAGCAAAACAAACATAACGGAAAAAATCCAACTAAAACTAGTAATGTAAGGTCGCAGTTAAATTTGTAATCGCCGGACTTCGTTTGCATTATATGCTGGACTTTCTTTGATTGTAATCAATTTCTAAATTTAATATAAGAGTTTGTCCACACACAAAAAAAAAAGAGTAAGTTTATAACTGAAGTAAATAATCCGATATTGAATGTGAAAAAGAATTGTTTCATCTACTCATTTTCTTTTCTCTGTTAATTTTTTATATTTAACAAATAAGATATTTGTGTACTTACCAATTCAATTTGTAATAAATTAATTTATTGCTGATTTTTTGGTCAAAAATATTACTTTGTCACCATAAAGTAAATTTCTAATTTATTATTTAATCAAAATGAATTAATTTAGACTTTAGGCAAATAATTTAATTTAATATTAAAATTATTAAATACGCAGGTGTAGAAAATTAAATAAGAACTATTTCATGTTCACATTTTCTTTTCCGTTTTTATATAACAAATAAGATATTTATACTTACCAAATCAATTTGTAAAATCCAATAATAGTATATATATCATGTTGACATAATTGCATATTCAAAGTCAAAGATTCATCATGACAAAGTAATGTTTTTGACCAAAGACTCAGCAATAAAGTAAATGTTCTAATTTTAGCATTTAATCAAAATGAATTTATTTAGAGTTTAGGCCAATACAGTTTAATTAGTAGTATATCTGTTGACATAAAAGAAACTGTATTGGCTTAAATTATACATTAATTCGTTTTTATTAAATGATAAATTAGAAATTTACTTTATTGCTAATAAATATTTTTTTTGTTGTCAACCGCTAATAATTAGAACTATATGTAAAGTTGTAATAATTACATGAAAACGTTAGCATAAGTAAAGAATTAGACAAATTTAGGCAACGAATCTTGACCTCATTATGCTTCTATTAATATATAAATTATTGTAGTGTTTGATTATTCCATCCCAAACCAAACTAAAAACATTGACACCTCTCTGATAAAATCTCTCAAACGAAATAAATCTCAAAATTCGGAGAAAATATGAACAACCTTCGTGTAACCATTGCAGTGTTCTTAGCCGCTCTTGTCTTCACCGCGACTTGTATTTAATTTCCTTGCCTCAAACTCAACTCTACTCATTGTCGTTCGCTATATATAATTAAAACCGTGTTTTCATTTTTTGTTATTGTTATTGTTTTTGTTTTTGCCAGTCTCAAATTCTGTGGTGGAGGCCAAAAAAGAAACCATAATCTCATTCCGATGCAAAAGTAAATCGGAATGCTTAACAAATATTGCATGTGAGGCTTGTGTCGATTGCAGATGTGATAGCGGATTGTGTAGATGCCATGGTTTTGGAGGAGAAACAGCAAACTCAACAGCTGTGCCATTACCAGCTTAATTAACTCATCTGTTTTCTTTAATAATTTACCTTTCTGTAATGCAAAATAATAATTAAAAAAAACTTCAGTTGATGAAATAAATTCTGTTATGTATGATTATATAAAAATAAATAAAAACCGAATGACTGAAGTTTCATGTGGTTGTATGTAAACCCTTATAATTTTCATAGCGCATCGTCTAAACATTTAATTTTTTTTAACACTTTTTTTTTTGTGGCAAATTCGGAAGAGGAGAACATACACAGATGAAACAAGACTACAAGAGTAAACCGCCAAAAAAGAAGAAACCCAAAATATGAGATTCTTCGCTTTAAAATCAAAAGCAAGGTCAAATAATCTACAAATAAAAATGTTTCTAAATGAAACTCATGTTAAGGCATGACCAGTTCTTTTGCTATTAGATTTTCGCCCTACAAATAAGATATATTAGCTAGTACCCATACTTTGATAGAAAAGAAAAATTCGAATTAAAACATGATGAGGCCGTATATTGGATCACTGAAACAAAAGATGAACTGGCCTGTGCCAGTGTGCTTACCTACCAATGAAATCTTAATTTATAGACATGAGCTTATATATAAGCCGATTTTCAGTCGTTTACTAAGCCCATTTGGCCATTACAGACATTCCTCCAGCACCTAAGAAAACAGCAACATAAGCGAATGACTGAAGTTTCATGTTCCCTTGTAACTTCGGTCCCAAAAAATCTGCACCTAATAGATCAACAAGTGCCATGTAGTTCAATAAACCGGCCGAACAAGCGTTTAAGACCCCTACAACGATCAATGCCGTTGGACTCGTGGGGCTGTACACCGTTTGTAACAACATTCCTAAAGCGATCCCTAATGGTGTCGTGACCGAGAAAAAAAACACCATTGTCGAACTCATTTTCCCTCCATATTGCGCCTAAAAAAACAGCATAGCAAACGCACCAATCTATTATAAAGAGGTTGTACAATGAGAAACTAGACTACAATTACTTGATTGTTGACTAATTACTTGTTTCTGAAGAAAATGCTACATATTAATTGGCTAATTAAGTGACTGTTGGTCTAATCTACGTACCTGAAGAATGCAACCGCCAAGTCCCATGCCTTCGAAAAGCTGATGAAAACAAAGAGCGGCTATGAGAGATTTTATTGTACATTTGTTATCCGAAGCCCCTAATGCAAGGCCGATTACCACCGAGTGCACAACAATCCCTAGCTCCAATACCTAGCACCAGCCGATTATTGTCAAAATTAGGGTTCGTGAAATATTAAAGTGAATTAAAAGAATATGTAAATGATGTGCCTACCTGAGCAACGACTTGATATCTAATAAGCTGTGGTTTTGCGTCGTCGGCGACTCTAATCCCGTCTTCTTCCTCCAATTCCTTCGATCCATTCTCTAGGGTTTCGGCAACGACATGTTCCTGCGGTTTCAACATTCTCTTCTTCTTCTGCCAACTCATGGCATAAGAGTCAACCATCAATGTGAGTAAAGCCGAGATCATAGCGATAAACGTCGTGAACGGAAACTTCCTCCATGGATTTCTAGGCAAGCAAAAGGAATTGAGATCTGCAAAAGAGTCAGGTAACACGTGCATATAACCCGTCGCTAAGATAACTCCCGAGGCCAATGCCTTAACGACCACGAAAAAGTCTCGGTCTGGTCCTAACGCCTTAACTTTGCGTGTTACCAACGGTAAAGAAACACCAATCACACTCGCAACAAAGATCGAGGCAATAGCTATGATTTTGAGCTTTTTCGATTCTTTGCTGTTGTGGCAAAACGATGCTTGTGGTCCGGATCTGCATTGACTAACGCTTGCGAGCTCGGCGTTTTCCGCCAGAGATGTCAATGTGAAGGAGAGGAAAAGAATCAAAATAGTGACTAGCTTGTACATCTGATGAGAAGCAGCCATTTCGTTTCCTGTTTTATTTAACGGAAAGTTGTTAAGCTTTAGGTTTATTTATAGTTACAGTGCGAAGTATGTTGCAACCGAAAATCTTATAGTTTGACAAATTCTGTTTCAGTGGCGTAGACTTGGATTTTACAAACTTGTGTTCGTCGTATGTTGTCGCATCCGTACACACGCTTTTTAACTGACGAACCTTGGTCAGGGCGCTGACGTGACGCTGAAGCGGTGCTGACGTGGCACTTTATTAACCAATTTTTTTTTTCTACAAAAGAAAAACCAATTAATTTGTTATATATAAATTTCAATTTGGTTACCAAAGTTTTCCTAAACAAAAATTAAAAACCAAACTGAAGACCATATATATATTTTTTTTTCTAAGAGAACCAATCCAAATTTTACACCCACGGTTAGAGGTGAACTTTATCAAATTAACCCAAACATACCGGATTTTATAATCTTCATTAATATTAATAAATTTCAACATAGATTACAAACGACTGCCAATTTATTTAGGCTCTGAGAGAGCATGATTTTGGTATTGGGAGGTCTCTTATTCGCCATTTCCGTTTCATTCTCTTTTACCTTTTTCACAATTTTGTTTTTTTTTTTCCAATTTTTAACTCTATTTCAAAGAATCTAACCAACGAACGAGAAAAAAAATAAACAGTATTTGGTTTGTTTCTGTCAATCTGACAACAATCATTATTCATTAAACCTCCGCAACAAGTTTTCTGTTTTCTAGTGATTTGAATTATTATACAAAATTGAGATGATGATTTTGATACTACTACCCACAACAATCCAAAATGAACCAGCAGCAAGAGCCCAATGAAGTTAAAGCTTGTCACGAGTATCCACATCTTTGATAGTGCGGATCAGCTTTTCTGCCGCTAGAAACCAACAAACATTGGTACTCACCACTGGTTACGTTAGGTCCGTGAACATGTGAAACCATTACGATGACTAGTATAGTTGACAACGATTACTTTTCCCCTCTTGAACTATATATAGCGACTTTCTGTTCTGGAGTCGAAACAGAAGTATTAGGAGTGATCATGTCTCTGTGTGTAAGGTGGGGCAGATGAAGCAGCTCGGCGAGGACATCCTCAACCGCAGCTCCAAGACAAGGATAATCCTCTCCGGAGCTGATTCATCCGCTCCACTTTACATCCCTCAACCTCATTGTCTTCGTCTCTTTCTGTTACTCAATTATTTCTTTGATCAAAACTTTGGTTTATATTTCCGTTGCTATTTTTCCTTTTTCTTTGCAATATTAAGCAGATCAGTCCCTCTTTGTTGTTACTATTACTCTTGGTTTTGTCTTTCGTGCACACAAGCACAGATTTGTTGGAGATACTTGTTACTTGTTAAATTCAGCTTTATGAAACTAGGATCATTATACAGAAAAACTTGTTTTGCTAATCAATTTTTTTTTTAATAAAGTTGAATTTAACACAAATCAGCAATGGTGGAGACGAACTTAAAAGAAATTTATATGGAAAATAACATTTTAGAATTAACTGATATTTATTGGATTAAATATGTTCTACCTCTTTTCCAAAGAATATAACCAAAGAACCAGAAAAAAAAAATTTCATTTGATTTTCAAACCTTTGCAACTGAATTCTTCACACAATCAATATTACACAACCGAACTGATCTCACCATTTCACCCAACCTACAACCAAAATTTTAGAAATTTAGATAAAAATAAATATATAAATCCATTTTAATAAAAGAGCAAAAATAACGATAATAGTTCGATCATTAATGGTTTAAGTACTAACCTGTCAAAGCTATTCCTTGGCCGATCGAAGCTATCCGTGCTGTTTCTCGCCTTCCCAAACCGATTACCGATACTAATCTTTCTTGATTTGTCTCCAGAAGTAACACATTCGGTGCTATGTCTAGATCCAATCCAACTACTCCTCTTCTTCGAATTCGAATTCAATTGTTGTTTCTCTTTCTTTTGATCATCAGCCGATGAATGGTTTCGGAATTTTGGAACTGGAAGCTTCTCAATGGCAGCTATGAACTTTCTTAAGTGAGGTAAGTACTCAGGGAACATCTCAAGATTACAATGCTTTCCTTCATTAAGCCATAAGGGTTCGTATTTTTCTTTACATAGCTCCCACAGTTGCTTTCCATGTGAAATATCCACCACGTCGTCATTTGTTCCCTGCATAACACGCAAAGAGCATTGGATTGTTGTTTTTATAATTTCGTATATATATATATATATATAATAGGAACCTACAATGTAATGAGAAAATATACTTACATGAATCACAAGAACGGGACAGTCCACGAGTTGTATTTTGTCAATGTTCTGCAATATCAAAACTCTTATCAGTTTCCCAAAACAATTAATGTAGCTATCCTTAGTTTAGGACAAGTTGGGTAAATATATCTTATACTCCCTCCGTTTCAAAATAAGTGTCGTTTTAAAGTTTTATTTTTGTTTCATAAAAAGTGTCGTTTTGTATTTTCAATGCAATTTTTAAACAAAAATCCTCTTTTAACTTTGTTATACTAATGTATTAATTAGAAAGAGAATGTTATTTTGTGTGTGAACAAAGAGTAAAACAGAACTTTTAAAACTTTTCTTAATTTGTGTGAAAAGTGTCAAAATGACACTTATTTTGAAACACTTATTTTGAAACAGAGGGAATATTATTTACACACAATAACATATTATGGGTCATTAACCTTAAACCACTATGGGTCACTGATCACATAACATCTTAATAGACTAATCCAAAAGTATATACTATTATGATCAAACTTCTAAAAGCTCTTAAGAATATAAAACAATGACTATAAGAAATACACAGGCTCTGATAAATTTAGGTTAATTTAGACAACTATAGGATACGTATCATAGTACAGGCTAATATTTTGATTTTTTAATAGAAGATTTGAACTCTTATATTTTATAAGTATAAATCTTTTGTTGTTTTAGGTTCTTTCAGACTAGTACTCAGCACTTTGTACTATTTAGATAGAAATCAAAACTCTAGATGACTTAATATTAGGCCGAGATCGATGCTGAGATATATTCGCAGTAAATATAAGATCAACGAACCTTGAAAATGTCGAACCAGAAGGAGTGCTTGACAGCAGGGTACATGACACGTAGACCGGACAAGAAAGGACTGTGAAGAACAAGTCCTCGAAGACGTGGAAGACGAGAAGCAAGCTCAAGCGACGGTCCACTTCCCACAGATTGTCCGTATAAAATGATACGTTCATCGTTTATACCGTACGTTTCTCTTAGCCAATTGTAAGCTGCTTCTATGTCTGCGTACGTCTCTTGCTCGCTTGGCTTTCAACATGAAACGATCCACATTAATCCCCATGCACACCCAATCATATTTTTAATTATATCATGGAAATTATCTTAGCTGGTTTGGGCTCATATAGTAAATGTGATTTATCTTAAACTAGTTTTTAAAATATTTTTTCTTTTGCCTTTTGTGGTACACACGTATTCAGCAAAACAAGGGTGATTTGAAAATAGGAAAATATAACTTACCTTACCAGAAGATTTCCCATATCCTGAATAATCGTATCTGCAATTATCATCACAGAGAACCATATACACTGTAGTGAGCTATATATATCATATATTCTGTTATTGCTTGATTTATTAATATATCATATATCAGTTGTGTGCCTTAAAATGTTTGAATATTGAACTACGAAATTCTCTGATTTTGATTTTTGGGATTAAACAATGTTTTTATAACTGGGAATCCTATGCCGAATAACCTCAGAAATCACAAGCGTATATTTTGTGATGACTAACCACCACTTTTAATTAAATAAATTCTTTCACTAAAAAAAGTAAGGAATTTTTGCTTTTTTTTGTTAAGTGTGGAAAACGTAGCCACCAAAAAAGGTCAAAATAAACATAAAACAATGTACCAAGTTCCTAATCAAACAAGTGAATTTCATGGATTGAGGCATGTAAATGACATCTTGCATCTAAAAACAGACTTATATCAATATATACTAACCCCATGAGATTGACATTGAGATGGTGACTTAGTTCGTTGAAGATGAGGAACATGTGACCTAAATCGGCTGCGTTGCCGTGGGAATACAAAACGGTGAGTTTAGCCATTGGATTCTTCACATACATCGCCACGATCTCATTCCCTCTTTTCGTCTTTATCCTCACCACTTCGATTTCCTCATCTTTCCGGTGACGCATCTTGTCCGTCGATAACCTCATCTTCCCCGTCGATTCCTCCATAACCACCGTGTACGACGGCGGAGTTGGTGGGAAGAATGCTAGCTTTGCCACCATCGACGACGTCGCAGTTCCCATTTTCACTCGATAAGTATTTTTCCTCCTTTTTTTGTTCTTTTTTATAGGTTAAAGTGGTAAGAAGAGAAAAATGGCCTATACAATAATGATGGGTTTTATTTTATAATCTACTGATATTGTTTAACTCTTTTTTTATTCCCACTGTGTTAGTCTATTAGAGATGAATGATGCTAAGATTTTTCCTTTTTAATGCTCTTTCTCTTTTTATGTATAGCATCTATCTAAATATATATGGCTAATAATCAGATTAAGGCTTAACAAAATATATTAATTTCCTTAATTATGCAAAATGTTTCTGTTAATATCTAGGTTTTTGGGGGGTCATCTTAAATTTGAATTGATATGTAAGAAATTTGAATTGATATATAACAACTATAAGAGATATAAAAAACATATTTGTTAATAAAATACCCTAAATTTTAAATCTACTTTACGATAGAAATGAATGTTGTAACGATGTATAAACTTCATATTCGCGTTTGGATATATTTTTGTAAAACTAACAATGCAGTATGAAAAATATATATATGAGGATACCCACACCATACTGATCATTATTCTAGTTTTCTAGATGCTGCTTGCATTATATGACTAAATGTATGTATAATTAATAAATTATTGGATAGGTTTAAACCTAATAAAGGGAAACAATGATGTGTAGTGGAGACTAAATCTCATCATTACTTAATTTGTAAATAACTTTATATTAATTCGTTTGGAGGACAGAAAGCTTAATTCTCATCATTACTTAAGGAAAATTTACATCAATCTTTCTTTTGGAATTAGTGTAAAGTATGCACTGACTAACCCAAATTTGAATTGCACGAGCAATATCTTTTTGGGTTAATTCAAATTTGCATTAGTGCATACTTAACAGCATGATAAGCCAGCCCCTTTAATTCATTATTTGATTGTCAATCAGTCGAAATTGAATGTCTTAAATATCGCATATTGGGCCTACATGTATAAAAATAAGTATTTGGTTATGTTCAAATGGCTGTTCAATTATCCAAATGGTTTATGAGCACACACAAAATGACCGGTTAAAAGGATGTAGAAATACGCCGCTAATGGGCTTTAACTACAGGCCCAATAAACTAATATCTTTTAGGATTGATTTGTCCGAAAATTATGAACCAAAATGGTGAGGGAGAGATGGTGAGGGAGAGAACTGGTTGTGGAAAGAGCTGCTTATTGAAGTTAAACTTGATTTTGCGTTAAGCTTAATTTTGGGTTTATAAAATAATTATTAGTTATTAGATTAGGCCCAAAATTAAGCTCAAGTTCTAAAATCTTTACAAACATCATTAAAAATCATCATCTTTCTTAAATGTTCTAGAGAATTCTATTAGTTAAATATCTAGATAATTCTATAGATAATTCTAGATGTTGTAGTTAAAATTCTAGATATTATTGTAGAAAATTCTAGAGATTAGGAGAATGTTTGTAAGATATTTTGTAATAAGTGGAGCCTATAAATAGTCCACTACTCCATCATTTGTAAACAAGAGAAGTTGAACAAATAAAGAAAGAGTGTTCTTCATAAGTTCTCTTATTCTCTCTAAAGTTCCTTCAAGTTTTCTCTAAGTATTCTTTCATCTTATTATTCATACTTAGAGGGTCTTTGTTTCTTTCGGATCTCTCGGGTATTACGGTCTTGGGCTAGTGCTTGGCACTATCGGTGTTTTCTTTACATGGTATCAGAGCCATTCTGATCTGGTTCTTTTTCAAGATCGGATTAATTGAGATCTCAGATTTACTCTAAGTATGGAGTCAATGGGTCGCGTTGTTGGGTTGGGAATGGAGATTCTAAACCAATCCAATTACCGGTTATGGAAGTCATGCATGGAGTCATACTTGGTGAGTGAGGACTTATGGGATGTGGTCGGCGGCAGTAGCACAACACCACCAAGGGGAGCTGCTGCGACAGCGGAAGCGACAAAGGAGTGGACACGGAAGAATGCCAAGGCGGAGTTTGCATTGAAGAGGTCAATATCCTCGGGAGTCTTTGAGCATGTCTCAAGTTGCACATCCGCTAGTTCCATTTGGCAGGCGTTAGATCAGTTGTTCAACAAGAAGAATGAAGCTCGGCTACAACTGTTAGAGAACGAGTTGGCGAATGCAAAGCAGGGGGAGTCTTCAATCTCAGAGTTTTTCATCAAGGTAAAGAATCTTCGCTCAGAGATTAATATTCTAAATCCGGAGGAGTCAATTTCCGAAGCACGTTTAAAACGGTATATTATTCGAGGTCTACGACCTGAGTATACACCGTTTGTGACTTCGGTTCAAGGATGGGCTACACAACCTTCCTTGGAGGAGTTCGAGAACCTGCTAGCTTCGCAAGAGTCATTAGCTACGCAAATGGCAGGAGTCAAAATCCATGATGACTCGGGGAGCGCCTTTGTAGCTCGGAAGCAACACAACTTCAAAGCCAAATCCAAATACGATGGTGCAAAGAACATCGATGGACCGGAAGGATCTTCTACTGGAGATAAGAAGCGATTCAAGTGCTACCGGTGTGGAAAGCTTGGGCACTTCAAAAAGGATTGTCGAGTCAAGCTGAAGGAGACAAATATGGCAGAATCAAAAGGTCATATTGAAGACGAAGAATGGGGGAAATGCTTCACGGTGGAGGCTGCATCTTCAGGTATATCCACAACTAAAAATCTTGAAAATGATTGGATTGTGGATTCGGGTTGTAGCCACCATATTACCGGAGACGAGAAGCTATTTTCTAGTCTTCAGCGCCATGATGGAAAAGAAGCCATAATTACCGCGGATAATTCAGTTCACCGGGTCGAGAAAGAAGGGACTGTTGTCATTGAAGGAGAAGATGGAAGCCCTATCACCCTCAAGAATGTATACCATGTCCCTGGAGTAAGGAAGAATCTTCTCTCTGTGGTGAATGCAGTAGACTCAGGTAACTACGTTTTATTTGGCCCAAGAGACGTCAAATTCTTGAAGAATATTAAAGAGTTAAAGGCGGATGTGGTTCACACCGGATCGCGGGTTAAGGATCTATATGTCTTATCTGCGTCCAAATCATACGTGGAGAAGATGAGTACAAACGACAATGCCTCTATATGGCATGCTCGGCTTGGTCATATAAACATGACTAAGCTAAAGGTTATGGTGAATAAGGAGTTGGTAAATGGGCTTCCGAAGCTGAAGATCCAAGATGAAGGAAAGCTTTGTGAAGGTTGTCAATATGGAAAATCACATAGACTTCCATTTGACAATTCTACTTCACGGTGCAGTGCTCTGTTGGAGAGGATCCATAGTGATTTGATGGGTCCTACAAGAACACCCTCATATTCCGGGTTTCGGTACATGTTGCTGTTCATTGATGACTTCTCACGGCACACTTGGGTATACTTTGTGAAGGAAAAATCAGAAGTATTCTCCAAATTTCAAGAATTCAAGGTTACCGTGGAAGGGGAGCTGGGTCGGAGAATCAAGACCTTAAGGACAGATAATGGAGGGGAGTTCATGTCCAAGGAGTTTCTCTCTTTTTGTCAAAAGCATGGAATAAAGAGAGAGTTTACTTGTCCGTATACACCTCAACAAAATGGAGTAGCGGAAAGGAAGATTCGACATCTAACTGAGACGTGCAGAAGCTGGCTATATGGGAAGGATCTGCCTAAAGCTTTGTGGGCGGAAGGCATGAGATGCGCAGTGTACGTCATAAATCGGATGCCACTCAGCCCAAATAACATGAAGTCTCCGTATGAGATGATTCATGGGAAGAAGCCGTCAGTGAAACATCTCAGGATATTTGGATCAGTCTGCTACGTCCATGTGTTTGATTCTCAAAGAACCAAGTTGGAGGCAAAGGCGAAGAAGTGCATCTTCGTTGGCTATGACGAACAAAGAAAAGGGTGGAGGTGTATGGATCCAGAGACACACAGGTACGTAGTGTCTCGAGATGTTGTTTTTGATGAAGTTTCCTCATTCTATGGGCCACCTCAAGTTTTAGTTGAGCAAGAAGGTGGGAGTTCCTCCAAGAGTGATAAACCAGCTCTGAGTAAGGAAAAAGGTCCTGAAGAAGAGATGCAAGGTGAAAGGGGGAGCACTGATCAAGAGGAGGATGAGGAGGAACATCATGGTTCCACGGCTAGTCAAAGGCCTAAAAAGGACATCATTAAACCTGCTCGGTTCAGAGATCCAAAGTTTGTTACTACCTTCTCGTGCTACTTTGCAGCTCCATTAGATGAAGATGAGCCAACATCTTATGATGAAGCAAAAGGTGTTGACGAGTGGGAAAACGCAATGAAGGAGGAGATGAATGCTCTCATGAAGAACGAAACTTGGGATTTGGTTCCAAAACCCAAGAATGCCCAACCTGTTTCTTGTAAATGGGTGTACCGGATCAAGCGCAAAACAGATGGAAGCGTTGATAGATTCAAAGCAAGGTTGGTTGCTCGGGGATTCTCTCAAAAGTATGGAGAAGACTATGATGAGACCTTCAGCTCTGTAGCCAAGATGACTACGGTACGTTCTCTCTTATCTTTGGCTGCAAGTTTTGGTTGGAAGTTATGGCAATTAGACGTGAAGAATGCTTTTCTATATGGAGAGCTTGACAAGGAAATCCTGATGGAGCAGCCACTTGGTTTTATATCACGAGAGCATCCTGATTATGTGTGTAAGCTGAAGAAGGCCTTGTATGGGTTAAAACAAGCTCCACGAGCCTGGTATGGAAAGCTTGCTCAGTTTCTTCAGTTCTGCGGTTATGTGGCATCAAACTCTGATCCGAGTCTATTCTTCAAGAAGAATGGAGGAGTCCACGTGGTAGTTCTCCTTTACGTGGATGATATGATAATTACCGGGAATGATGATGCAGAAATTACTCGTTTACAAGAGGATATGTCGATAAGGTTTGAGATGAAGAAGTTGGGAGAGCTCAACAACTTTCTCGGTTTGGAGGTGGAAAGGGTAAAGGGTGGAATATTCATCGGCCAACAAAGCTATGCAAGAAGAATCGTTGAGAAGTTTGGAGTACACGAAGGAAAGACACGCTCTACTCCAATGGATGTCAACATAAAGCTTAAACGCGATGAAGGGTCCTTACTACCTGATCCTCGGCCTTATCGCTCTCTTGTAGGAAGTCTTTTATACTTAACCATTACAAGACCTGACATTGCCTTCGCGGTAGGTCTTGTAAGTCGGTTTATGCAGGCACCAAGGAAGCCACATCTAGAAGCGGCAAAGAAGATATTGAAGTATGTGAAGACAACTCTTGGCATGGGTCTGGTGTACAAGTATAATGCCAAGGTCTCTCTTTATGGCTTCACGGATGCTGACTTTGGTGGAGATCTTGATGATCGGAAATCAACTTCAGGCTATGTTTTCCTATGTGGGAACACAAGTGTCTCATGGTGCAGTAAGAAGCAAGCAACGGTGTCGTTATCTACAACTGAAGCAGAGTATAAAGCGTCAACTCTAGCAGCTCAAGAGTGTATTTGGCTTCAGAGACTCCTTGAAGATCTGTTCGAGCCAATCAATAAGCCAATTGCAATTTATGGAGATAATCAAAGTGCGATCAAGCTGGCCAATAATCCGGTGTTCCATGGGAGGACTAAACACATTGAGTTAGAGCATCACTTCATAAAAGAGAAGGTGCTTGATGGGACAATTGAAGCTTTGGAAGTTCGAAGCGAGGACAACGTTGCGGATATCTTCACCAAGTCATTACCAAAAGGTCAGTTCGAGTTACTTCGCTCGAAGCTCGGGATGACTGACAAAATCAAGTTTAAAGGGGAGTATTGAAGTTAAACTTGATTTTGGGTTAAGCTTAATTTTGGGTTTATAAAATAATTATTAGTTATTAGATTAGGCCCAAAATTAAGCTCAAGTTCTAGAATCTCTAGAAACATCACTAAAAATCATCATCTTTCTTAAATGTTCTAGAGAATTCTATTAGTTAAATATCTAGATAATTCTATAGATAATTCTAGATGTTGTAGTTAAAATTCTAGATATTATTGTAGAAAATTCTAGAGTTTAGGAGAATGTTTGTAAGATATTTTGTAATAAGTGGAGCCTATAAATAGCCCACTACTCCATCATTTGTAAACAAGAGAAGTTGAACAAATAAAGAAAGAGTGTTCTTCATAAGTTCTCTTATTCTCTCTAAAGTTCCTTCAAATTTTCTCTAAGTATTCTTTCATCTTATTATTCATACTTAGAGGGTCTTTGTTTCTTTCGGATCTCTCGGGTATTACGGTATTGGGCTAGTGCTTGGCACTATCGGTGTTTTCTTTACACTGCTAAGTACGATATGGTAAGAAGTATTTTTCGCATATTCTGCATTATATCGCGAATGATGATAATTACAGGTTTTTTTTCAGATTTATAAGTATTTAGCATGAATATCAGAATATGCATAACTAACTGAACCTAATAATTTTCTTATTAACTAAGAAAATCGATGTAGATTAGCTAAAATTGAAGAAGAAAATATTATGAACAGTTCTGCAGAGGTATAATGAAAATCACATGCACCACCGTATATACATAAAGAAAGTCAAAAATTAAGTGGTCGTGATTTGAGAATTGAGATTACAAAAATATTTTTTTTTAATCAAAATATAAAATTGAGAAAAAAAATATATACACAGATTTACCTATAATTTGCAGCTCACGCACTATAAATATCGAATTGAAATCAGATGATACAGTAATGGTATACTTATAAGAAAATAGTTATAAAATTTGATCGGGTAAAGCAATTAGGTACTTAAATTTTGGTGCAATGTGGGAGAAATAGCATACAAAATATTGATATTAACAAAGATACACATTTTCCAATTGTGGAATTTATACAGACCATAGGTTACATACCACACCCACTGATTCGTCGTCATCCATCATTTTTTTATGTTCCATTAACTAATTTAATAATTCATGTTTAGACCGACTTTCTTCAATATGCTAATTACTGTATCTTTCATTTTCGCCTTCATCAATTTAAATAAAATTTGTGGATTTTTTTTTGTTTTTTGGATAAATATTTGTGGAGATTATATGCTTCATATGATCTGCGAGAGATGTAACTAATAGTCGTTTGAAGCTGGGTTTTCATTTGAGTTATAGATAAAACTTAAATTATTATTAAGCAAGTATGTTTGAATATGAGAAAAAGTGGCAATATAGCAAGAGACAAACACAAAACACGCACATCTGTGAATTGCATTTTACGTTATGTTTCTTCTCCATATTCGATGTTTTTTGTGGCCATTCCCAACGTAAATTCTTTTGCCTCTTCACTTTCATACTTCGTGTACTTATAGAGAAATGAACTGAGATCACGAATAAAGAAATATTCCCGAAAAATAATATTATTTTATATTCAATGAATGGAAGCTAACTACAGTATACACATTTACAAATTTTGTTGTCTAATATGGTTCATATTCCTGGTATTTGCTTCGAAGAAGCGTGAAATTAGAGGATGTAAGAGATGCTTTCACGGATTTTAGTCTGCTACATAAACTTCGTTTGATTGCAACCTAAACATTTTGGTTCCAAAATATCGTAATAGAAATAATTGGTTTTGATGCATTTGTATATTACTATGATGAGATTTCTAGCGATTTGATAGGTTAATGTGTTTTCCCGCGCATTTACGCACTACGTACATTTCCCTTTTTCTTAGGTAAATTTACACTTTCCGAGAATAAAAACGGATGTTCTTGAATGATACATCCTATTGACTTAGCTAGCTAGTATATATCTGGTCGAAAAGATGTTTCTTCTTTTAGTTTTTTATGAACGGTACCTTAATTTGTTGATGTTCTGAGTTTGACCAAATATGTTTTAAATATATAGTGTTATAATTTTATCTCAAAATACAACATATATAGTAATATCATACTTGGTAGAATATGAAACTGTATTCACTTAATATATTTTTTTTCATCTACCTAGAAGAGTCTAATATAGTGATGGCTCATGGCTGTAAAGTGTGAACTTGGATCCTGGTGATGTTAGTCACAGCTTCCTACAATTTTTTGGGAATTAACGCATGTCCCAACGTCGATGGCAGGTTCCCAATAGAGACACATGGCTTATGGTAAAAGAAAAATAGATTATACTTGACATTCTCTTGGGTTTTCTTCCTTAGATCTCCTATATAAACACTACTTAATTAACCTTTTCCATTCTTCATCATCCTTGCATAATTTGATTCTCAAAACTCATTTCCAGAACATTTTCGTAGCTAAGAGATGACCATCACTTCAAGCTTTCTGTGTTTGTTGATCCTTCTTTTGTTTTGCCTATCCTGTGGATATTCCATTCATGGTTTATCTCTCTTTTACTAACCTTTCCTCTATTGTTAACTAATCAATTTTTAACTATTCTTTTCTTTATTCTTAACTAATCAATTGTTTGAAATTATTAGCAAACAATTTATGAACTATACGTAATAACTTGCATTATAAGAATGACAACCAAATTTTCTACAAACTATTTCTTATTTTCTCCATTTTGCATGAAATATAATGCATGCATGATTTATAATATACTCCTAATAGACGTCATATTTATTAGAACGCAGCTAATATATGTCATATTTATTTCATCAGGAGATAAGAACGAAAAGTCAAGTGTTGATGTCGTTTCAAATGCAAAGGTACGTCACAAATGTTTATGTTTTCTTGAGTTGATGTAGTTCTCATCTGTTGAAAATTAATTTCAACAAGACGCATAACTGCGATATTCACATAACGTTTACATTTCTGAATTCTGACCTAATTTTTTCCTCAACTCATGAACGTTGATGATGAAGCAGGTTGATGATGATGTTGCAATGAAGAAGCAGCATGTACGAGGAAGAAGTGGAGAAGAGTTTAGTAAGGAAACGACAAAGATGATGATGAACCCGAAGAAGCCAACAGAGAAAGAGACAAGTGGTGAGGAAGAGGATGATCTCGTTGCCTACACTGCTGATTACTGGAAACCAAGGCACCATCCTCCCAAGAACAACTGACCAAAAATTTACCATATTTATATAATGACTCAACAAAATGCTTCTTATTGAATATTAATCGATATCAAATATAGTATATTCAAAATACAATATATATATATATATATATGGGTAGCCTGTGAGCTTTGTGTTTGTAACATCGTTATATATTTATATATATGGAAATGTCGTATGTATAACCAGGTGTGTCGAATTTCACGATATACATAAACACGCACTTGTAACAAAGAAATGATCGAATATTTGTGGAAATGTTCGTGATTTATTAATAAATTTTGGTGTAATACTTTTTTTTCTATTCATTGTATAATAGACTTTTTACATCCGAAAATAGTCTTCGAACTCGTTAAACATATTGAACAAATTACAAATTTGATGGGCATTGGTATAAAAAAAATATAGTTTCAAACATTGACAATATGTTTACAAACTTTAAAGATGTCTCACACTCAAGAATCTTGGCAATGTAGTCGAAAACATGATGTAAAATCCCCTGTATTAGTTTGCAGTTGAAACTCTCGAGTCCATCACAGAAAGCTGAAGTTCTTAGAATAGGACTAATAACACATGAAGCTTGATTAGTTAAATATATATAGACAGTGTAAGCCTTTAGTCCACTTGAACACTTCCATAAACACTCTAATTTACAATTCCATATACACTAAACCGATGAGTTTACATTCAGAAGAACCTGAACAAGACTATATACAGCTTTGGACTCGAGCAGCGAAACGACCAAGGACACTTTGTGTTTGGTTGAGGAAGCTGAAGAGCTGCTTTGTCCGGTACTTGATCAAAAGTCGAAGACATAAAGTGTCTTGTTCCTATCAAACCACAAAGCTACACAGTTCATATGAAAGTATCTCAAAAAAATACTATACATGATGGTCAAGAAACATCACTTACTGCGATCCTTCAAAAAAGCTAATGTGATACAATTGGTGCCCACGATGGTACGTACCATCCAGTAGCTAAGAATAATCTGTTAAATTGGATCACGAAGAAAAGAAATTAACGCATCAGTTTACTAACTTAGCAACTTGTTTGATCTATTATTAACACTAATAAAAGTTACCTCATGTGGCAGTTTCTCTACTGGAAGTGTGCCTTCTCCAGCTAGCAGATAAGATGGGACAACAGACCATTCCGCTGATTACTACTAATCAGCAACAAACCAGATTTGATTGTCCAGGCAAACACATCTGATGACCTGATCATCACTCTGCAGATGTCTAAGTCAGGCGAAACACCCCGTGATAACATTAGACGAAAGAAGAATTTAGCCTCGTTTGTCAATTTTCTCCTACACAGACGATTGATCACCGCACTGTAGTCCCTGATACAGACATCGAATCCTCTGTCTAGCAGCTGAAGAAAGAGCTTCGCTGCAGTTTCAGGGTCACCTTTTACACAATGTGCCTTGATCAGTGTGGTATACGCAAACTTCGATAAACTAACATCCCGCTCCTGAAGCGAATTAAGAAAACTATCAGCTTTCTCTATGCAGCCGTGGAAGCAAAGGCCGTCGATTAGGATATTATAAGTTGCAGGGGTAGGAGATTTCATTACTTCAAACATCTCAAATGCTCTGGAGAAATCTTTGACCCTGCATAGAGACTGAATGATTGTATTGTCAGTGACCTGATCCGGAGTTATACCTTTAGAGATCATGTCCCTGAGTACCTGCTTGTATTTCGTGAGCTTCTTGCCTATGCAAAGCCCTTTGATGATCACCGAGTATGTGAAATTGGTCGGTGTGATTCCTTTTGCTTTCATTTCCAGGCGCAGTTCATCTACGCTTTCAGTGTCTCCACGGTTAGCATATGCGTTCATCAGAGTTGTGTAACTCACGACGCTTGGAACCAATCCATATAACTTGATGGCATCCAAGATTTTTCGAGCCTCGGCTATATTCAGGGTCTTGCAATACCCGTAGATCAAAGAATTGAAAGTCGCAACATTAGGAGTTATCCCACTCTTAATCACTACCCTGAATAGCTCTAACGCCTCCTCAATGCAACCAGACTTTGCATACCCGTCGATTACGATATTGTACAGAATAATATCTAGTCTGTAGCCAGCTGATATCAGAGAATCGAGATGCGCTCTTGCCTCAAGAAGCATCCCTTTCTGACATAAACCAAGCAACATAGCACCAACTGTCCTTGAGTTTGGAAGAATTCTTTTGGAACACATCTCGTCGTAAAGCCAAACAGCGATTTCAAATTCTCCTAATCTGCAGAGACCATGGATCACAATAGAATATGCCACGAGATCAGGACTGAGACCATTGGCTTTCATATCACGGAATAACGACAAAGCTTCCTCGATCCGTCCTGTTTTACATAAACCAGTGAGCATTACACTGCAGGGGATGACGCTCTTTAGCTCAATTCCCTCCGACAACATATCGTTCAGCAATCTCAACCCCTCGTCAATGTTTCCTAACTGACATTGCCCACATAATGATATCGTGTATGTGATAACATCAGGACTCAAACCTTTATCCAGCATCTGTTTAATAACCTCGGAAGCCAAACTGATCTTACCAAGAAGATGATAACCTTTCGCAAGAATATTGTATGTCACAGTATCAGGCTCCACTCCATGCTTGTTCATGCAACCCACCAATCCAGAAGCTTCCTCTATAGCGCCAGCTAGACAGAGCCCGTTGATGAGTATATTGTGAGTATATACACTAGGAACCAACCCACATTTCAAAACTGTACAGAAAAAAGACTTGGCCATATCTACAAAACCCAATTTACAGTAAGTCGACATTATACTATTGAAAGAAACTACAGAGGGGCCAATATCTTTCCACTCTGAAGCTCGGAGGAAAAAAACTGCGTCTTCTAGCTTTTGTTGCCTACACAGTCCATCAACAACTGTTGAGTATGTGTGCTCGTTCTTCCCATCGATTCTGTTGTACACATCCCACATCTTATCTGTATCTCTGAAGTTATACAAAATACTGTTGTATGCTTGTGTCGACACATTCAAGCTCAGATCCTTCATCTTTCCCAGGATATAGAGGGAATCATCAACCATTTTTAGTCTCGATGAAAGAAACAGCAACATATCCCAAACTACGTTCGTAGAATCCCAGTTTCTGAAGCTTTTAGAGAGAACCTCGCAGATCAAATATGCTGAACCAGAGCCTATGAAAATGCAATAAATCAATTTTTTCAACAATGTTCCAACAAAAGAGAGAAGATTTCTATATAAAAAAAAAACTCTAATGTTCCTACTTCAGCCAAAGCTCTAAGCTTTCAGTAAAATAGAATCACATAACGATTGTCTATATATATACTTTCCACTGAGAATGAAGAAAAGACAAAAGGAGTGGACTTGCCTTCTTCTTGGAGCAGCTGTTCCATAATCGCTTGAAGCTCTTTGAAACGTCTTTGACCGGCTAAAATATGAGAAACCAACAATGTGGAAAACCTCGAATGGCGAAACCCATAAATATCTCTCAGCTCTTTGAAAAACCAAACCGAAAGATCTGGGCTTTCATCCATCAATTCACTCATGATTTCTTCGACATGAGTTTGCTTCAAACCCGAAACCAAGCCTCGAAAGAGATGCCCGTGGAGATACTCCCGGAACCCAGTCTTCTTCATCCCAGAGAGAACCTCCTGATATAAGCAATCTTTGTGGTCGGAGGTGATATTGGTAGTGGAGAGTAGCTCATCGTCGAGTTTGGCGACGGAGAAGGAGGATTTAGTGGATAAGAGGGACGGGAAAGGAGAGAGAATACGGGACACTTTGCTCGAATTGAATGCAATAAATCTACAGATCATGGAATTTGAGAATCAGGGATTGCCAATTGGACAATTCCGGGAGATTCCCTTTTCGTTCCCAGAGAAAAATTATGCGAATTTGAAAGATGGGTCGAAAATTGAGGTCGTCGGAGAGATTAATTTGGTTTTCCCGGCAACTTTGAAGGGAAGACGGAGAGGAGAAGGGTTTTACGACTTGTTGGGTTTATGAATTAAATCAAATACCGGTTTTTAACAAACCGAGTCAATTATCCGTTACGGTTCTATATTTTCCTGCTGCTTTAAAAACTTGGCCTGGTCTAATCAATGATCACATGTACTACTCTGTATATATATACACTGAATAATTAATTTTAGCCAAATGTACGTATACACATCAGGTTACCATTTGTTTACATGCATAACATTCATTTACCTAATTTAGACAAATTAAATATACGTATAGAAAGATGAGAGTTCTTTGTCTGAAATAGGCGAAACGTTGATTTCTCTTAAAAAACAACATGCAGCAGCAAAGAGTAGAAGCTAAGAATAATCTGTTTTACAATTATTTAATTCAATGTATCAATCTCGAATGAGAAGTAGACTAGTGTGGTTTTTAATCTGATGACATATTTATTCTGAGATTAGTTTCTCATCACAAATACACGACAAAACTTATATTGAATATTCATTCATGCAACAATACTCAACTTAATTTATACATATATCTATCAATTAGTATTTCAAATCAAGTACAGAAGAAAGTGAACTCCAACAAATTAAATATTAAAAGTGGATGTAATTAAAAAGGTAAATAAGATGGATCACTTCACCAATTTAGTTACCTGTCACCTTTCTTGATATATGCATTAGATCTAAAACAACTTAAATAAATGCAAAATCGTGGTACGTCGCTTTCAACTTATATAAACTTCATTATAATAAAAAAAAAAATGATAATGAAATTTGCCGTTTCTTAAAATCTACATACCAATGAAGAAAACATTTAAATATATATGGTAAAATTTCACAAACATGAGATCCACATTTCACCAACTTAGGTGTAGTTACTTGATTACTTCTATCTAGCTCTTGTTAACAACATCAACTTAATAAAAACCTCCATTCTATGGTGCATTGCTCTCCTATAAGTACTTGTGAGTTGTGACTATTCTTTGTTTTGAATTACGCTAGAATCAAAGATGTACAAGGCAAGCCCTAAAAGAAGAGTAATTTTGGAGAAGAGCAAGAGTGTAAGAGAGAAGGAGACTAAGCAAAACTCAAATTTCTTTGCGAAACACTTAAAGAGGATCTACCCAATTGCGCTTCAACGGAGTACTTCTTCTTCTTTCTCACTCTCTTCTATATCTCTATCACTCTCTCAAAACTCGACCGATTCTTGTGCCACGGATTCAACTTCCACGGTAGAACAAAGGATCTCGCTAGCACTCGGTTTAATCTCATCCCCTCGTAGAAGAGAAACATATGTTCCAAAAAGTATCCCGCAGAAACAAGAACAACAGCTATATCAGGATTTCAATAGTGATGAACCAAAGAGGTGTAACTGGATCACCAAGAAAAGTGGTAAGATCACTAGGAGATGACCTAAATTAAACTTATAGCAATATAGTATCTATACATGTTAACTAGAGAATCATTATATGTGATTAAACCAAATCAAAATCCATTATGATTAATATAAGTTGAAATTAGAGTAAATTAAAATTTGCTTTTGTAATTTTCTTGTAGATGAAGTCTACATAACGTTTCATGATCAGCAATGGGGAGTCCCTGTCTATGATGATAAGTATGATTATAGCTTCCACAATTTTGTTAGCTTGGTTTCATATATATACAAATAGATGTTGATTCTTGTTATACTATGCTTATATATGACTTAGTTTTGGAAAAACAAAATTCATTTTGCATGGTGATTAATAATTGAAACAGCCTGCTTTTTGAGTTCCTTGCCATGTCGGGGATGTTAATGGACTATAACTGGACCGAGATCCTAAAACGCAAAGAGCTCTTTAGGTAAAATCTCTCACAAATAGTCATAATGTGTTATATAGTAGATGTATATAAAATCATAATTCATAATCGTTTTTGACAATTTGCGAAACTAGAGAGGCGTTTTGTGAGTTTGACCCAAATCTGGTGGCTAAAATGGGAGAGAAAGAGATCACAGAGATCGCATCAAACAAAGCAATAATGCTACAAGAGAGCAGAGTCAGGTGTATAGTTGATAATGCGAAATGCATAATTAAGGCAGGTTTCGACCGTTTCCTAAATTTTCAAAATACCCTTATAATTTGCTCTATTGTATACTCAGAGAAAATCATATTTTACAGGTGGTCAAGGAATTTGGATCATTCAGCAGCTTCATGTGGGGGTTTATGGATTACAAACCGATCATTAACAAATTCAAGTATTCAAGAAATGTACCACTGAGATCTCCCAAGGCTGAGATAATAAGCAAAGATATGATCAAACGGGGCTTTCGGTTCGTCGGTCCAGTGATCGTACATTCGTTCATGCAGGCTGCGGGATTAACAATTGATCATCTCGTTGACTGTTATAGACATGGTGATTGTGTGAGCCTCGCTGAGAGGCCATGGAGGCATATATGATATTCGGAGAAAATACATCTAATCAAGTGTCGGTTTAAACGTATATTCGAGGTTTTAAAGTTTTGAGATTTTCGGTTTATATAATATTTCTGGAACCGAACTTCTTGATATTTCAATATAAATATTGGTTTTTGGCTTAAGAAATGCAAAGATTGATTTGAGATCAAACTTTGTTTGGATTCAGTTTAATATGTCTTTGGTTTTGTTTTGAATTGACCTTTATAACAAACATATATATATGACTTTTAAAATAATATACATGAACTAGATTTTCTCTAAATTTAATTATGTTTTTAACCGATCTTTTCAACTTCAATTCGATTTGTTTTATAGTCCGAAATGTAAAAAATAAAATGAATGTTGACTTGAGCTTGAAGATAGCTTGAATCATAAGTTATCATAATCCTACAGAATTATGATTATCAAAACGATTAGGATAATAACTATATTTAGAAGTTATGTAAATTTTTCTTTTGTTATTATGAATTAACATATACTTCTCTTCTCTATATAAGAAGATGTCAAAATGTGGTATAACTTACGAGTTTAGAGAGATTCAGAAAGCTTTAGTTTTGAATCAGTTTTCTAAAGCAATAAAGTGTGTTTGATTTTTGATCTAAAATGTTTATTTCAATATTTGGTATCATAGTGTTTATTGATTTAAACACTCTTTTAATCTAATGCAATTAATTGAGTCAAGCTACTCTTAGACGCCTTGTTCAATATTTGTTCAAAATTTGTTAAAAAACTAGTCTTATAAGCAACACAATCAACACTATATTTGCTTGGACAATCATGTGTGAGGCCAAAGAAGATAAAGGTAAAAGAATGGTGAAGATTGAATGCTAAACATTATATTTGTTTATTTGCTGGTGATATTATCAGAAGGAATGTCAACTAAATTTGGGATGAGCGATCTTGGAAAATTGGCTGGTATCATGCTAAGCAAGAAAGATATGTAACTAAAATGAAAATTAGTAATGACACTTATGATAAGTAATGAATAATCATATTTTTAAAAACATCCCTTTGCATATTCATCACTATTTGATTAGCTTTGTGTTGTTTTATTAAAAACCTATTCATAGAAAAAATCGACAAAAATGAAATAAAAATCATAAAAAAATAAGAGTATAGCAAAGAAACTTTTCCTAATTTTCTCTACGCTGATTTAAAAAATGTTACGCTGATTTAAAAAATGTTGCATTTCAATACTATAAACATATTTTTAAAAATATTGTAGTTTGCAACGCCTTTGTGAAAAAATCTTGCCAAACATGAGACTGTGATTTCTAGTGACCACGACTCATATAGGCATTGATTTTTTTCCAACAGGCGTGTGTGTTCTTTTGCCTCTTCATTCTTGAAAACATCATATACCTTGGATATGTAAACAAAAGTATTTTAATGATAAAATGTTATATTTTAACATAATTTAAAATATATAATTAAATTTAAATATTAAAAAAAGATATAACTAATTAGAACAATACACATATGGTAAATGGTATCTCAAATGTTTAGAACCCTTTCTTAAATGAGAATTTTTCAAACTCTCCTACCTTCTCTTTTCTTCTTTTTTCCTACTTTTTTGAATGTTAATACATTTTTGCTAGATACTCCAAAGGAGATAGATGCTCTTAGAGCCTCAGCGCTAAGCTTTGCCTCTTTCTTCATCCAATATTTCCCTCTCGGCTTTGTTTCTCTGAAATAAACCTCTCTTGTCTCACACCCTGAGATTTTCTAGCACGTTTGGTTTTGTCCCGTGCCTGCATACATACAAAATTGATTTTACTCAAACCTGACAGGAGAACATGGCAAGTGATACTTAAGTTTGCCTCTATACCTGGCGGCTGAGCTTGTAGTGTCCAAGTAAGTCAATGTAATACGGAATTAGCTCTAGCCACCGAACCAGATCATTCATATTATCAGGTAGGACAAACTTGAAAAGCAGCATCTTCCTATGTTTAAAAGGAAGTTGGTCCGAAAAATGCATTGAGATGAAATACTTGCCCAGATTTTTGAAAGACTCGTCACCAAAAACCTACAGAGCACAAATTTAAACAATAAAGTTAGATCCATTTTCCAAATCTACAGAACAGGACATAGATAGCCCACGAGAATCATGCACCAAAGGCAACTGTGTGACTATTGACATATGTAGTATTGGGAGTATATTCTGCAGACAGCATTGGTCATATGATCAAACATCAGAGATAAAACACAGTATCAAATGCCCTGTTGGAACTTTTGAAAGGAAAAATATTAAGAAATTCTACACGAAAATAAGAAGCGGGTATGTTGTACGGTTCTTAGCAAAGGGACCTATAGTTCCAAGCTAAATGCGCATCTTTTCTTAATCAATCATCAAACAACCAAAGAGATTTAGCGTCTGACCTTATCAAGTACAGCATCTGTGATCATATCCGCAGCAACCTCCTCTGACTCAGCGATGACAGATAATTCCTCCGATACCCACTTCCTCCCGCCGCCGGGAATGGGAACCACCCCCCCCCCGAATCTCTGCAGATCCCTAAGCTCCTTGTGCATCGTTTTCGCCGCCTCGTTCCTCGCCACAACAAACAGCATGTGATCCATGGCTTTGTCGTTCATGTATACCTCGAACCTAATCTCATTTTTACAAGGCCTTACCCAGTTGAATAGCCTTGAGAACAGGTCGTGTCTGCTCTTAAGCTCTATGGTCACCAACAGCCCATGGCAATACTTACTCCGCCCGCTCGCGTAGAACTTGAACACGTTCGTCGCTTCTTTCCGCAGCAACTGATGTTTCTCTGTTCCATTAATTGGCAGCAAATTGAAGTGTTTATCGAGAACCGAGTGTCCTCGAAAACTGAATAGCGTGGCCCAAGCCCTAGCGCGGTCTTCGTTCTCACGCTTTCCAGTGAAGTAGCTGTTTGCGTACGCAATCGAGACGCAGACGCTCACCACCACCGTGAGAATCGCCACCACCACCACCGTCTTCGGAGTAGCAGGCGTCTGTGGATCGGCAATAACAGGAGATTCCAGCATGCGTCGATCCTCCGAGGGTTTCTGAGTCGGAGAAGGGTCCGATTTCGATGTCGGAGTAGAATTGGGTTCGCGAGATGGCTCCAGATCTAGAACCGTTGACTCAGACTGAGTCACGAGAGGAGAGTGGTGAAGCTCAGTGGTGTTTTCCAAAACATCGCCGGAGAGAACACGATAATGGAGGCAGAGGAAAGCGATCAGAGCGATGTTGAAGAGAGAAAGGGGACGATTCATTGTGGGATCCGTAGAGAACTCAGCTCTGTGAAGATCAAAATATATAAATTGTTTTCTTGTGGTCCACTCTCTCTCTCTCTAACCTAATTTTGCCCCTTTTAAAACTACATTTTATTATTTTATGTCCTTTTTCCCTAGTCATTTATCTTCGACACAATAATATATCTGTAGGGCTTAATTAAAAGAAAGTGCGACGGAGATTGATTCGACGATTTCTCTCAGTCCGTGCTCAGGATAACTTTGATCGGACTCCTCACCCTCCGTTTGTCTCTCAGATCTCCGATTTTGGAGTTGAAATCACAGATGTCGTGTTTGGGGAGAAACAAGGCTCTGAAGGAGCAGGAGCAGCAAGCCTACACTGGAGGTGGTGTTGATGATCTAGGAAATAAATCGGGTTCCTTCCGTTCGCTCCGTCATCTTATCTACGGAGGAGGAGAGCCGTCTGCGTATATAACCTCTCTTGAAGGTGGAGGTGGTGGTGGTGTACAGTCGTCTCTTGATATCGTGTACGATAACTCTTACTAGTTGTTTTTTCTTCTTCTTAAAAGGAGTTTTGTGTCTACTCTAGTTGGTACTCGTTGTGTGTACCTGAATAATTTGTTCATCTCCAGCCCTAGAACAGCAATAGTAATAATTTGTTCATCTGTCTTTGTTCCAGCCCTAGAACAGCAATAGTAACAGAAAGAGAGGAGACCGATTTCGAGACAGCAAGAGAGGAGGTACCAGCTTTTCCCCAAGGGACCGATTTTTCACATCTCAAAGCTGCCATCCGGGAAGAACTGGTAAGTGCATGCGATGTTTTTGATCGAAATCCGATAAACCACAAATCAAACATTCGTTTGTGAACAGAGGATGGCATATTCCTTGCGTCCGGGTAATCTGCTACTCGCATTACACGATTGCTTCGAGAGGGTTCTTTCCGGAGTATCATTTCAGTGGGGTGACATATTCAAGGAGCCTCTTTCCTCCAAGCTGTTTGATGTGAGCCATTTCATATTGTTGAGACTTTCTTCTACTTAGGCTGATCGATTTTATCTTTTTGTTTTATATAAACAGGTGCCTCATTTTCCTCCAACTTTCGCCCAAAGTTTGTTGTCTGTAGAATTTCCACATAGCTTTGTCGTTGATTTCGTGTTGCGGTCGTATACTCACATTGTAGATTCCGCGTTTAACCGTCCTACCAAGCGGCCCGACCAAGCTTATCACAAGTCTCAGGTAAGTTCGGGAAACCCCTCATCGGTGTCTGTCTTTGTGTTTGACCTAACTCCATTATGTTTTACGATTAGGTGTCTACGTTTTTTGCATTAGCAACGATACTGCGTTACGCACCTGAAGCTTTTGCTGTCCACTTGTCGTCTCTGAGAAAGCTACAGCTTTGGTATGAAAAACAGGGCGTACAGACTCTTCCGCTTACAGTTTGGATGATAGCTCAGGTGAATCAATGTGATCCCTTATTGAACTTGTAGTGTCGTATTCTGAAAGTTATCCAACTGTAAAACGTGGACAGGCCTCCCGACTTTGTTCAAATCTAGGCTTGTTTTCATGGACGCGCAACTTGCTTCCACTGCTCGGTGATTGCGACTCTCACTCAACGGAGCTCATCCTGCGCTTGGTTGAGAAGTAATAACCCCCAAAGTTTTCTTGTCATTTATTCTTCCTAAGCAAGTAATTTTATCCTGTTGATGCAATTTTTCTTATCAGTATTTTGGACGACCCAATGCCTGATATGAAGCCTTTAGTATATATACCTGCTTGGCACTTCCAGCCACTGATTCCAGCTGATTCAATGGAGATGTTGCTGCGGCTTAGATTCCCTGCAAGCCAAGAGGTATTGGAATTTTACAAAACAGAAACCTTAGATGGGTTTGGTCGGATTCTGATCACAACCGTATATGCGCACAGGCTACAACGAGGGTTGCGAGTATTTATACGAAGTTGAAGGACGTGGCTCTTGTGTGTGAGGGTGCACAACAAAGTGAGGATGCCCTTAAAGAGATGTTCGCTGTTTGTTTGAGATTATCTGGAGAAGAAGGTATAATGCGTTACAAACAACAATCTTGAACAAAGTAAGAGTTTTAAACCTGTTACACTACTTGTTGCAGGAAATCCTGATTTAGCCAAGGAAGCGGAATCAATCGCAATCTGGTGTCTGAAAAAAAATTTGGTCGCTGGGACTGGGTCCAAGAGTATCCGGTAGAAAAGTTTGTTTGCTGGGAGCACTGGTACGACATCTCTCATGACAATGTACAAGCTACAGTTGCTCTTCTCAAAACGCTTGTAGAGGAATGGAAGGATCATGAGATCCGCCCATTCATTGGACATATGTTCACTTTATCTTTGAGAATAGCTGGAGAAGAAGGTATTGACTAGTACCGAACGAAACCTCTTGATGGGTTTGATCGTCTTGTCTTGTCCGAATAGAGTTTGTAATATGTTACCGTTATTGCAGGGAACCCTGTTTTATTATCCAAGGAAGCTACTGCAGTCGCTATCTGGTCTCTGAACAAATTCTCTGTTTGCTGGAAGCTCTGGGACAGACTTTGTGAAGAGGACCTAGAAGGTAGTGTTGGTCTGTTAAAATTGATTGTAGAGAAATGGAAGGATAACTCCCTCAGACTATCATCAGCAAGCAACAAGGCAAACAAACAATTCATTCGACAGATCTTCGCTTTTTCGTTGAGATTAGCTGGAAAAAGGTATTATTACTAGTAACAAACAAACAAAACCTAACCTTGAATCGATCGATGTTTGAGTAGTAATCTGTTACCGTTGTTGCAGGAGATCCTGATGTTGCCAAGGAAGCTGCAGCAATCAGTATCTGGTCTCTGACCGAGAACGTTGTTGTTTGCTGGAATCACTGGGACAATATCTATGACGAGAACATAGAAGCTAGTGCTGCTCTTCTTAAAATGCTTGTAGAGAAATGGAAGGATCATTCCGTCAAGCTGTTGTCATCACCCAGTGATATTCCCACTCTGAGTAAAACTATCAAGAGCTTCAGGCTAAAGGTAAATGATGATGCCTCCTCCTCCTACTCTTGTAATCACTTGTGATTTCATATCTGACCTAAACCCGTGATGTGATGTTTTTTTTAGAACGAACAAGCCATCCCTGAAAGAGCAGCCTATGCTTCTTTTCACAAAGTATCTAACGATGGTTCTTTTCACAAAGTAGCTGACAAGTCCTGCAAAGTGATATTGTGGAGACTCTCCCGTGGAAGTAGCGGCCTCAAAGGCACACGCATTATTACTGCTGCTGTTACTGCATGCATTATTACTGCTGCTGTTACTGTTAGGAGTTCGAGTGTTTGGTTTTTATGAATAGATCGCGTAGGGTTTCGTTTTTATAGTCACAAAGTTTGGATGTCGTAAGTCTGCTTAATTTGTGTGGAGATAATTAATTTCTTCCTGTTTCTTTCTCATAATAATAACAAACGAAAAAAAAAAAAAACTTAACTAAATTGTTTTTAACTAAAAAAGAAAGAAAAAAACTTATCATTCAGCAGCTTCATGTGGGGGTTTATGGATTACAAACCGATCATTAACAAATTCAAGTATTCAAGAAATGTACCACTGAGATCTCCCAAGGCTGAGATAATAAGCAAAGATATGATCAAACGGGGCTTTCGGTTCGTCGGTCAGTGACGTACATTCGTTCATGCAGGCTGCAGGATTAACAATTGATCATCTCGTTGATTGTTATAGACATGGTGATTGTGTGAGCCTCGCTGAGAGGCCATGGAGGCATATATGATAGTCGGAGAAAATATATCTAATCGAGTCTCGGTTTAAATGTATATTTGAGGTTTAAAGGTTTTGAAGTTTTCGGTTTATATAATATTTCTGGAACCGAACTTCTTGATATTTCAATATAAGTATTGGTTTTTGGCTTAAGAAATGCAAGGATTGATTTGAGATCAAACTTTGTTTGGATTCAGTTTAATATACATGTCTTTGGTTTTGTTTTGAATTGACCTTTATAACAAACATATATATATATATGTATGACTTTTATAATAGTATACCTGAACTAGTTTTTTTCTAAATTTGATTATGTTTTTAACCGATCTTTTCAACTTCAATTCGGTTTGATTTATAGTCCGAGATGTAAAAAGTAAAACCAATGTTGACTTGAGCTTATCTTGAGCCATAAGTTATCTTAATCCTACCGAATTATGGTTATCAAAAAGATTAGGATAATAACTATACTTTCTTGTTGATCATTTTCATTTTAGGATTAGCCTATGGGAAGTGCTTATGCACCCTTACTTTTGGAGTGACGATCACAAGCTAGCTTTGTTTATGGAGGTCAGGTCGGCTTATCACAAGTGGGATTCGTTAACTATGATGGCTCTAGAGAATATATCAGGTCCAGCTGGAATCAGGGCTGGCAAAGTAGAATTGATCATATGACCAACTCAGCCACTTACCGCAACACCTTAGCAGACTTATGTAGATATATCAGAAACGGACAATCTCATTGGCGACAAGTGCAGTATGAAACCGGTATGCCAACAGGTGGTTTCTTCCAGTATTTTAATAAACTTTTTCATGCTCTACTGAGGTGTATGAATTTGTGAGAGAAAATTACAAACAAGAGGAAGGATTCCAAAAGTTCTTCAATAGACGATAAACATAATTCTTCAGTATTATCACTTTGGGTTTTCAGCTTCGGGTTTTGTTTGTTATTAAAATACTGAGAGGATTTCTAACTTTGTTTTGTCGATTGGTTTTCGTGTTTGTTAATCAAACTGTTTGTTTGCATCAAGTTTGCGAATAGGAATTGAGATATTTATTCACTTAAACTGAGCTTCTTGTCAAAAAGATAAAGTACTCAGTTTGGATCTACTTTTGAATAACAGAGACATCTTGTAAATGAAGAGAATCATCCAGAAAAGCACCAGCCGTGAAAACAATTATGCTAAATGGCTTGTCTATTCTTTTCCTATATGCTTGATTGTGTTGATTATAAGACTAGCTTTTGAACAATTTTTGAACAAATATTGAACAAAGCGTCTAAGATTAGCTTGGTCGTTTTCATGGGTTCAATTAATTGCATTATATTCAAAGAGTTTAAATCAATAAACACTCTGATACCAAATATCGAAATAAACATTTTAGATCAAGAATCACACTTTGTGGCTTTCAAAAACTGACTCAAAACTAAAGTTTTCTAAATCTCTCTAAACTCCCATGACAAGCCATCTAACATAATTGAAGTAACGAATCAAGGTTTGGTTGAGTATGAGAAGACTAGACGGATGTTTCAGTTCCAATACTATTTTGGATTGATATGTACAACGACATGCACCGAATACCGTATTACCCATATTGTTTATATTAACCCATATTGTTTATATTATTTGAATCCTCACGGGAGAAGTTAAAATCTATACCCATCTCTCAAACTTGCAACTGGCCAACTACCATGAAGAGAACATAAAGGATGACAAAAATAACAAATTTTTTAATCTACAGAGAGAATAAAACAAATTTCCAAATTGCATGTTTTTGTAGTCGCCACAAAAAGTAAACTAATCGTAACGTAGCTAACAAGTAATTACTTCAAAACCAACACATTTCGTCTTCTATTATGTGAACCTTCTATAAGGCTTTACTTAATGTGCTCTCAAAACTGGCACGAGGTACCAAGTCTCTGTCTATTCCTCAACGTCATGGTCTTACGTTCTGCAAAAGCCGAGTCAAGCAACTCCTGAAACCTCTCCAAGAACACAACCCACTCTACTTCTTTCATGTCTGCTAACTTCACAAAGCTTGCACTAACCGGGAGCTGCACGTTCGCGCTCTTGTGACTTGACAATGTTTTCTCGGTTTTGTCTCTTGAATGTTTCGAGTAGTTGGATCCCATGCTGTTGCTTAGATTGTTGTTCTTCGTTGCTGTTGAAAGCTTTGAGAAAGATAGAGCAAGTCTTGCCTCTTCGTCGGTTTCTTCTTCTTCCGCGATGCTCTCTTCGAGCTTGCCAGGTGAAGAACGTCCGTTTGAAAATGGGTTTCTGGCGAACGACTCATCGGTTTGTGTCTTCGAGCTATAAACTGATTCTAGGCCATTATAATCTAGATCAAACTGAATCTCTGTCTCCCCTTCTACATCTATCTTGGGAGATAAAACATCCTGTGCAGCCATTAATCTCTGAGCTTCGATACACACCCTTTCTAGTTCACTTGGCTCTTCTTCTCCAGCACGGAACTCCCGAGTCATCATCTCACCAATCTCTGCAAGACAGAGTCCATAAGCAGCCGCTTCTTTCAGGAAAACAGTACACAGAACTAGAACCCTAAGGCAAGCCTCTCGAATCATTGGAAGCTCTCTTCGCAGCATGTCACAGTCATTCACGGGATCAAGACTCTGTATGTAATCAAGCTCTTCTTCAGAGAAAGGTATCGAAGCCTGAGGCCAGTGAATCCATTCGAAGTAAGGATCTTCGAGTGTTTCTGGCAAGCAAAGACCGTGATCTATAGGGATAAGCTCCACTTGACCAAACCTCCCAACACCACCATCATCAAGCTTCTTCACCAAAAGGTTTCCACCATGCCGGTCTGTGTTGAGAATCCTTATGTCCAATATCCCAATGCGATGCACAGAAGCGACTGGGAAGCTTGAAGTCCCGTGATCACTGGCATCAAAATCATGAAGGACAAACTTCTGGAACGAAGCAATCTTGCTGCTGACCAGCTTCTTCTTCTCACGAGACTTGTTCCCGTTCACTCCATCGTTGACATTGAACACAGTGTGAGTTATCTTCACAAGAGCCGTGGGAGGAACGTTAGCAAAGTGATCATAATCAAGAAGGTACGCCGCAACTTCTCTGTATCCGGTTTCCCCTACTCGCACAGAAGGCTTTAAACCAGGCTCCCCAAGCGCTTTCCCTATGAAGCCTTTAGGATTGTTAGGAGCAAACGGTTCTTCATCTGTAGGCTTGACAATAGCAACGCTTTGACCTTTTTCATTCCTAAAATAGTATGCCCCTCCAAGCCCACCGTTGACAGGGATTGGTTCGACACCCATCTTCATCGCCTCAACAATGCCACTCGCCGTTTGCTTCAACGACGAAAAACAATCTGAGTGGCTAAGTATCTCAATAGGACCACTCAGATCTTTCCTCTGCAGATCATTCCCAGTAGGCGAAAGACAAGGAGTAGACGAGCTTCTGTGCATTAAGTTACGCTTTAGCAGAAGCGGAGAATCATTCCTCACAGAACTTAGGTCATCATTCTTCAGCACCAAATCCCCAAAGGTCAAGGAGCTTTCCTCCGTTGGGAAGTTAAAGGCAATCTGAAGCCTTTTTTTCACAGTAGTAACATTGTCATTACGGTCCAACTCCACTCCCAAAACACAGCCAGTTTCGGTTTGCACGAAAACACGCCTTCTTCCCGAACACTGTTGCTGAAGCAGATGATGCTTATACTGTTTCCCTTCCATCTTTCTAGCCCCGTGGAGTTCCCCTTTAAGCGGAGACTTAAAGACTGCCATTGCCATCTTTGAGACCGAAGAACTCTGCCTGAAACCAGCTCGAGCTCAACAAGGCAGAAGGAAGTTTTATCCTGGTACTACATCAGGTAAGCCATGCTATGTAGCTGGTACCGGAGCGAAGAAGATAACAAAATCTGCATAAAGAAACACGTACAGGCTCAGAAAACTGGAACATTTGACTATCTTATACATTTCTAATATAAAGCCACCTTCTTTCTGAACCCACCTCGAGAACATTTATCCACCACATACAACATCTTGATCCAAGAAACTTTACATAATCGCTTCAAGAATAATTTCAGTAATTTATTCCAAAAATTTCCGAGTTCACTCCATTCTTCTAGGCAAATCGAGGAAACAGAAGAACGAAGGGAAAAATTCAAATTCAAAATCAAACTACGAAATTTACTGCCTGCAGATTAAAAGAAAGAAAAATTGCAGAAATTCCAATAACCGTAGACAGTTTTTCAGCTTATCAAACACATCGACGAGATTTGTAAAGAGAATCAACAATCTGAAGAAGAAAACGCACCCGAAACCAAGATTTGGAGGAACGCCGGATGATTTTCGGTCAATTCTTAAGCATCGCGGCCGAAGAATCGCACATGGAAGAGAGAGGAAGACACTGAAGCGTGCGTCGAATCTCAGAGAGAGGCTTCAATGGAGGCGGTGAATCGCTAAAATCCGACTCAGTGAGTCACTGATCCATTACCTCATCTCTGTCTCTCTCTATATATCTCTCTCTATCTCTCTCGCTTGCCTCCTCCGCCTCACCTCTCTCTCAAGTCTCAAGGGCGCATTTTTAACTCTAGCAAAGTATGGGCCATGCTCAACCATTTTCGCCAGTGACACGTCAGCTTTTTATTGGGTCTAGGCCAAGAGAGCCGTCCGATATACAGACCCACATGAGATCACAGCCGTCCGATTAGTATATGATACGTGGCAATTACTGAGAAGGACACGCTGTGATAAAAAGGGCATTAGCTGTTGACGTGGCAACTTGGACCGACTTACTGACGAATGCGATAAGTTTGTTTTGTTTCCTTAACAAGTTGCACACAAATGGGCCATGGAGCATAAAAGCCCATTTTACCTCAAGAAATTTCAAGAGCTTGCTGTACAAACTGTATTTAGGGCTTCTACCTTGTGACTGAAGCAACATATAAAACTCGGAAAAAAAAACACCCAAACTCAAAACCCACGATGAAGTAATTGAAACCCTGCAACCTAATATCTAAGAAACTTCTAAAAATCACTCTCGATCTGTGTAAATCGAATAAAAGCTATTGGTAAAAGCTAAAAAACCCTCACAGAGAGAGAGAGAGAGAGAGGCAGAATCCATCAGAATCGACAACAGAGAAGAAGAGAGTAATGCCTCCATCCTTTCTCCTTACGAAATGGTCTCTTCTCAGCTTTCACCATTCTTACAGGACTGCTATTCCATTCTGTTTGCAATCTGTAGACAGAGTTTTCACAAAAAGGATTACATAATTTGCAGATAATAAGTTAATATATATGTATGTGAAGTGTGCATGTGTGTATGCATATACATTGGGAAAGCGAAGGAGTGTGCGCTGACTGTGCTTCCATCAGATCGAACAGAGAGGCTTCCGGAGACTGAGATGGATCCAGAGTAAGCTATATGAGCTAAACCTGACTCTGCGTCAGAGAAACTTCTTTCTCGGAGACCGTTTGACAAGAGACTGTGATCATAAGAGTCCTCGAGCACATCTTTTAGCAATGGATTTTTCTCTGTTTCTGCCGTTTCAGAGGAAATATATCTCAAGCTGTCTGCTTTTGGTTCCTCTGTTTTCTTCTGTTCTGTTTCACGGTCTACGTTTTCTTTGGGTCCATGAATGTTGTTTTCGTCGAGAGCTTTTTGGGAATCTTCCATTGATATAATATCTCCCAGGGTTAAAGGTTCCTTTGAGACAGTTCCTGATGCAGCTCCTACATCACTCGGTGGAGATTTCTTCACAATCAAATTCTCTTGATTGAGTTTGCTAGAATCTTGAATGCCAACAAATTCTTCAACCTTGCTGTCTTCTGAGGATTTGGATTCCAAAGGATTTGCATTTACTTTGACAGAAACTTTCTCATTGAATAAGAATTTCTCATGCATCATCATAGGCACACCCTCATCAACAGATTTATCATTGACGACGTTATAAGTAAGCTCCTTGTAGTTGTTACTACAAACAACGATCTCAGGTAAATCGCAAGCCGCTACATTCTTGTCCATAAACATTTCGTCTCGTTGACCTTGTAAGTCATTCATAGTGGCTGCTGCTTGAAGATAATATAGCCTCTATCCTCTTCTGTAAAAGATAACAAATGAGATTAGTTATTGTATCCATTCTCTTCCCAAGTTTATAGCGGCTCGTTGAGGAGAGACAGAGAGCAAAAATGAAGTTCTATAGAAGAAAATCATCTTATATGAGAGATACAGAAGCTATTTTACACAAAAAAAAACATAAAAAAAGGGTTTGTTCAAGAGCATGACCCACAAGTCCAAACAAATGATGAGTCTCCTCCATTTATAAAGTTATAAAGATGCAATCAATAACCATCATTTCCATTTTACAACTTTTGTAAAAGACATGAATAAATACAAAATTCAAACCCAATTCCAGAAGATCAAGCTAGAGACATGAGTGAGAAAGTATGATAATAGGCCAGAGACTTGGAGAGAAAATAAAGAATGTGGAATCTTTTGCATTTTCAGAGAAGATGGAAAATGAGGCAAATTATTTAGTAAATGTTACACAAGCTTTTGACTAAACAAATGCAAAGCAACATAATAACTTTTACAATATTTCACATGAAGTAAACAATTGGTTTTAATTTATAACCAACAAAATCTAGCGGCTGAAGAATCTCAGAAAATAATTATGATAAACACAACCATAGAGGTAGATTTAAATACCTCTAGAGGGGAAAAAGGCTAAAAAAATGAATCAAAGACCAAAATTTTCAGATTATAACCTTTCATCAATTTTTGTTGAAGAAGAGAGGAAAAAACTTTAATAACTTGATGAGCACTGAACTTCTTCAGAAAGCATTTTCCACCAAAAAACTTTATTCAAATCGAAATAACAGAATAACAAATTCTATTTGAAACAAAAGTAGATAGAGGCCGATAAGGGACTGAAACTCCTAATAAGTTGAAGGAGAAAAAAAGATATGGATCATTTCAGAAACCAACCTGGAAAAAAAAAAATGCCAGATGCTTTTACTGTTTCTCCATGAGAAAGACAAACTTGTACAAAAATCCAAAAGAAATTGTTGAAATGTCAATTAAATTCAGTAACCACGATCTCTGCATTTAATTTGAAAACAAACAATAACCATATGAAACAACTTCATTGCCCTTTAGTTTTGCAATTAATTACAAACCAAACCTCAGAATGTATCTGTGCAAGCAGCATCTTGCCTCTTCAATTTCCAGGAAAACCGAAAATTTAATCAGAAAATTGTAAACCCTAAAGAAGTCATCAAGTGGCTACAACTATTCTATTCTGAAAGGAAAAAGAGTGAATTTTATTTCCCGGAAAACTAACCAGCACTTTTAAGTGAATAAAGAAAATCTCACAGATGAAGAAACTTTTGGAAAATCGGATCTGCGAAACAGTTCTTTTCTAGGCGTGTGGATTTGACTCTTCGTTTTTTTTTTGGTTGGTTCATATGATAAAATTTAAAGAGAACAAAAAAAAGTCAACATTTGTTCTAAAGAGAATGAATGTACTCTTTTCAAGTACAGATACAACAAATACATACAGACCACCAGCGTTTTCAATTTTCTCTTCATTTTATATAACTAGGGATGTTTCCGCGCTACGCGCGGATTATTTTTATATAGATATTTGATTATTATTTAAGTTAAATTATTTTAACTTTAAATTAATATTTTAAATATAATATTTAATTTTTAAAATTATTTTGATATGATTATATATCAAAAATATTTTAACGTATTCAAAAAATGTATCATGATATAATTTTAAAAATTACCTACCTGATATATTCTAAAATTAACTGTTAATCTAAAACTTAATATTTGTATATAAACTCACTGTTATTCACTACTAACTTTCAAAATATTATTAAAATTATTTTTGTTTTGACTAAATTTGATTATTATTGTTCCAATTAATTTAGATTTTTATTTTTATTTCAACTGTGTTCGCGTAGTGTTTTTATTTATAGCAATCTCAAATACAAACAACACTCAATGTTCTAATCTCTTATAAATCTATAAAATAACTATGATTCATATAAATAAAAACAATATTTACATAGTATAAAAAATCACAATCATATTGATAAAATGCAATTTTGATTTGGTCTATGAAGTATACGTAAACTATAAAAAATATAGAGGAATAAGGCAAGTAATACATATACAAATACAATTTCATCTAACTCATTATGTTAAATAAAGTATGTTGAGTTTCTCAAAACTCAAAAAATGTAAAAAATTTTGCTTGTAATTTAACTTAAACATTTTTTCTTAAACTACACATATATATTTTGATGAGCCTTTATAATTAAACTAATAATATATATTATATTATTTTTAAAGGAGTTTCTTAACCGAGTAAAAAAAACCATATTATTTTTTCATTCAAGTTGGGTTTATAAGGAATTTTGTTGATGTGGATATTTAGAGATTTTTTTAGACATTTTTTTCTACATAAAAATGTGTATGTTATTTTTCAAAAATGCATTATTATTTAATTTAAAAATTTACTAACTTGATATATATAAAAAGTAACTGTCATCTAAAACTTAATTTTTGTTTATAAACTGTTTAACTCATGTGTTGAATGTATCGCTTGTAGTAACTTGACTACCTTAAGCCAACTAAGACACACATTGAATAAATATCAGTGCATGAAATTCTTCTTTTGTCTATCATTTTCTGCAATGTAAATAGTAACGATGATCGAAATCTTCATATAGATAGATGCTTTGAAAAGCTTCCTATAATTTCTGTTGTCTTGTTGGTTGCCATAAATATAACGTACTATGATGTTTAATCTGTATGTTTCTAAAAGGTGAATGTTTTAGATTTTTATAATTTGTAAATGTTTTAAATTTTATTTTAAAAATTATTATTTAATCTTATTTCTATTAACTATTATTTAAGTTTTTTAGAGCAATTTGTTGTCCAATATATTCACTATATTACAAAAAGGAGTATATATTAATGCTACAGATTTAAATGATATTTATTTTACTAATTTAGAAAATGATATTTAGTTTTATTTACTTATTCCTAATAACTATATTAACTTAGTGGTTCTATTTATTTATTTTATGTGTATTTCAAAAGATATAAAGTGAAATTTTTTATTATTGTTATATTACAAACAAAAGAAGTATATATTGATGCTATAAATTTAAATGATGTTTATTTTACTGATTCAAAAAATGATATTTTAATTTTATTTACTTTTGTTGGTAACTATATTAATTTTAGTGACAAAAATGAGTATATATTAATGCTACAGATTTAAATGATATTTATTTTACTGATTAAAATGATATATAGTTTTATTTATTTTTTGCTAATAACTATATTAATTTAATGGTTCTATTTATTTATTTTATGTGTATTTCAAAAAATCTAAAGTGAGAATTTTCATTATTGTTAATTTGTTATATTACAAACAAAAGAGTATATATTAATGCTATAGATTTAAATAATATTTATTTTACTGATTCAAAAAATAATATTTTATTTTTATTTACTCTTGTATTTAACTATATTAATTTTGGTTCTATTTATTTACTTTATGTGTATTTCAAAAAAATTTAAAGTGGGAATTTGTATTATTATTTTTTGCTGATATGTCATATTTTTAGAGTAGTTTGAAAAGCTGAGGTGGATAGCTTAAGGAGCCCCAAATAATTCTTTTTATTTAGTATAGATTTTCTTATATGAGAACTAATTTAAAAGGTATTATAAGTAAAAATAAAAATGATTTATGATGTACATGATGGTATTTAAAATCGTTGTGGTATTTCAGGAATTCTCAACCAGAGTTTTTATAAGCAAGTGGTTTTGCCTTTTCACTTACGTAGGGTGTAGTCGTGTAGAATAATGTAGATTAGGTTTGTTACATTACACACGATAACATAATTATAATAATTTTTTGGGGTAGGCCATTTCCAAAATTACACCAAATATTTAGAAGAAAACGAAAGATACACCAAACTGTTCCCACTCCATCGACGGCTCCATCTAGGTATTTTAAACCGAATTATGAGTTGTAAATACGAATTGTCGTCTCTTTTATATTATAGGAGGAGATGGCCGGCCAAATAGAAAATAATGATGTATTTGGAATAAAACCTATTAATATTCTCATCATCTTTACAATTTTATATGAAGTCATTTGGAATACTGTTTGATAAACTTGATTTTCCATTATATGTTTAGAAAGGAATATATTAATGATCTTTTGTAAACAGATATAGAAACTAAACAAAAGAAGACGAATATTATACAGTATATGTTTAGTTAGAAGGATTTTTATAAGGAAAGTTTGATTTTATGTTTGCTACAATTTCTAGTTGAAGAAAGTTTAGAAGCTACTTTTACTAAAATGTGTCAAAGAAAGAAAACCCACACGTCTTTCCCGTTTTGTTGACCTCCAAACCACTCAGATTAAAAAGAGAACACAAGTCCAAGATCTTGTCAACAGATCCACTGTTTTCTTCCTCCTCACTAAAAGGACAACCCAAGAACTCTGCAAGTCTCTTGATTTGCCCACGATGATCTGTTTTCAACTCCTCGAACCTCATGAAAGGCACATGCTTAGGATCTTCCAAGCTCCTTCCCCAACATTTTCCGAGAAGGGACCGTAGAGGGAAACTCCTCTGCAGAACAAATCAAACATAGACTCGAGAGTAATGCTATTCTCTAATCCTTTATCTAGATTAGTACACCTGGAATACAAATCTGACACCAACACAACACGTCCTAAAAGAAGAGATCGATAGATCAAAGTCTTGGCCTCTTCGTTTAGGTTGACATCTCTCAAGTTCATCGAAAGCTCCTATTTATCCTTTTCTTTTGCGAGTTACCAATATATGTTTTGCTCGAAATGCAAAACCTCACCATCTTAAGCTAAGCGAAGAAACCGAAAAATAAAACTATTTTAAATCTGAGTGAAGAAACCAAGAAATTTTTGTTTATTACTTTGTCATTCCAGTTCCCTAGGCTCCAATAGATCTAGAATGTTTGGTGGAGGTGTCCATGAATATCCTTATATTCACTCAGATTTAAATCATGTTGGAGAAATCTGATGAATATATAGTTTTAAAATTGTAACAATATTATTATTGGTTTTGGATTCTTGTGAAGTGCAACAGCTAATCATGTCAATTAGTGCTTGTTGAGAGAATATCTTGCGGTTGCAAATAATATATATGTATTTTTACGTGGCCGTCTTTGATTGTATAAACCATTTCCCCCACCGATGAAAAAAGCTTCACAATTGAACATGTTTACTTAACAAAATATGAATTTTTATTTACAAGTCAGATGATTAACGCTGCAAAATTAGATCATTAAAGTTTTTAACCGAAGAACAAAATAATTATAAGATAAACGTTTCTTTCATAGAATTAATAATTTCAATTATTTTTTTCCTGGATGTTTACAAATTCGGTATACACCATCCTTTGGGTCTTACACCAGTGATCAAATTGGTTATAAACTTATAATTGGGAACATATGAATTCGAAACACAACATAGTAACAATTGAAAATACGTTACATAACAACGGAAAGTAACCCTACTTTTATTATGCTGCTGCATCAAAGAAAAGACAAAACAATAAATATATCTCTAGAAAGTCAAACCAGAACCTTGAAGTTTCTCTTGGATGATCATGTCGATCTTGTTCTCCATTTCTGGAGTAAGATGATTCTTTGAGTCGCCGACTTCCCCTTTACGGAAAAAAATCTTGTGATCCACAGTGTTGATTTTTCCGGTCTTGTTAACCTCCAAACCGCTCAGGTTTCGGAGAGAGCAAAGATCCAAGATCTCATCCACAAATCCACTCTCTTCTTCTTCTTTCGTAAAAGGACAACCCAGAAACTCCGCAAGTCTCTTAACCTGACCACGAGGCTCCGCTTTCATCTCTTCATACCTCAAGAAAAGGACATGCTTGGGGTCTTCCAAGCTGGCTCTCCAATAGCTCAGGACATGTTCCCAAAATGGTCCATAATAGACAGTTCCGCTGCAAAACGAATCGAACATTGACTCCAGGAGGCTTCTGTCTAGTTCTATTTTCTGATGAGCGCACGCGAAACACCAGAGCGAGACCAACGTGTCCTTCACGTTCCTGCAAACGTACACAATCTTGCAAGGAGAGTCCTTGAGGGCCTGTTTCATGGTGTGCAGTGGCATGTGAGTCGAGAACACTCTCGAAGATGATGATGATGATAAGAACTTGGTTAAATCTGGTGTTGAGCTTTCGATATACATATCGATCTCTAAGAATGGTACTAAGCCATGAGGATTATCAGATAACAGAGGATGGTGATCATCAGAAGAACGGTTCTTTGATCTCTCGAAGAGAGCGACTGTGAGCGCCTTGAGCCAAGTCGTGCCTGATTTGGGGAAAGAAGCGAGGATTATGTCGGTGTCTTGAGGCTGAAAGTTTCTTTGGAAATTAAGAACGCCTTGGAGAATGTTGAAGTAATACCAAGATCCTTGATACTTGCTGAGTTTCTTCCCTTGAGAATCTGCGTGTGAAGGAAGCAAAGAGATCAAGCTCATGATTTCTTCGGTTATCTTGTCGCCTTTTTCCTTCAGATCCATTTCTTTTGCGAGTTCTTGGTTGCTACCAAAATATGTGTTTTAATCATCAAAACGAAATATAATAGATATAAGCAGAAGAATCCAAGAACAAATAAAATATCAGAATATATGATCCGAAGTCGTGCTACGTACTTTCCAACTACCGAAGATTTGAATTTTGTTTACTCCAAGAACTATAAATTAAAGGTTCCAAAAAATTAAATTAAGAAACGATTTTATGGTTCATATTTTACAAATATCTTGTCAACAGATCCACAATATATATCTACTTCTTCCTCAGTGAAAGGAGAACCTAAGAACTATGCAAGTCTCTGAACCTGAGCAGAAGGCTCCGCTTTCATTTCCTCATAACTCATGAAGGGAACATGCTCTCCAATGATAGATTGGTAGTTCAAAACATGTTCCCAAAAGGGTCCAAAATAGCCAACTCTCATGCACAATGACTCAAACAAAGACTCGGTCGACAATGCTTTTGTCTACTTCTTTTTGAAGATCGTACTTGCAATACCATTGTGATACGTCCCTGCACATAACATAGCCAAAATGATAAAATGGTGAAAGTGTGTATATACTCAAGACCGTTGGATTTTTAGACGACAACGATTGGGCCCATTTTTATTTGTCGACATTTAACACTCTCCCCATTGTCCATAGGTCATAGGAAGCTCATCCTTCCAAGACCATCTAGAGCCCATCAAAACTACATCTTTGGTTCCTTATATGGTAATTTTTACATCGTAATTTTTTTTTTGGTTTTTCAAATTTGAAAATTAAATCTCCAAATTTCCAGTTTAAATGGATTTTTTTTTACAAATACCATAATATATATAATTCAATACTTTTTCGAAGTGTATAGATTCAAATTTTCAAAAAAAAAAATGTATTATGAACTAAACCATTCATCGTAGTTTCATGTGTTTGGGATTGGATGGTCGTAACTCGTAACATGTCAAATTCTTTTAAGGAATGTTAACGTAAAAGATGAAAAACACCTGTATTATTTATGAAACACGTACTTTGTAAAAAGTTTGATATTGTGTACTTAAGTACCATTTGCAATCTTGTGTGTGAATTTGTTTCTCTAATACTTAAAAAATTCCATTTGTGGATAAGAATCCACAAACATACAAGTTCCATGTTGTTCCTTCTTTGGCAAACACTAGATATAGATGTCAGAGTAGAAAAAAAGAAGAAAAAGTAAGTGATCCAACACCACTTGTTCATGTTCACCATTAATAGTTTGACTGCTCTTCTTTGAACTTGGACACCACTGGATCAATCAATTGTGGTCATTTTATGTTTGTTGTTGTTGACATAACTATTGATACAGTGAAATCCACCGAGGTCCCGACTATTATAATATAAGAAAATAATCAAAGTAAGTTTTAAAATTCATTAATTAATAACTTTGTGAATATAACATTGAACAATTTTACCATGATATTAGACAATAACTTTAGTGATTTGTTTTTTCGATTTCAAATAATTAGATTTTACTAAATTAAGACAGTTCAGAAATAAAACATTTGTGAAATAGTAAAACTTGGCAATATGATTATGCTTAGATATATTTGCAACGTACAGTTTCTCACATGAGTTCTTTTGTATTGCTTTTTTGTTGTATCGTTCCTACTTTCCTACCATAGAAAGTAATGTAGTCCCTTAACAATCAAAAATAAAAATTTAAACCAAATTTTCCAAGGTACGAAGAAAATTGATTTTAGGACCTCTACTTTATTGGTACCTAATGATAATCATTATATAAATTCTCCCACCACATTGATCAATGGGTCATCTTATCTTTATAACCTTTTGCCTTTGTGACCATAAAAGGCTTTGAGAACTTGCATGACAGCCCCAAAAGGTGTGAACATTCATGGATAATAACGTGGCATCGCTCTGAACACATATGGACACATTATTGATAAGATTTGCAACATTAGTATGCAATAAACTGATTAATGTTCTGAACACATGTGAATCAGTTAAACCTATAAGGTAGGTTTGTAACGTGAACATATATAAGTTTACTGTTACACATATTTTCTAGGTTGATATACTTTTTTCTTATTTTACAGTTTCAACAGTTTTCCTCTATTTTTATTTTTTTCTTCTTCTATATTTGTGAAACAAAATTCATGAATTTCAAATTAGATCCAGTGGTTTCTTTTATTCTAATAATTCATTAAATTATCCAAGAAAATGATTATGTTCGTGATGACGACGATGAAGTTGAATATAATAGTATAGTACTTTTAGAACCATTTACACGTACACAAATAATTATCACATTTTAAAACTTTTCATATCATTATTAATGTTATTTGAGAATATAATATTAATAAATTTATGCGATCGCAAAAAATACAGGAAAATCATAATGTATAACTTATTGCTTTACCAATAGTTATATAAATGATTTATGATATTACAAACCATATATTCACATGAAAGGTTTTACAAGGACAAAGACCATATGGTTAAAACGCCTCGTCTTATATATGTTAAGATTCTATATCAGAAATTAGAAATTATCTAAACTATGTATAAGAAACAAAAGTTAATTTATTCGTTCTTAATTGATGTATAGTTGAATTCGATTTCACTTCTCTAATTTTTCTTTGCTTTTGTATTATCTTAGTTGGGAAAAATATTTTATAATATTTATTAATTTATCGAATATTGAGATATATAGTTTTTATGTATATGGGGTTAATATGAGTTGACAGATTCCTTGCATTCTATAAAGCTGACGCACCATCATTCTTCTCAAACCGCAAGCCTAAAAAACGAATCTCCTGCCTATCTTAAAACTCAAGAAACAATGTCAGAGATTGCCGGAGATTCTTTAACCATAACCATGGAAGAAGAAATCCATAAACCAAACTGCCAGAGGAACGCCTCTGGCGAACTTGACGTTTTCGAAGCCACTCGATATTTCTCCGACTTCAACGAACCAACTACGATCGAGTGCTCAAGAATCCAGATTCAGAAACAGAGCATTGTTACAGAACCTCGACAGAACAGAGTGTACCCTGATACAGAGGATCAGCTCTCGGAACCCAGAGTCATCGCCAAGGAGATAACACGTGGCGGTGGTCGGAAGCTAACCAGTTTCTTGAACTCTCTGCTTCGTTCGGCGGGTTTAAAGAAATCAAAGTCAAAGTCAACTCCGGAGGTGGAGACTCCACGAGGAGAAAGGAAGAGGAGGAAGAGCTGCGTGGTGACCACACACGCCGCAGATGCTTCACCGATCTCCGGTGCGGGCGCGTGGCGGTTAAACGCACGTAGGAGAAGCTTCGATGAGAAACACGTGAAAGATTCGAAGAAGAGTGATCAGAAGCTGAACATGAGGTTTTGTGAGAGTCTCTGTTCGGACCAGAGGGCTGAGTGTAAAGATCGAAATGCAGGAGAAGATGGTGTAAATGGTGGTTCCGAGAGTGATACAAGTTCTGAATCTGATCTTTTTGAATTAGACTTGTTTGCCAAATTAAACGCCTAAATAAGAAACGGTCCTTAAAATAATCCTCTAGTGTAAACTCATCATAAATCTAATAGTGTGTGGATTGTAGACGAAGAACAGAAATGGCTTAACCGTTCTCCATAGATTTAATTGAAATCAAGCAAATCCAACTTTTCAGGCGAACATCACCCAATACGATTCATCGTTCGACGTGGTTCTAGTCAAATATGATTTATTTCCTTGTAAATATGAATTTTAATGACTCGCTATTAATGTTTTAGAATTCCAAATTTAGAAATATTAATTACAGTTAAAGAGGCTACCAAAGAAGGTTGATTTATTCAATATTCAGGAAAGATCATCTTAGAAAGAAGAAAAGATTAAAAGTTCATGGACAAATACAAATACCAGAATCAAATCAAGACTCCAAAAGGTGTAATAATTAAATTTATTCGGTTACTTGTAACATTTTTCTTCGAAAGTTCATCTCTCTCTTTGTCAAAGCAAGTAATGGCCAGTTTCAGATGTTTCTTTGTTATTTTTTATCTCGGAACGATCTCTATTGCTTCTTCCTATGCCTCATTTCAGGTTATTTACTCTCTTTTTTTTCAATTTCACATGGTTATTTCTACCGAAATTCGGATTAATCTTGCTGAAAACCACAATTTAGGGTTTTTCATCAACTCAACTCGGCGACCAATGCTCGTCCGACGAAGAATGCAACGTAGGACTTGGTTGTTATAAATGCGGCATCGATGTTGCAAGATGCGTCAGATCAAATATCACAGATCAATTCTCCGTCGTGGTAAGTAAGAAACGCTTCTGATATATAAATAATAAGTGTTAACGTAAACGCAAAACACACACACAAAAACAAGAATTGTTTGCCTTTATAACTTGTAGGTGATTTATTTGTGAATTTTAAAAGATATATCTGAGGCAAACACAAACGCAATATGATTCCTAGATCATGACCTATTCTAAGAGTCATGGATGTATTTTATGTGTATGTTTGTGAGTGTATATGAGATTCATGTCACTTATTGTATCTCTTTATTTTCAGTATGAGATTCTTAACATGTCTCTTTGGGATTGTAAATCCACATTTTAACTCAGTTATATGATCTGACTGGTTCTACTTGAACTACGATACCAGTAATTATAAAAGCGAGCGTCATTCTTATTTCTTACATATATGCTGCTCCCATCACTCTATTATACACGTTTAAAATGTTTCTTCTTGTTGTATTAGTAAGGTAGGTTTGATCAGCAACTCTTTAATTCTTTGATAGACTACTATAATGAAGCGTTATTGATCTTTTTGTTGTAACAGAACAATTCGATGCCGTTTAATAAATACGCATTCTTGACGACTCACAATTCATATGCCATTGAAGGAAAACCGTTACATGTGGCAACCCAAGAAGATACTATAACCAAACAACTCAATGTACGTAATTAATTACATATTTAATAATTAATTAATTATTATATATGTTTCTTAATGTAAATGTTATGTACTTTTTGGTTCAGAGTGGTGTTCGAGCGTTGATGTTGGATACCTACGATTACGAAGGAGACGTATGGTTGTGCCATTCGTTTGAGGAAACATGCTTTGAGTTCACCAAGTTTGTAAGTTCTCATTCTCAAAGATTTAACTAACTAAAGATTATAGCTAAAGATAAAGTATTATAACATGTAACTTTTCGGAATGATCTGTCATTTTTAGAATCGGGCGATAGACACATTCGCTGACATATTGGCGTTCTTGACAGCAAATCCATCAGAGATTGTAACGTTATTTTTGGAAGATTACGTCAAATCGCCAAACGCGCTAACCAAAGTTTTTACAAATTCCGGTTTGAAGAAATTCTGGTTTCCGGTTGAAAATATGCCTACGGGTGGCCAAGATTGGCCATTGGTTAAAGATATGGTTGCCAATAACCACCGGCTAGTCGTCTTCACTTCAGCTAAATCTAAGCAAGAAACCGAAGGAATAGCTTACCTGTGGAATTACGTTTTGGAAAACCAATGTGAGTGTGATGAGATAGAAACATTCCGGTTTAATTTTTATTGGTCTAGGGATAACCGTTGACTCCCAACGTGGTATTTAATTGTCAGATGGAGACAATGGAGTTAAGCCCGGGGAATGTAGCAATAGAGCAGAATCAGCATCGTTAACCGATAAAACCAAAGCTTTGGTTTTGGTAAACCATTTCATGACAATTCCGGTTAAGATATTGACTTGTGAGGAGAATTCTAAACAACTTCTCGACACGATTAAGACATGTTACACAGCCGCAGGGAACCGATGGGCCAATTTCATCGCCGTCAATTTTTACAAGGTGAGGTTTATGTTCTTTGTTATTCAATTTTAGAAGTTGGAGTAGTTAATTATCAAAACTTTTGGTCAAAAACAGAGGAGTGATGGAGGAAGAACATTTCAAGCAGTGGATAAACTAAACGGGGAACTTCTATGTGGACGTGACGATGTTCATGATTGTAAACTTTAAAAAATGCTATTCATCTTTAAGCTCTCCAATTAGTGTAAAAGAGAAATTTAAGGTATTATATGGATAAATTAGATATTCATATAAAAACATACAAAATAATAAAATCCGTAACAAATTTTCAAATCTACTTTGATCATTGGACAAAAGAACTACATTGTCATTTTCTTAGTTAACATGAATGCTATATAGTGCAAAAATAAATACTCTTGTTTGTAAACATTGAGGAAGTCTTATATTAATTGCCATTTAAAAAAACATAGTGTTAATTACGAAAATGAATGGGCCTACTATCATAAAGGTTTATTGGGCCGAAAGAGTCAAAGAGAGAGAGTTTATTTCTTCAAAACCAAAAAATCGCTGTCGTCTTCTTTTGTCTCCCTGAGAAGGATCCCACAAAGCAAGCGAGAGAGAGAGAGAGAGAGAGAGAGAGGGAACTCGAGAAGAAGAGGTTAAACAATGGCGGCCGTTCAACAGCAGCAAGCGATGCAGAAGAACACGTTGTATGTAGGAGGTTTAGCTGATGAAGTAAACGAATCGATCCTCCACGCCGCGTTTATACCTTTCGGCGACATCAAGGACGTGAAGACGCCGTTGGACCAGGCTAATCAGAAGCACAGATCCTTCGGATTCGTCACTTTTCTAGAGAGAGAGGACGCTTCCGCCGCCATGGATAACATGGACGGTGCCGAGCTATATGGCCGCGTTCTCACCGTCAATTACGCCCTCCCGGAGAAAATCAAGGGTGGAGAGCAGGGTTGGGCCGCGCAGCCACGTACGTTCCGATTCCTCCTTCTCTTATTGTTTGATTTTGCTCTAGGTTTAGTGATATTGATCTATTGACTATTGTTGATGTTGATTAGCGCTCGCTGGGGTTTATGAATGAGTCTGGAGCTCAGGACTTGTTGAAATTAGGGTTTGCAAATAATGTGTTCTGAAATTAGATGACGAATTGGTTCGATGATGTTAGATTCCTGGGTTTGAAGTTAGCTCAAGTCTATGATGTTTGCTACTTTCTTGACTTATCTCTGAAAATTTTGGGAAACCATCAAGGCTGTTTCTTACTTTGGAAAGTCTAAACTTTGATGATTCAAAACGTGTTTACCACAACAAATTGATCTGTTTGCTTCATGATCGTTTTGACTCTCTGTATATATGATTATGATGTTCTTGTTAAGCAGAGAGTTTCTTTTTTTTAAGTCTGCTTATTTCTCATTGCCTAACAAATGGATCATCTTTGTTTTATTGCTTTTTTCAGTTTGGGCAGACGCAGACACATGGTTTGAGCGGCAGCAACAAGAAAAGGAAATGCTGAAGATCCAAGCCGAGAACAAGGCTGCGGTGGAGACTGCCGACGAACTCAACAGGAAGAAATTGGCCCAAGACCGACAAGGCGAGGTGGAAGAAGATACCGACATCAAAGACGATCCAATGGCTAGAGCAGAGGCTGATGCTCTAAGCCACGACAACGCTCAATGAAAGTAAGCATTACCGGTTTCTCTTCATCCCCGTCGTCCTGTAGAATAACAATCGGTATTCCTCTCAGTGTGTCTCACACTATCACCTCCTTTGAAATAGTTTCTTGAAGTTACTGGTCATGCTATTATTATAGTTTAGTAGATTTACTAGTTTGTTGAAACTTGCATTGTTAGAAAAGTAAAAAAAAAAACTCATGTTTCCTTATCCGGATGCTCTTCATACAAAAAGGGTCACCAGTAATGAAAAGAACCATTTAATTTTTGGAACAGAGAAGAAGAAAAATCTAAATCCTAATCGGAAAATTTAAACCGGTCAAGTTTAGACCCCGCTGGTTTATCCATAAACCAGATCAGATTCCCGTTGCTCGGCTGGACCAGCCTTGCAGGCAGAGACAGAGAGCTTTCTTGTGATGGCAAATCATCGATTGCCAAGTGGATAGCATCGGCTTTGGATTCGCCGGTTGCCACTATAACGACATTTGCAGCTGAGTTAATGACAGGCAGAGTGAATGTGATCCTCTCTGGTGGCGGTTTAGGAGAGTTGGTTAGGAACGTAACCCAATCGTCTTTCACCTCAAGTGCTGGGTGGTTCGAGAAGAGCGAGGCCACATGCCCATCCGAGCCCATCCCAAGCAAGATCAGATCGAACTTGGGACAGTCACTGTTCTCAGACGCAGCCACGGTTCGTGTTCTCACCATCTGTCTGATGGCGAACTCATACTCTGTTGCAGCTTCCTCTGCGGAAACTGTGTCGTTGATGGAGCATATGTGTCTCGGAAACACATTTACCTGAAGAAAAACAAGAAAAATATCAAAGTTGCAACTCTCTGAACAAAGTCAACGTTGAAACAAGACAAATCACATACAAGACCGTGATTAGATTAGATTCTCGATCCTAAAGTTCCTTTCTTCTCAAACAAGCAAGGATTGGGGCCAAAACGTCAACACATTCATGATAGCCTTCAGATTCCACTATCCAAAAAGTTTATACAAAAACCCAATCCAAATATCTTCTAACCTTAGAGAGGAGAGTATCCTTGGCGAGCTTGTAGTTGCTATCGTCATGGCTCTTAGCTACAACGCGCTCATCAGCCCAAAAGACATACCATTTAGCCCAATCCACAATCTTGTTGTAAGGCGTCTCGATCAATTTTCTGTTGAATAATCAAAAATCCATTAGGAGATCGATCAAGGAGACTTAAAATGGGAGACTTAACAGACGTTTTGGTAAAGTTTGTTGTAAATTACCCGATCAAGCTAATGAGAGAGCCTCCTGACAACACAATGCAGAAAGCACCATGTTCTTTAATTGATGCCTCTGATATCTCAGCTATGTAATCTACCAAGTCTATGCTTAGTTCCTCCAAATTCTCATGAACCCTAATCTCTCCTCTGTCTTTATGAGTCCAAGTAAGTGCCATAGTGTTTCTTTTTTGTATTTTTTTTCACCGGTTTTTCAGCAACGCTACATGAAAATAACGAATGGGATTTCAGATTCTACAGAAGAAAGAGATCAGATTTGGATTGGAGGAAGTAAAAAAAAAAAAAAAAACATTTTGGACATAAAGAAACAGAGATAAGATATTAGTTGACTCTCACAATTCCAACTTGACTACTAATCCAAAAAATCGGCATTTGAAATCTACAGAAACCAGCAATACAAGATAAAAACAAAATAAAGCAAGAACTCGATCACAGAAACATGACACTTTTCAATCTACAACAATCAAAGTAAATTTCAAATAAAACCAAATAGGAAAAAGAGGGAGGATAAGATTGTTACAGAAGAGTAAGAGAGAATGTAGAGAGATGATGATTTGAGTGAAACAGGTTAATGATAAATTTGTACAAAGCACCAAATAATAATGATTATATAATTGCACATCAACACATAGGCCATATCTACATACAATATAATATATACACATGTAAATATATATGTGGGTTATGTACAAACAAGGGACATCCTAATCTGCCTTTACAATAATAACAAGAGGCCTCTTGGGAGCCAAGAAGAATCAGCGGAAAAAGATTTTTACCTTCTGGGTTTCCACGTGAATATCGTTGGTAAAATTGTGATAAGATCCAGTAATAAGAAGAATATTAGGAAAAGAAGTTCGAAATAAAATAGGGAATTTTGAAGAAAAATTGGGTGATGCCAACAAAACAAGGGTAATTAGAAGAGAGTAGGGTTTAGACGGAGAATACTCGGTTGTATTCTGCCATTAAAGAGGGTATTTACAGAGAAAATGGTTTTTCTTGTGGGGTGTTCGTATTTCATGAAAATTATAGATGTGAGTAAAAATATAAAATAAGAAATATACGAAATCCAAAAAGAGTAACGAAACAACTGTCAGTTTATAAAAGACAAATGGACCAATCACTTCCAATGTCATGTCAAATGGCACAAGTAATGTGGATAAGTTCGTATTCATTTCCTTCTTCTTTTTAAAATTTTCTTTGTTTGGAGAAATAAAAATAAAATAGTTTAAATGAGACTTGCTGAATATCCAGCTATTAGTATTAATTACTTTGTCATTCATGCAAATTATTTATAAGTAGTAGACTACAAAAAGTACTTATAGGTAAATTAAAGACGTAAAAAGTACAGGTAGACATTTGAAATTTTAGACCGAACCTAAATATATAAATAAATAAATTTAATAGCCATCCCATTTTATATATCTTCCAAACCTATAAAATTAAAGCAAACCAAAATGATGAACTTATGATAGATTTTAACAAGTTAAACGTATTTAAATCATATATAAAAGGTTGTAGGATAGATGACCTATAAACAAATTGGTACGAGTGCAAGAGTAGTTAAAAACCTTAAGTGTTTCTCGAGCGATGCTCATAAGCCGAGAATTGGCCAATATAGAACTTATGAACACGGACAAAAAAGGAATCAATATGGTTTATGTTTTAACAAAATGTTTATAGTCTCATTCATCATATTTTCTGAGTGAAGATTGATTCTTCTCAATGAATGCATGCTTTATAAGTAATGTTTTATGTCTTGATAGGTGTTACCAACCGATGCACTAGTGTTGTAATGAGGGTAATAATATAAAATATAGTTTTTGGCAGGAGCATACGCTACAAAATGATGGCATATATTGAAAGCCCCACAAACGTGACATATCAACACTTACCTTATGTGCCCCACTTTTCAGGAATCTTAGGCACTTTCATATGCACACCTTTTACAGTAATGCAAATATGATAAGGGTAATAGATGTATATATTGGATATTACCACCATTTTAGGCATTGAATCACGAAGGACCCAACAATCACCAATATTTTTTAGGTCACAGTGTCGCCCTTGTTTTTCATTATTCCATTTACCATTTGGTAAACAAACAAACAATGGAAATACATTTTATATAGTTTAAGTGATATATTATATACTAAAACATATACTTTCAAGGGCAAGAAAAGTTATTCGGATCAATTATACTTCTTAAACTACATTATCTTCCATTTTTAATCTAACTTTTTCATCATGTCTTCTTGTGATTGTGAACCTCCATCACTTTTTATGTTGACAAATACTAGATCATATTTATCAAAGTAAAACCTTATATATAATATGTAATAATAATTCATTCTTTAACGAACCACTACAATAGATGGTTCATGATTTCAGTTAAACAAAAAAAAAAGATGGTTCATGATCGTACACAAAACTCTTGTGAATTTTATCATTTTACAGTCAAATTAAGCTTTGCACGCAATTATTTAATGAATTTTATTATTCGTTAAAGTTAGTTACTGGTTCCTTTTTAAAAACTAAATTGTTGGTTCCTGCTGGTTGCAAATTTAATCAGAAACGATTTATGTTGGTTCGTAACATTATTATCACCAAGCTAGTTTTTGGTCAGATATTGGTTTAGACACTGGTTTAAGACATTCATTTGTCCCTAACCATTTTACTGCGTGAATTGGGAAAGCTCTTTGAAGAAGATCAGTGCGAAGAAGTCTACTTCTGATCGAGAAGTATTCTATCTGACTATCCGTCCATGTGCCTCATTCTTATTCGTTTAATCTGGAAAAAGATCACTCGATTAAATAAAACTTTAAATAAGTTTGAAACAAATGTGAAGGAGCCGCTCACTAGCTACTAATTGATGGAGACTAGCTCGTACCAGCAAAATCCTATCTTTGCTAAAAATAATTTATTTTTTGTCACCATTCATGATGATAATATGCCCATATATATATAGTGTATATCTACATGCATATTATATTGATAATTTAACATTTAGATTATAGGTTCGCGTGAAGATGCGGAGCTGACGAAGTAGTATCAATGCATGCTTTTTATTTACCTCGTCTCGCTCCGCATCGTTTACATTAAGACTTAAGAGTATATACAACAATATGTTTGATACATTTGTACTAAACCGACGGGTTTAAAGTATTTAACTAGTTCTCTACCTATATATAATTGAATTGCTAATTTTTTTAAGATAACCATAACGTTTTGTTATACTAATTAAATAAGAAAATTATTTTAACAGATTAAAAAATAAAGAAAACAGGAAAAATAAAGTACAATGATTGTAACAAATGGTTAGAAAATTGTTTGCACATGGACACAACCCCGCATTGCTTCCCTGACAGCTAAAGAGACCAGACAATCTCCCAAGTTGTGGGACACATGACTCCTTTCTTACATTACTTTTCCAAATTGAATTGAGAAAAACTGTAATGATTTCCTTGCAGATAATAAGTAATATATGATTCAAAAGGTTCAACTATCGGATTCATGACATAATGTGACAACATGATATGCGAAATAAAATTATGTAAAATATTATACGTGGACAAAAATTGCTGTGTGTTGGAATCTCTTTCTAGTTCTGTTTAGATTCTTTTAACTAGATAAAATATATATATATATATATTAATTGGTATGGAGGAAGTATTTATCTATATGTATGTATACACATAGGAAATCAAATCTAGTGAAATCCCAGTAATTTACCGTCAACACATACTACCTTTTCTTAAAAAGCTGAGTTATTTAGTGTGTAGTACGTACATTTTTTTAAAATTTGGAGAAGAGATAAAAAAAAAAAAAAATTAAAGAATGGTCTTTAATAATTCTGAACCAAATTTTGTTTTAACCAGTTGAAATAACTACATCTGAAGAGCTTAAACGTATATCATTAACCATCAGTTTGACTATAAGATATCAACTTGTAGGTATGATATTACTTTTTATAAGTTGCAATAGAAGCTAATTGTATCTTCATAATAACTAGTTTAATACTATATATGTATACTACTATATTTATATTTCTTCAATACTAACAACCAGTAACCAGCAAACAGCATAATTCAATTATTTAGCACACAAAAAAACATAATTCAATTATCTTAGGGCCTACTCAAAATCTTCCTTTTTCGATGTTGAACAAATTGTTTATTTAGATCCCAATAGGTCTACCAAAAAAAAAAAACTACTTAAGAACACGAGATATTCTTTTTAGATCAGATGCACAAGCTTAGAAACAACAAGTTGGTCAAGCGAAAATTGTAGCCGATCAAAACGACACATTTCAACTCATAATACTCAAAATCATGTTAAGATGTATCTATTCGGTTAAGTTGTTCGTATATACTAAAACAAAATTTATGAGAATTTTTATTATGCGCCAAGCGAGATGTTGATTCACAGTATCAAACCCTTGAGGTGGCCAAAAGTGCTAAAATTCGGTAGTTGAAAATTCTCCGGCAAAATTTATATTTTTGTTTTGGAATTCGTAATTGTTCACACGTAAAACCCTTGAGGTGGCCTGATAGCTAGGTTTTCTCCAACAAGTTATAACGATTGAAAGTCTGCGATTCCAAGCGATTACTTTTTCTATCTTTCATCTTCTCAACTTTGGAACAAGCACGAGAGACATGGAGATCATAGAACTTGCAGTGTTCTCGGACGCACTGTAACTTACCAGAGCTATTAATCCTGAAACGCTTCCATAATTTTATGAAATGTTGGCGAATACGATATCTTATTTCTTTTCCTTTGTTTCGTTTAATTTATTCCACCCTTTGCTAGTGTTGAAGTCGACTTTCTTGCCACGCTTTCGGCTTTTATATCAATCGCTATTTAAGCTACATATTTACTTTTTTTGTTGGTCGAAACAAATGCTAAGCTACATATTTACTTTTTTCTTAGCTATTTGTTTACTTTGGTGGATGGATCACTAAAGACCAATCAGCAATGCCTTCTGTAACCGGCCCTATATTTTAACGCATAGTTTTATAAAATATAAAATATAAAAGGAAATAAATATTTATATAGTATATACCCAACGTTTAAAAAAGGCCAAAAGTGCTAAAACTCTATAAGACTATAACTAAATATGAAACAATTTAATATTGTGCCAAATTAAATTTGCAATAATCTG